CTCGTGACGAAGATCATGTTCGTTCTTCTATTTTCCCTTTAACAAGAAAAAAATTCGCTTATATTGAACATGGGGTACGGAAAGGAGGGGACGAGAGGGAGAGAGAGGAGGAGGAGGGGGGCAAAATGCAAAAACAAGCTGATGAGCAGGTGATAACTTTGTATGCTCTTTTCTTACAAACGTAAAAAAAAAAGGAGGGGGAATTAATAGCTAAACGGAATATTGGTTTTTTAGTATGAGAAAGTTATATCACGGGGAGAGGTATAGCCAAGGGGGTGACCCTGAAAATGAAAAAAAAAAAAAAAAGTCTGCTACTGCGACATAGGTCTAGATCTTTGAAGAAAAAATGCTTAATGATAAAATAGTGACGTTGGATATTTTTCAAAAAAAAATATTAAAGAATCTCAATTCCACGAATGGCCTCAAAAACAAAATAAAACTAGATAAGATTTAAGAGTCATAATCTCTTCCTAGAATGTGGACAAATACAACCTCGTGCTCAGTGTAGGACGTAGCTATCACGAGGTACAGATATGTATATCGTAGTAAGTAAAAGTAAGAAGTAGTAGTAGTAGCAGTAGCAGGAGTAGTAGAGGTCACGCCATAGCTCTCCGTCACAGCCCCAAGGTAATGTACACCATACGGAATACTTACCTTGCCTTTTAGCTTTTTTTTTTCTCTCGCTCGGGACGAGTAAGAGCTAGTACTAGCTGCCGCTGCGCGGGAGCCGGAGATAGTACGTAGGAAAGCAAAATGATAGGTAGTGAGTGACTAAAGCTAAGTCTTGATCTACTAGGATTACGATAAGGCTAGTACATTATTAGAAGAAAAAAGAATGGGGAAAACCTAAGTATTTAGCTAAAGGAATAGCTTTTGAGGATTAGGCGATTTGGAGAGGGGGGTTTAGAGGGTTTACGTATTAACACTTATTCATGTTTACTAGTTAGGCTAATATTTTTTCCCTTAATACGAGGGTAATAGAAAGGATTAGAATCACTTAAGTGAAAGAGAGACCAGGGGGGAAAAGCAAAAGGGTATTAGGGCCAAACTTTAGCAGAGAGGAGAGAAAGAGGAGAAGAATAATAGTAAGCAGAAAATTAGGAAGCAAAGCAAGCAGAAGGAATCAACAGCACGCAAAGTGTTCTCTTTGAGAGGTTGAAAATGTGTACTAGGAAGAGGAATAGACCCTTGAACTTGCAGCTTTTGCATGAATTATTACATGCATGCAACGTTTCGCACCAAGCTTGAAAAAGAGCGAAAATCACACGTATCGAAGTTCTGAGGGTGAGGTGAGGGGGGGTGCGTGGAAGAGGAAACCCTAGTTTGAGAGGAGGGATTTCGGTAGCAAGCAAAAAAGATATGGTTGTTTCGTCTCGACGTGCACGAGTAGTGGCGTTCGAAATGTAAGAGAAATCAGAAAAAAGCAATGTTTTTTTTGTTAGAGGAATGAATTAATTCGTATACTGCATCCTGTCTTGAAGAGGAGGGGGGGTGGTTGGTGCGGGGGGTGTTACGGACCTGCCAGATTCTTACGTTCGCTGACAAGGTGTAAGGCCTAGCCTATAGTTTCTCGAAATTATTATTGAACAAGGTATTAGAGCTTCTATTCTGGAGAAATATGCGGTGCTGGAAGCTTCGAACATGCACGATACCCATAACATACATGAATTATTTAAGGGATCGGGCATTGAAGTTTGGGATTAAATGTTTGGGAACGGGCAAATGTGTTTTTTTTTTTTTTTACTGCTGCTGCTGCTGCTGCTTGAGGGGTTATAGTTTTTTCTTTCGGCTTATGATATAGGAAAAGCAGTAATAAGCCGTTTTTAATCCCGCGGACCCGGAGACAGTTGTTTTCTAGGATTATTGACGTCGTTGTGCGGAGTTTGAGATTTTGGAGGCTGGTGATAGGCTAAGGCTAAGCTTCAGTAATATATCTGAAATCGGAGCTTCAGGAACCACAATCCCCATATTAAATTAAAAACTTAACCAATGTCTTCAGCAACGCAAACAAATGTGGCATTTTTATAAGCAATCTAATGAAGTTTTTTTTATAAAATAAAAATATTAATGAAGAGTTTAGTAAATACTGAAAATTGCGGGAGTCAAATACAAAAGAATACTAATGTTAGTGTTTTCATTGTTTCCGAACAATGGAGATCTCTGCGGTTGCGGGATCTCCGTTTCATGCACAGTCGGATCTCGTTCCGCCCGTACTTTTGCTTCAGGCACTTCGGAGTGACGATCGAATAAGGAGGACACGGAGCATGATGCCCGTCCCTTGCTATAGAACTAAGTTATAAGTCACACAACTTGTAGAGGAAACATAGTAGAGCTAGTATGGAATAAAAAAAGGGGGGGGAGTTCACCGCAGCAAGAATACTGGCATGTGTCTACTTTTCATTTTTGCTAGCTGGGAAGCAAGAGAAGCAAGTATGCCTTGTCGGATAATCCTCTAATACGCTGCGTGCTCCCGTTGTGAGGGAACCGGCGAGTCTATAGGCATGGGGACATGCACAGACCGGCCTTTGGAGAAAAAACAGGGAGCATGAGGATGGCATGATGGATATGCACGTCGAGGGTTGGATTATCACTTCTTCGGCTTGGGTTATCGGATGGGGACGGAGGCAATCCTTTGGAGGGGGAACGAGGGGGGCAATATGACCAAAGGACAAAATCAAGAAACCGTCAGTGACATCTTTCTGTTTCTTGTCTCAATAGGCTAAAGCTAAACTCTTTTTAGGAGGGACGTATGCCATATAGAAAGAGTTTGAACAGAGGCAAGGCAAGGATTCGGGGAAAAGAAAAAGGTGATTGAGAGAAGTGAACTTGCATAAGGAACGTGAAGGGAGGAGGAGAGGGGCATGGGTCACGAGGATAGGCTGATTGTTGGAAGATGTGGGGATCGAGTTGGGATACTGAGGACGAAGAACGGAGCTTCGTAGAAAGGGCCCTTCATTACTTTTCCTATTTGGGACAGGTTGGACGCCATGGTTCACCTGTGTGCATATGCCAAGGGGGGGTAGATACTGCATACGAAGGTGGCGGGATAGAATAAACATGTATTCCGTCAGCGGGCAAAAGGGCATAATGTATCCAAGCTCCCCGAGCCGTGTCTCCTATGGCTAAAGCTATAGACGGCTGATAAAGAGGTATTTCAAGCGGTCAAGGAGCTCGGAGCGGGGTCTGGAACTCGGGGAGCTAGAGAAAGTCAGTGCTAGTGACTGGGATGCATGGCGAAGAAAAGCGGCAGGAAGTGGAAAGACATGTTAGGCAAAAGGCTGGGTCTATGGACCCACGGCTGAAGAATCAAGGAAATCGAGGAACAGAGCATAAAGAACTTTCGCATAAGACCGTACCGCCGTGGATCCGGATGTGCATGTGGGTTTGTGCACTCCTCGAATCGAGGAGGGGTCCGAGATGGGAGTCATAGCTCCCGGCAAGCTCGAGTCGAGGTGATAAACCCGAGGAGCTAAAGCATGCCCGGACCTCTAAATGGAACGTGATGATAGTCTGCTAAGTAAGAGAAGCGCTCGCCTACGATCAGGTATCGGACGGCACATAAGCTAGAGGGGTCCTAGCTCGACGGCACAGCAAGTCCGACGGAGGGGACAACAATACCGTTGCGAGTGCCGCCATAGTGCCATAGTGCCAAGCACCGTAGTAGGCAGGCGGTCAAAAGAATGAGGAAATCGGTACAAAAAGGCAGGAAGTATAAACGCCTTTGCGTTAGGTCAGATCACGACGCCGGGGTAGAGTAAGCGAGACGGCGGCAACAAGTGAATATCGGACATACGTATATATTATGACTTCGAAAACTGTATCTAAATTTGAAATACTCAATGATAATCCGAGCTCTTGAAAGGATGTATTAGCGCTGGGGCTTTAGCATGTGTTTCAAATTAAGATCTTAAACTTAGTTGAAGAGCGAATGTAGGAGTGTGATCATGAGAACTACTGCACATGTATTGAAACTGACTCGGATGTTGATATAATTCAACGTCAGAAAACGTTGAATTCAGCTTGTTTTCTGCGTTGTACCGCAAAAAAGACAACAGTTCAAGGACAAATTGTCCCGCAACCGCCCGACCCTGGTATCTTGAAAATCGATAGACTAGGACAAGGCCTTATTGAATCCCTTGAGAATTACCATCTTGAGCTGAATAGAGTAATTAAGCAGCTTACTATTGCCTCCAAATTCAAGGCCAACTCAACCTAGGTGGGCAATTGACGTTGTGGCAGCCCTATTTTTAGGATCTCGTCTGCTCCCGCTCCACCAGTCAACTTGGGTCTGTTTCGTCCAAGCGCTCGCCTAAAGCCCCTATTGCGCCATACACCAACTGACATGCCTATATTTGGTGCCAGAATCTTGGTCCACCGATCTCTTTTAAACGCCCTCTAAACAGCCTGTAGAATTGCTGGGTCCGTGGGACGGGATCTTACTGGTTAGTCTCAAGATCCCACCTTGTCGGGAATTGGTGAAGAATTTTCTTCTGCTAATTAAGCACCCGCCCGACTGGCATTTGAAGTTTAATCTTTTTTGTTCTTTGCATCGAACGTGGGGTTTGGTTCTGCGGGGTGGTTGGGTTTCTCGAAAACGACCCGATTGGTCTCGAACTTTTGCAACAACTTACAACGCAGATAACTATGGGAATATTATTTCCACCCGCTAGTGAATTGATACGTACTCACCACGAAGATATCTGTATAGCAATAGGTAGAATGGTTTACAAATTCATCGTGGGTCTGTGAATGCTTGGCCAAAATTCTAAGTCTCGGATAGCTCAAAAGGAAGCACTTCAAATTGACACCATTCACGATTATATACAAACGTATGGGACGTATTCCAGTGATCTCTTAAGCTCTTTGGAGAAAGCTGACTGTAAGTTTTAGTTAACTACCTAAGTAACAGGCACCTCTTCTTTTTTGGGTGGGAAAACAGAAAGTTGTATAGCAGACATGGATTTATTTACTTTGACGAGTATTATCTAATTCCTCGAGGGCGTGATTCTGGAGGATTTCGAAGACTTCTTCGTCGGGAAGCTTGATATTAGGAATAGGCGGAAGTGGCTGCCTCTTAAACTTGGACCCCTTGGGTAATAAAGGGAGCCCAGTTTTTTTGAGCAATGGTTTAATTTCTTCATCCGTCACTTTTGTAATTCGCTTTGGGTCTATTATTTTATCGAGTCCGAGCCCGTTTAAGCTATCTAAGCCCGGGACATTGAGTGGTTTTCGTGGTTGAAGCTTCAAGCCTCTACGCGCAAGACGGTTTCCAGTTTTGGGGAGCAGCAGCTTAGTTAATCCATCCGTTATTCCCGTAATTTGCTTTGGGTCTGTGATCCCGCTGGCTCCAAACTCGTTAAGCCCACCAGAGCCAGCTAAGTCTGTAGGGTCAAGCGGGTCTCGTGATTGAAGCCCAGATTGGCTATTCACAGGTGCCTTGTCGTCCTTCGAGACATTGGCACCAAATCCCTTAAGTACTGGTTTGACATCACTAAGGACCTCTCGCGAACGAAGCTTGGTCGTATCCCCGGTAGGCACTCCATCGGTCCCTACAATATTGGTATCGAGATCATCTGCCTGTGGTATATCGCCTCCATTTCCTAGTTCTTGCAATTGACCCTCGAGGTTCTCAGCCTCAAACTGGCCAATTAAGGTGTTGATATCCAATGGTTTCGTGGATTCTTCCTCAGCAGCACTGCCGGAAGCGAGATCCTCCGGTGTAACTTTGGGTACTTCGGGGCCACCGGTAAGTTCAGTTATTTCCTCTGACTTGGGGGCGGCATCCAGGGGAGCTGTTATGGCGTCGTGAACCGTCCCAACGAGCTCCAAGGGATTAACCCCCCGCGATTTAAGACCGGCCAGGGTATCATCGACCAAGTCAGATACATTCCCTAGACCGTCTGCGTCTGAAGCTTCTTTGGAAGATGGTAGGCCACCGCTAACTGTTCCAACAATCGCCGAGGGATCGAAACCTCGCGGCGCAAGTTTGGGCTCTTCCTTCGGGTCCACCAACTTGTCGAACTCTTTGTATACTGGGTCGCCGCCAGTGGGGAATACTTTGATTGGGCCAAGGATATCTGGGTTTTGAAAGGGACGGGCAAGAGTGACCGTTGCCGATGTGAGAAGGAGAAGAGAAAGAGAAAGAGAGTACGGAGCCATTGTGAGGCTTTTGGTGTAGATACCAATATATAATCAACAGATATATAGATCTAGATCTATGTCTATATCCCTATCTAATGAGGACTATTGGACTTAGGATGAGGATGATAATTATTTAGACTCAATTGCGATGCACGGTGGGGTTCCTTATATGCCCTTGTTTTTCAACCCGGTTACTTGTCATGATATCAATTGATCAATCATCATATGATGTCAACATCAATCTCATGAAGCTAGCTATAGGTTCTTTCGACGATTGTGGAGAGCCTAGCTAGCTTTCAATTGATCAAAAGTAAAAAGTTGACGGCTTGCATGCCTAATATTTGAGTGTCCGTGAGGCATTCGTCTCCACGATAGAGTGGAAAGCATACTTCACGTCGAATGAAACTGCTCTGCCCTGACGTAAATCGATAGATAGACAATATCACACGGGTGGTAAAGTTAATTTCCAGGCACCCGGCCCTGGGACCTTCTAACTAGACTGGCGGAGGGGGGAATGAAATCTCAAAATATTAAATGATAAATAGCAAACCACGATCGCGCGCACTTCAGCATTCTTCACGACAAAATTAAATGAAGCCACTAGTCGATCCTAAAAAATTCAATATCGATATCCCGTGCCGTGGATGCCTTACCTTACACACTGCAGATTAGCGAGCTGTAATCTAAATTTCTAAAGTGGTTAATGATCATCGCACACGCTCCCTTACATCGGAATTAAACGTCAACATTGCATTTAACAAAATCCAACACTTCGACAAAAAAAAGTCTTTCCGACGATATAACGAAAAAAGTCCTTTTTTACTATTTTACAGATCCGAAGTTTTTTATGTACATCTGTATGTAAATCAAAAACCAAATATGAAACATTCAGTTCGCTGTCCCAACATATGTAGCTGTAAGCAGACGTTTCATGCAAGCTAACAGCAGAATCAGAGCTACAGATCTGACATCCGGCTTCTTATCGATCGCGAGCACGCGTGGCGCTGCATTTTGAAACATATTGATACTAGATATCACAAATGATATATCCAAAAACCTTTCTCACGGTTTCCCTAATATGATATATCTTAAATATATCTGTAGCTATTTTGATTGAAACGTGTTTAAGCCTCGCGCAGAGATCTCCCATAGATACTCCATTGCATCCGGGGAACCCAAACCCGAAATTTTAAACCAATAGGAACGCCCCGTGTGTATGCATAACTGAGTCATGACACACTAGTTATATACATAACTTGCAAACGTTAATGTCAACGTTTTTGTGAGTTGCAATTTTTGTTGTATTTTTTATTTTTTCCCCTTTCTTTCGGGAAACATAGTTAATTGCGCCGGTGGGGTGTGCCGAACCCATAGTATAGCCCTCGAGCTCGTCAGCCGCATGTATACGCACGAAGAGATGCATAGTGTGGTGGAGGATGTTCATTGGCTTTAACTCAGGCCATCCTACGCCCTTCGTCATGCGAGTTTGACCGTTCGGATAAGCTTTCGTCTTGGGACAATGGATAAGCTTTAGGGGGTAGTACTAGTTAGAGAGTATCGCGGAAACGATATCATAGCATCGTGGTACGTAGTATGTACATTATCCGACACAAACGAACCATAATATAATTAATATATAATAAACCATGGTTACTATTGTAATAATCGATCAATTCAATTGAGTCAGAGCTACGTACTCTAACATTAACCCCGGTCCCGCTGAGCTTATAGACATCGGCTAGGCTTGCGCGCGCTCTCGAGCGCTCAAGCCAGTACTGGCTAGTTCAAGATATATATTATCCCCTAAACTTATCCATCACTATCCTTTTCGAACCCAGAGTTTAGACCCAAGAAGAAAACTTGCCCGGGACTTGTAAACCATAGATATGGAATCCCTCCCCGTGGAGCTCCTGCGCCGCATCGCGTCGTATACCCCATACCCCACAGTTCGCTCCCTTACCTTCACATCCCATAAACTCCGCGCTGCCGTCCACGACTGGCAAGTTTATAAATCCATAATTGACAATCAAATCCATTTGTTCACTTCAGGATCCCAGAATACAGATGGTATAGAAACGGTATCTCACTCGGTTTTCAAGCACGAGATACATCTACAACCATGGGTTCACAATCCAATCACGTCTTCTATGGAGCGCATCGTAATGGCAAGATATGCATATGCGGATTATCAAGCATATAATTTACCTACACATCTACCGTTGTGGGGTTCTAACCCCCTTGAATACCCACCGTACCCGCAGGATGATTCTGACGAAGGGGTACTCCAGGATTTTGCAAGGTGGGGGGGAATATTGGCCGCCCAAGGACGTAAGTCGAGCCAAGTTTACAAGCATAGAATCTAAAATTCACGAGGTTCCATATAACTTACTTGTAAAATCTGTTAATAGATCCTGTAATCCGCCTTCTTGGCCACACAACCCTACATTCCGACAATGGGGGGAAAACAATATGGATACCGGGTTCTGTGAGCCCCACATACCGCTATACATTAGTCTTCTGTATAGCTTCATATCTTCTATCCAATAGAGTCGACTTCTTCCCTCCCAATCAAGAAAGGGCAGAAACACCGGAAGAACCGGAATACCCCCTCTTCGAATCAGGGACTGGATTTTCTTCCCCCCAGGCCCCAGGTTTAGAGCTGGATACCACCGAAGGCTACCTCAGCTCTAGATGGAGGACCATTCTCGCCGATCTCGCGGCTTTAGACTCGGGCTATATACAAATGCCAAACGGGGAGTTGAGACTATCTTTTCGGTCATATCGGGATATTCAGTACGAAGGGGACGATGTACCTCGTACAAAAACGGATCTTGATAAATCGTTTGAAAACCATGGTATTGGAGCAGATGCGGGATCTTACAGTGCATTCACACTATTAGAGCTATGTGTTAGGACAGTGGGGATACTAGGATGGAACTACAGACAGTTGATCGTTGATAGGCGGATACCGAGGTTTCGATCATTAAGGTGGGAATTCGGGGACGACCCGACCGAGGAACAAGTGGAGGAAGTGAAAAGCAGGTATGATCCACGTCAACTGTGGGGCCCACCGGTGTCGTCGGGGATTCCATTTAAAAGGTATATGAAGTTGGAGCCGGAGTTAGGAAGAGACGGGGCGGGATTTGTGTGGAGTCATTTGGAAGGGATGATAAACCAGGAATTTTTGGAAAACGGGAAATGGATGGGGTTCTATACTTATGCCGATATGCAGGAAATCGATCCAGCCATGATTGATATCGAGTTTACCGTTGTGGACCCAAAGGATCTGGAGCCGCAACGGCCAAAATACTATGACGATGAAGACGATGAAGACGATGAAGACGATGAATACGATGAATACGATGAGGACGAGGATGAAGACGAGGATGAAGACGAGGATGAAGATGAGGATGAAGAAGATGAGGAATACGAAGACGAAGAAGACGAAGAAGACGATTTGGAATATGAGGACGATCAGCCTGAAGGATCAAAAAAGAATGAAACAGATGAAGCAGCGGGCACCGAAGAAAAGAAGCCAAAAAAGAAACAAGAAAAGAAGCAAAAGTCCCCAGAAATCCCCATAATCGCCGTTAAAGCAACTGGCAAAGATGGCCTTGGTGACTTTGTACTCTGGGGTAAATTCTACCCCAAAACCGGTAAAGTCCAACTTACGAAAGCATACTATAAAGGTATTGAACCGGGTACTATGTGGAATTGGACAACTTTTATGACCCCGTTTGGAATCGTCGGTAGATGGGGCGACCGTGGATTCGGCGGATATATTTGGTTATGGAAGGAAGATTGGTACGGTCCCGTTGAGGGAAATGAATTGGCTAATAGATTGCAACCTGAACTCCAGTCATAAATCAAAAATGCTATAATGAATATGTACATCTAGCAGGACTAAATTAGCATAGAATGAGAAGAATAGATAGAATTATAAGTCCAAGCTTACATATATATCGTCGATAACTCTCCTATTCCTGAGTCGGGTACTTCCATCCATTGACTCCCCACCCTATTGCCCAAGCTTTAGCTATTATACCATATATGCATGCACTCTTAAACTGATAGAGACAACTTACACCATCGCCTGACCCTCGCCCCCACCCCTCCGCCACTAAACTTCACCCCACGATTCCAATACCTCCACCCAGATAACGTCAAGTTCCACAAAGTTCCCTGAATCAACGGGAACAACACTTGGTCTTTCACCGTAATCAACGCGATAAGCCAGTATTTCTCTTCTTCTCGGGCCTGCCTGATGCTCGCCAGATAGGACTGCTCGAATCTGAGGTCGGGAAGAGGGGGCAACGGACGATGTCGGAGAGATCGGTGGGTTTCGTGACCGGAGGAGTATAGGACTGAAGAGGATATCGAAGCTACTTCATCGGCCTCATCATCTTCCTCCTGATCGAGTTCATCGTGGAGCTCTCTTTCGTCGTCTTCCTCGGCTTCGACGGCGGAGTATTCGCTGTCGGTTAGAACCGTTTTCGAATCGGCAGCCGTGGATGGGGCAATTGCAGTTTCCGGCGTGTCGCCTTCTCGGATATGACCATCTATTAAAGCAGATTCAACTGCTAGGAAAGGGATATCAGACATCTTGGAAGATGTGACGGATGTTGGAAGGATAAAAGACGTGGTTATAACGAGCCGTGACTGTAGCCGGTGTGAGGTGGTGCAAGTGGTGTGGTTGGAAGGATGACGTTGGGAAAGCTTAAGCTGAGTTTCGGCTAATTCAAAACACCCCAAAGCTCTTCTTCTTCTCTCATACACTTAGGTTCAAAAACTTCAACCTTCTACAAGAACAACCTCTCGCGATTGTCACGACTATCACGATGACAAAATTCCGGCCTTGTATCGATATCCACGCTGGCGTGGTAAAGCAGATTGTAGGAGGCACATTATCAGACAAGGGCGATGCCGCTGCATCGTTAGTAACAAATCACACATCGGCGCACCCACCATCATATTTTTCGACCCTCTACAGAGAAAATGGGCTTACTGGGGCGCATGTTATCATGCTCGGCCCAAACTGTGAAATTGCTGCAAGAGAAGCATTGGATGCTTGGCCAGGTGGATTACAGGTCGGTGGAGGCATAAATATCAAGAATGCACAGCAATGGCTCGATTGGGGCGCGGAGAAGGTAGTGTGAGTTTCGTCGATTATTTTACTACTTTGATACATAAAAGTTGACCTGACAAAATGATATAGGTGGTCGTTACTTCGTATCTATTCCCGGATGCAAAATTCTCATTGGAAAGGCTGCAAGAGCTATCTTCCACTGTTGGCAAAGATAAGCTGGTGGTTGATGTGAGCTGTCGTCGGAGAGATGATAGGTGGTTCGTGGCTACCAATAAGTGGCAGACAATCACAGATACGGAGGTTACCAAAGGTACTTTACTCAAAGATTACGGTTACAATGGTGTAATAATTACTAAACTATTACTAGATACGTTGGACATGTTGTCAGAGTACTGTGCTGAGTTCTTGATTCACGCTGCAGATGTGGAAGGCCTCTGCAGAGGGATTGATGAAGAATTGGTGAAGGCTTTAGGCAACTGGAGTACAATTCCAACAACATATGCCGGGGGTGGGAAGGATATTGCAGACCTTACACTTGTGAAGGAGTTGAGTGCGGGGAAGGTTGATCTTACCTTTGGCAGTGCATTGGATATATTTGGAGGTGATAAGGTCAAGTTTGAGGATTGTGTCAAGTGGAGTTAGAGGTGCAGAAAGCCATCTCCGGGTCGTTAACGTTATAACACGATGACCGAAGACGGCTGAGAAGTAGATGGTGTAGTAAACTGCATAACACGGGAGGAGGCGGCAGGTGAATTTGCAAGCAGATATGGAGTCCAGGGAGGACGCAATACGGCCGTGAGATTCCGTGATGGTTCTTAGGACACTGATCCGAAAGGGCCCATGGCCATGGGTATCCAACAGAGCAGGGGACGAGGGGTAAAATTTTAGCGGCTACCTGCTCGTTTCGGAGCTAGATAGACAGATGTAGTAAACCCGGATATTTCCAGACAGAGAGAGGTGAAGTGAGGGTGTGTGTATAAGATATAAGATATCTTCCCATGCACGTAGAATGCACGCAGCCCGTATCTAACTGCATGAACAAAGGGTTATAAAAACTTCCCCAACGGCAAACCCCAGATCTAGACTACCTTCAAACATGCACCTACATGACTCTTTCGCATCCATTTTATTCCACGACCGAAATACCGGAAAAAGCCCGGTCGCCCGAGCGCCTCCTCGAGTTTGGCAAATAGTTCGCCCAGCCCGATATCGATACGATAGACTTTTGATTCCCATGATACTTTACGTAAGACGGTGGTACGATGGCCTCGTTGAGGCTTCACACGCCTTCGATGGTCTAGCCCTGTCCAGGCTAGCTTTCCCCACAGGTAGAGCTCCGGCATTGTGACTGGTTATCAGCGGCTTGCATGCATATGGCTGTCGCACATCGATTGGGTAATTGGGACACTTAGCTACTTCCTCTATCTCTGATTTACGCGATTCGGACGAGCCCCGGGACGATAACTAAGATTAAGTAAAAAGAATGTTGTTCTAAACCAGTTGGCAACCCTTTTAATTAAATTAAGTTAAGGTGAAGCTTATAAAAAAAGTGTCCGTCGTTTAACGTCCTCGGTGCGAAGTCGATAGCTTAGCTAGCTAGCTCGCAACGGTAAGCTTTTTGGTGCATGAATTGGCCCGCCGCACGTTTATGATAGTATACGTTGTATATATAAGATAACTTAGCTTCCCCGCAAAAATACAACAGACTTTGTACTTGTCCTCAAACCCTCCAAAACCTCCTCGTGGTCCATCGCAAGACTCATCTCCACTCTTATAAAAAAACATCCAATTGATACCCTTCCAAGATGCTATCCACTCTTCGCGGCTCCACCAGGGCCTTATCTCGCAAGGTTTCCATCCCAGTTACCACTAAAATCCAACAGGCTCGTCCAATTCACAACACAGTTCACAAGCATGCCGTCGCTGCAGCTGCTAAGGTCGCCGTCGACTCGGTCTCTTCATACGAGCCGTTCTTCCCAAATGAACCTACAAAGCCAAGTGTTAAGACCGAGATTCCCGGTCCGAAGTCTAAGGTTGCAATCACCGAGCTAGACGAGGTCTTTGATACTCGTAGCTTGAATATGATCTGTAACTATGAGAACAGCATTGGTAATTAGTATGTCGAGTCTATCAGATACGAGCTATACATAAACTTCATACTCAGACATACTAAAAGGAGATCTTATACATAGTGTCTCTGACCACGATCATAATGTCCTTCTCGACGTCTATGCCCAAATCGCCTCTATCCCAATCGGCTACAACAACCCCGCCCTCTCTGCCGTCGCTTCCTCTCCAGAAATGCTTACAGCCCTCATCAACCGCCCAGCACTCGGAAACTTCCCTCCAGCATCATGGACAAATACTCTCAAATCTGGAATTCTCTCGGTTGCTCCTAAGGGCCTGAACCAGGTTTTCACCGGCATGTCCGGCTCCGATGCCAACGAATGTGCCTACAAAGCCGCGTTTATGTACCACCGCCGCAGGGAGCGTGGCGAAGGTGCTCCATTCACCGAAGAGGAATTGAACTCTGCGATGAATAACCAAAAACCAGGTAGTCCTGAGTTAGCCATCATGTCGTTCAAAAAGGGATTCCACGGACGTCTATTTGGTTCATTGTCGACTACTCGTTCCAAGCCGATCCATAAAATCGATATTCCAAGTTTCAATTGGCCGCAGGCTCGGTTCCCACAATTGAAGTATCCGTTGGAAGAATTTGTGGCTGAGAATCAAGCCGAGGAGGCGGCTTGTATCGCAGAGGTTGAGGAGGTCCTTACGAAATGGCATTGTCCGGTTTCTGCGGTTGTTATCGAACCGATTCAGAGTGAAGGAGGAGATTTCCATGCTAGTCCGAAGTTCTTCCAGGATTTGAGGGCTGTTACACAGAAGCATAATGTTCTATTGATCGTCGATGAAGTTCAGACAGGTTAGTCTATGATATTCACGCTTCTTGCTTCTTAAAGTATGCGGAGAGTGTGTGTGTAAAACTAACAGGTATTCAAAAATCCCAAAAGGTGTCGGCGCAACCGGCAAGTTCTGGGCACACGACCACTGGAATCTCCAGAGCCCACCAGATATCGTTACCTTCTCCAAGAAGGCCCAAACAGCCGGTTATTACTTCGGAAATCCCCAGTTGAGACCAAACATGGCCTACCGACAGTTCAACACGTATGCATCTCACTACACCCCATATTCAGCAGAACAAAACTAATAGAGATCTCTAATACAGCTGGATGGGAGACCCAGCCCGCGTCCTCCTCTTCAACACCATCATCAAGGAAGTCGAAAGACTAAACCTCGTCCAAAACACCGCCGAAACTGGTGAATACCTTTACAACGGTCTAGCAGAGCTATCAAAGAGATACCCCGGTGAAATCCAAAACCTAAGAGGAAAGGGACAAGGGTAAGCAAACATCCAACTTAAAGACACAATACCTTTACTCAAATATGCTAAAATTATACAATGCAGCACATTTATCGCCTGGGACTCTCCACAGCGCGACGCATTCTTGAAGAAGATGAAGACCGTCGGTGTTAATATCGGTGGATCAGGCGAGAGTGCTGTCAGACTAAGACCGATGTTGATTTTCCAGAAGCATCATGGTAAGATCCTTTCCCCCTCTCTTCTTGAAGCTTGAAGTCATAATTGGATTATATACTGACATATGTGGATATAGCCGATATCTTGCTGGAATCGATTGAGAAAATTATTAAGGCGTAAAACCATAGACGGTGTGGCGATAGAATGGGCGTAGTTACCGGTGTATTTGTAGTTAAAAGTGCTTTGCTTACCTCGGAATGGATCGTTAAACGTAAAGTAATGTGAATCAGGCTTTATTTCTTCAGACCGGTATCATTGAACGTAGAATTGGACCATGTTGTATATATCGGTGCCCACATGTATAAGTAGGAAACATGAATTGATGAAGTCAATGAGCCAAACACTAGCACTGCCATCTAACCAGAATCAAAGGGAACCCCTTCGAGAATGCTACGATTAGGTACTTCTCTAAAAGCCAAAAACCAAAAAACCCGATCGCAAAGGTGCAGAACCACGCCCAAAATAAAAAACCAATAAGCTAACGTATCACCAGAGCGATGTATATAAATGCCCAAACTACAATATTCATATAAATCTCTCCTCTAGTCTCGGGGTCATCCAAATCCATACCCTCCACCCGAAAAAGTCAGCAGTATAGTCGCCAACAATACACTATTACCCAGTATCGATACGGATATTCCCCCTCTTCCTCATCCCCTCCGAAAGGGAACCCCGGTTTAGTCTTGTTTCGCTCTTCTCCTATTCCTCCTCATATTCCACAATTCATATGCGCTCGCTTCACCGCCACCATCTTCTCCTCGTCTTCTACTCCGAATTCTCCGATTACTAGTCCCACTAGCAGTAGCGGCCGTAGGATCGCTATCCACCGTTACCCCTCCAAACCCACGATCAAAACTTCTCCCACTACGACTCCAACCGTCATCCGTATCGATACCGGCTTCCTATAGCGCTATTCCTGGCTGGCGGGTATGTAACCAAGCCTGGCATCCACAGAACAGGAAGAAGAGCTAGATGGGATCAAGAAGAAAAAACAGAAATATTAGCCACCATTTCACAGTATTTAGGAGATTACGTATACTTGTGAAGGATAAAACATACAGCATAAACCCCAACAGCAGTAAATATTGTGCCTGCAGCGACCTGCGGATTCGGTGGGTCATCGGTCGTGCCAGCTACTACTTCATGCTCGGCTTTAAACAGCGCACCGATGACACTAAGGATGATGACAGCAAAGAGAGAAATAACGGTACTACAAATTCCAACATTTTGCTAGTTAGTATAGAGCTCCTACATCCAAAATCGCGGTAAACGAAGGTTTTTTTTTTTTTTTTTTTTTTTTTAAAAAAAAAAAAGAGTTGGAAAGTATGGTGGAGAATTGTAGGCGATCTGGCGAACTTAGGAATTCACGGAGGAGAGGGGTTCAAGGAAATAAAGTACCAGCTCCAGGCATTACCGGCAGATATTACCGGCTTCATCGTAAATGTGGATGTGAATGTAGTTTGGTATGTACGGGGTGTAGAAGATGTAGGGAGGTAAAAGTCCGCCGGTTTGATGTATTGGATTCGGAAGACCTTAGAAGTACCGATTTCGCGATGAGTAGGTATCAGGGGTCTTTCTATTCGTCGTTTCCTTTCGGAGGATATATACGTCCTGTTGTTTTTCGAAGCGTATACAACCAATTGGTCGAGGCTCCTGGTTGAAGAATTAGGAAATATGGAATTTCAATCTCGATAGCCGATCGATTGTGTGAAGATATGTATGAGATGAGGTTGAATGGCTGGGGATAATTGATGAGGACCAGTGTTGTGCTAACTATGCCGTAGGAACGCGCGCAAAAGCCATGATGACGACGTGCAACACATTTTCGGGCGATCCGCGAAATCCAACGGACAACTCAGTCTCGTAGCCAGTTGTCCACATTTTACAGATTTCTTTCATCTACGATTTCTACGTTTGATTTACGCTAGCATGCATAATAGATGAATGTTGTGTATCCATTTATATAGAACTATGTAAAGGAAATAAACTTAAAGAAAAGTAACCTATATCACATAAAAGAAAAAAAGTATAAAGTGAAGAACGAATGTAAAGAAGAAAAAAGGGGAAAAAGAATTCCATCTAGAGAAAGTATAAAAAGGGGGATAAGAAGAAATAACGGGTCCATGAGAAGAGTAAGAAAACGAAAAAAAGAACAAGCCGCATCCCAAAGTACTCATGATAAAAAGATGTGCTTGTCATGACAAAAGTAACCAGTATAATAAGAAATGCGAAAAAAGAATGGAGCAACTGGAAAAGGACAAGGAAATGGTATCAATGTAAGGGTTGACAATGATGAGAGATGATGGCGATGATGATAGTAATGGAATGGTCGCACAAATGCACCGAAAGATTTTCCTTCACCCAAAAGAAAAAAAAGTGATGACAAAAGATACTTTGACCATGGCGAAAAAAAGAGATATATAAAACTAAGAAAACCCCGAGGAATAATAGATGTTGCCTTCGCCTCCCAAAAAAAGAATTAACGGAAATAAAAAATAAAAATAAAAAAGGTGGTGCGCGAAACAAACTCATGAAGATAAAGAAAGGTCCGTGAACATCGTGATAGTAAATACAAACTTGTGCAAAATGGCGGATGCTTTTAAGTCTTCCATTTTAACTTTTTCTTTTCCCTTGTCGGATTTGTTTTACATCTGGGGTATCAGTTGCGCCATGTTAAGATTCAGAGACTGAGAAGAGTGCAAGTATTGGTCGAGAGGCTCAGAGGATTCATCGAGTGGTCCAATGCCGTCTTCCTCATTGTCTTCACCTTCGCCGCTAAGAGCGTCATAGGGCTCAACTGGGCCACCGTTCTCTGATCGTTCGTGGGTACGACGATGTCTGGAATACAGGTTAGTGTTGAAATTAACACAATGAGTACATGAGAATGTTACATACTGTGTGAGATTATCAGATCGCGAGAAAGCCTTGTTGCAGTGAGGGCAGACATATGGTCTTTCCTGAGTGTGAGTTCGAACGTGTCTCTTAAGATGTTCTAAACGCTTGAAGGTACGACCGCAGGATGGGATTGGGCACGAGTGCGACTTTTGCGGGTACGGCGACGGTTCGTAGGTGGCGGATCGGGCTCTTCGCATAACACTAATGTTGGGTCGGCTGAAAGAAGTGGCATCGAGCCCAACGCTTACGCCGCGGGGCATGGCCATGATTCCGTGTTGTTCTTGGAGGTACATAAGAGCATTGGGTGGAGCTGGGCTTCCTTCAAGCATGGACATTGGGGTGGCATGTCTAGAATGATGTTCGTAGTAGTCTCTCGGCTGCGGGGTACTCTGTTGCGGCTGTATCGACAGCGGGACGCCCTGGCTGTGGTCTTCTTGCGTTTCGTCAGCCTCAAGTGTGATTGTTTCAGTCGCAGCACGGGGTCGAGCTTCTGGACTAGCTTTTTTTGTGACTTCGTTTGACAAAGCACTCAAAGCAGCAGGGGTGGCGGAGGAACGCCTCCTACGTTGCTTGTAGGTAGGGGAACCCTCGATGACCGAGAAAACATTGTTGGCATAGCGAGGTGTAGCAGAAAACGCAGCGGCAACACCAGAAACAGTTGGAAGAGGCAACTGACCCATACCAGACATTGCGTTCTGACCGGTAGGATCGAGAGGTCCGTACATACCAGCAGCAGTCTCTGCGGACAAATATTGAGGTTCCGATACATTCACGAGTTGTTGGGGTGGGGTCACGGGTTCGTAGGAGACACCGCGCGCGCTGTAGTCTTCCACGGCGGACGATGCGAAGGAGGGAGCGGGTGAGTATTCGAGGTATTGAGGAACGGAGCTACCTCGCATAACTGCGCGATGGCCTGTGTTCATTGGCGGAGTCATGTGGTGAGGGTTCATCTGGTGGTTCATCTGGTGGTTCATTTGATGGTTGATTTGGTGGTTGATTTGGTGATTCATCTGGTGGCCCATCTGGTGGTTCATTTGGTTCATTGGATTCATCTGGATGGTTTGTCCGTCGTAGGTGACAAGATCTTCGTGCTTCTTCATTGGCATACCCATGTGGTATTCTTCTGGGAGAACCGGCATGACTTGATGGGGAATCATCGGTGGTGGCATGGTATCCATTGCGCGAACGACGGGGGAGATGGTGGCCGAGAATGGGATGGCGTGAGGATTAAATGAAGATGAATTAGTTTGCTGTGCCTTGGTGAGCTGTTCAAAAAGTGACTGCGAAGAGTCGTATTCGAAAGAAAGGGCAGGTTCTGCAACTGCAACCGTAGTAGCTTCTTGACCCATCTTCTCTCTCTTGAGATCTCTCTCAAGAGCATCAAGGAATAGACGATCATGAGGAACACTGTACCAGTAGAAGACCTTCTGCTTCTTCTGTGTCCTGATGCAGTTGTTCTTGTAGAGGAAGTCCAAGAATGGACTTTTGGGCTCCTCTAGCGAGGCATCTGTACCAGCCTTCAGATTCCGAAGGTCGGAGAAGATACCTTCTTCGAATTTCTTAGAGTTCTTGACAGGTCTTCCGAAAGCCTGGAATCTGAAGGATAGACACCTTACAATGTCGGTTCCCGAGATGTGGAAGAGATTGTTCCTAGATTGCATCACCAGTTAGCAACTAATCTAATCTAGGATTTCAAACTGATTTCCCCGCCGGATCGCGTGTAAGATACGTACCATAGAACGCAAGAAACGTATTCTCCGGTTGGAAGCAAGAACCTGCGGATATAGCTATCTTGGCCCCAGTCAACTGGCGCCGATATTAAAAAGTATTTCACTATACAAGTAAAAAATAAAAAAAGTCAGCGAACTGTCCAGATGGTTTTTTTTTTCCCGTAGTATAAAAGGTAATCGCTGTACATACAGTTGTCAACTTGCTGTAACTGGATCTGAGCATCATGTGGCAGTGCTTGCTGTGCTTCCGAGGAAAGCATAAAGGTCTCAGGCTTCTGAGGAGCCGAGAGGGCGTTGTGTGAATACATATTTGTGTGTGAAAGTGTGCGACCTCGAGTGGCCGGCTCTTCTATCTGTCGAATGGAATAATTAAAAGGAAATTAAAGGCCGTCGTCTTTCCGGTCTGTCGCCTTGGATCAAATCAATCAAGGAGATCTTGCTCACTGTCCCTATCAAGGGATTCTTTGTATGGTAGGAAATGTCGCACTGTAATCCAGACAGCGAGTATGTAAATTGAAGTGTTCGTAATTCGAATTTCGAGATATGAGCGGGACGATTGTCAGGTAGGCACGGGATGTTCTCGTGGGGTAGTTAAACCAGTCGGTATGCTCTTTGACCGCAAGCAGGAAGCGAAGAATGCGAAGTCTCGGGAATGTACAAACGCAGGCTGGCGATTCTCAAACGTCAAGAAGAATCGGGGAGGTGCGGGTAAAGAAATATAGATAAAGAAGAGATATATATGTTCCTGAAAGAGTGTGACTTGTTCTTTTCTAGATTCTTGTCGAGGGAAAAGAGTGTGAGGATATGTAAAAAAATAATAATAAGTTTCTCCTCTCTTTGTGACGGATGTTGAACGGGGGGGAATGAATAGGTCCAGAAATAGGTTTACTGTCTTTGTCGCAGGCTCGAACCTTTCTTATTCTTCTCTCTCGAGAAAGATTGGTGTCAGCTGATGATGAGGATGGTAAAATAAACTGGAAGACCCAGGCGATATCTCGATCGCGCTATTCTAATTCAACAAAAGATGCGGTTGATACACAAGAGGGGACGGAAGGCCAGCTCCCTTAACAAAAGGGCTTCTGAGGAATGTTGATTCTTTTTGTCGGAACGACGATGATATCAATCAGCTTTGTACACAAAGGCCTTGCCTCTGTTAGTACCCAAGGAGCGATGTGACGATATCTGCGACGTTGAAAGAAAGCAACGAAGCCTTTGATAGGACGGAAAGGAATGAAACAACTAAAAAGAGAAACGAGTGGAGGAGGGAGGAACGAGAACGAAGACGACGACAGACGACGGCAACACACAACAACGCTGAAGAAGAGAAGAAGAAGAAGAGAAGAGAAGAAAAAAAAAGAAGGGAAAGGAAGAGGTTGATATGATGGGGGGATGTGATGATTTTTAGGGGATCTGGACTTGCAGATTGCGATATTGCTCTTTCGAGGGTTATAGAGTAGTGGTAGTAAGAGGTATGTAATAATGTATGTGGTAGTGCGGCCTGCGCTGGGGCTTCGTCCCACTTTCCACAATCCAAATGAAAAACGAAAATGAACACCCGCAAAGCAATATTAACGTTTGTTAACTAACACTAACAAAGACCCGCCAGGAAATATGCCTGTAAGGTAGGATATGTGGGTGTGTGTCTGGGTCTTGGGAGCGAGGGAAAAGTAGAAGAGCGCCCGAGACAGACAACAGCTTGGGGACCGCGGACCAGGCAGGCCCTTCAGAGGATAACAGGTGCAAACAATTGGTCAACTGGCGTTTCGAGGAAAGGGATCCAGCCAATCCAATCCAATCCAAGCGGAGGGTAGGAGGGGTATTGGGGAAATTGTACGTGGGAAGGGAAAAAAAGAAGAGGTACGACACGGAAAAGGAGGGGAAGTGGGTATGGGTTAATTTGATATTACCACTGACTAGCCCGGCATCAATCTGCTAATAATGCAGTGTAATATTTGGGAAATAAGAAAGAGCTGCTCACTCACTCGACTAGTCTCTACTTTCCCCTTCTTCAGGCCGTGTCCTTTTAGTCGCCTGCTGCAAGACTGACTGTGTAATAGGTACTGGGGGGAAAGAAGAAGGGGCCGCCGAAGAACTCGCTGCTTGTAATGCTTGTAATGCTTGCCCGCTCGCTGGGAAACGAGTGCAAGCAAGCAAGCAAGGCGAGGGGCCTGCCTGTCGACCTGTTCCAAAGCGTTTGCTTTTTCTTAAGGGGTTTCATGAAGCTCTGCTTCAGAAAGGCAAGAAAAGCAAAGAACGAGGCCAGCAAAAATGGGACTAGTGAGAGTGGGGAAAAAAGGAAAACTTTCGAGTGGACATTGCATCTCTGCTGGATGGACCAGCCAGAATCAAGAAAGCTCAAGCGTTCTTTTGCGAAATGAAAAACCCGAGCAATGACCAAGCAGAGAATTAGTCCTCTGTGAATAATATGTGTGTGTGTGTGTGTGTGTATTTTTGGTATTTCTTGGATGGGATGGAGCGCTGCTGCCTGCACTTTGCAGCTTGTGCTGTGCTCAAGGGCCTTTTCCCCCCCAGTACAGCAGACCTTGGGGAAGATATTTGCCATGAAGACACATATTGGTAAAATGTCTTTCACTCCGTTATCGTGGCCAAATCCCCAGTTGGATATGTTCTGTAAGCGCAAAGAGATTCGATAGACGACAACAGAAATGTAAATGATGGCAAGAATGTGTGTGCGTGCGTGCATGTGTGTGTATTATTAGAACGTTGGTCCAACCGGCCATATCAGCCCGACGAATAAGGTCGAGAAAATAAACACCACAGCATTGCTCTGCTCTAGATCTGCCCTGCACCGTATGTACCATACATACATAGTACGGTAGGTATATACCTTGCATACTATGTATATACTTTGGGTGCATTGCGATACTAAATTGAATTGTTCTATGCGCCCGCGTAAAACCCTCGGCCAAGGCAAAGGTAAGATGCGTTGAGCCACACAGAGCAAAGCATGCTAATGGGCTCTGAATGAATGAATGGCCACGAATGACCATGAATGGATGAACCAGGCTTACCCCTCCCACACCACACCCTCGGTCCAGTCCAGGCCATGGCAAAAGCAGGGTAAAAAATGGAAACAAGGAAGAGGAAAGGAAGGGAAAAAGTTGCCAGGTGGGAGGGAATTCTAAAACGAAACAAAGCTCAAGCAAGAAACACCTGGTCGAAACTCATCTGGCGGTCGTCTCAGAAAATGCACCTCAACCTTCAAAAGTTGAGTCGGAACGTTGAAAATAAACGGGAGCTAAACATTCGCGATATAAAAACGAAAAAAATACAAATTGAAAGGGTTTTTCTTTCTTTGAGACTTACCTTTTTGATGGCTCCGAGTTTTTGATATGATGATGCTTTTATGATTGCAACGTTCCGCTTCGGCGATGGCGGCTGGTATTTAAAGACGCAGTAAAAAGAATTATTCCGTGAGAAAACGACAGATAGAAAGAAAGAGTCGCACAAGCTAGGAAAGCGTAGCAGGCTCGTATTCAATGCTCTTGTAAAATGTAAGTTTCAAGTCCATCTTCTGCTTCTTATTTCTCTTGTCTGTACCCATTGGAACTCGGGGGAAAGGACCTTACCTGTTGAAGCAAATTATATTATTCGTATTACTCCCGTGGAGTTTCGATGGCCAGCAAATCCAGAAACGTCCGATGGAGGGTTGGGTGGAGAAGTGGGTGAGGATTCAATGAGCGAGGGGGGGTAGTAGTAGTGTACGATCTTTTCAGCTAAGGGAACTGTTATATATACTCAAGAAGTATGTATCAAGTATGTATGCATGTAAGTAAGTATTTATTGCCTAGCTAGCTGATTAGCTGGTTAGCTCTATTGTCTGTAGTGTATACGTAGACGTTATGCGGAAGGTGCGTCTGATGTGTGATGTGTGATGTCTGGTGTTTGATGTTTGATGTTTGATGTTTTAACGATGGTGCACAGGAGAGAGAGCAATAAATCGAAATCCAAAAAAGGATGGGCGGGCGGGAGGAGGAAGAATAAGAGGAGGAAGAAATATACCAAAGAACGGTGAACGGTGACTGAGCGACCGGGCCCGTTGGTTGGTTGGCTGGTTGCTTGGTTAGTCCGGTTCGTAGTCTGGTATCTGGTTAGGCTGGTAGACGGGCTTAGCGAGAACTGAGTCCTTCGGGCTGCCAGGTACAGCGAGGAAGTAAGTACCTACTATTATAGTATACACTAGGTACTCGAGCTAGTACTATTGTATGTAAGTACTTATGGTAGAGATAGAAATAGAAATAAAAATAGTAGTAGAAGTAGAATCAGAAGTAGGATATAGGTTAAATTCTGGATTTAAATCCGATCTTGATGTATACCAACTAGCAAGACCAGCCAGCTAAAATGAATGACTAGTGCAAAAGGGAATGGAACGAGATATCCTGGAAAACAAATTTGTGAATCAGGGCATGGCACCAGCGGATGGCTGGCTGACTATCTATAAATCTATCTGATTACTTACTTACCGACTTACATACAAACCTGTGTATACATCTACCCCTCTGGTTAAAAATGGACATCCCCGGGTGTAGAGCGGTACCCTCTGGAAACATTTTTTAATTTTTCCTTATCAAGCTCAGGGAAGAGCTCCAAAGGTAGACGATAGATGCAGCCGCTATAGATCTAACTCTCCGCGTCTACATACCTCATTTTTTTGAGATAAATTGCATTATTACCTACAAAGCATGTATGCAAGTAAATATATTTGCATTTCTTTCTTCTAGAAGCTCTTCTCGAGGTCCTGTTTCAGCCTTAGTTCATGCTCTGATGAAGTGAATGTTGGCCTATGTGCTCCGTACAGTGTTTTTTTTATATAACTTTGCCCCCCCCATATTTCCCTGGAAAGATTGCTCCGAAGACCGTTTTGGAGATTCTATCCGTTCGGGTTGAGCCATTCGAATTCGTCGATGCTGAACTAGCTTCTTTCACGCTAAAAGCAGGGAAGCATCGTATCTTCAGCCTCAATTTACTCAACTTTTCGAACACACAAGCCACTCTACTAACTGTATTAGGGGTTAGTGTATTCATTAGCCACACTTACTTACCCATATTGGTCCTTAGTGCATCGCTTCTGCAGGTTAATAGACAAGGTCGGTAAGGCCGCAAAAACTCGAAGGCAATGCAACAGATGTTGGATATCAGTGACCCAGCCGTCGAATAAACCATACAATCGATTAGTATTCAGTCGGAACGTTCGCGTTCTCCTCGGATCTTCGTCATCGACAACTTAAAGAGGTCTCGGTAATGTACCTGTTAATCCATGCACATACCTTAATTTGGGTGCGGGATCATGCGGGTAGACAAGAGGGCAGATGACGCTTTGCATCTTTGCTCTCGACGAGTTTCAAGGTTTGATGAAACACACAGAGCAAATTTGCACAATGAAGTTGGCCAGCCTTCAGCTCAACTTTTCTTTCCGTTTCCCAACGGTATCGGCTGGTAAAATCGTAATTAACTATCATGTGCGTGAGTTCTAATGCAGCCATGGAGGTGTGGTTTTTTTTTTTTTTTTCAGTCAGTCAAGCATATCGCTTGTTTCCTCAAAAAGTTTGTCAAGGGGGGTGGAGCACGATCCAAAGTAGCCACCGCCAGCAGAGAGGGAGGTCAGCACCTGTCATGCATTCACCTTTTTCACCTTGAGTAAACGGACCTGAAGGACTCTGAAGTCTAGTCGACATACACTGAGTCCCCAAAATTCGAGGCTAGTAAACATGTTTTGGCCTGGGCACCTAAAGTCTAAAAGTCGATTTTTGACTAACATCAAATTAAACGTAGATGCCCTGAGGCTCCCATGTTTAAATATAAACCCATATGATAAAACACGCCTGAAATTCGAATTTTGGCTGGTCAATGCTGTTTAAGCACAAACCTCTAACATGGCTCCAAGACAGTCCATAGATCTGATTTACCCATCGCGCGATTGTTTCTATAGACGCAGGCAGCTAGTTACCGGCAATAAAACGTGGGACGGCATACGAACGGGGAGCTCACGGCTGAAGAGGGCATTATCTAGGGAAGGAGCTGGAGCTAGGCAATAATGTGGTCAGATGGCAATTTGGTATATACACAGTACTCGAGCTCGCTTGTACTGGCCATTCGGGAGGCTTCAGGCTGATAGGGAAAACCTTTATCGAGTTAGAACGAATATGATGCCGGCGAGTAGGCAGAGGTGATTTCGCCATCCACTGCTTCGTCCCAATTGAGATAAGTGATAGGATGGCTATTACGGTGCATGACGTCTAGGCCGGCTTTCTCGTGAGTTCTACGCCAACGGTCAATATTATGATATTCACACCCTCAGAAAAATGTTTCACTAATAATGTGATAGCAATCTTGGGGTTTTCCGATCCGCGATAGGTATGGTATATTCATTTTTAAGAATTCGTTATTGATAAAGAACATTGAATCTTTCATTTAATATTTCTGAACGCGGTAATAATAGGTCAGATGCAGACATATTTTGATACAGGCGCACGGTCTGGGTCTACAGCTAATTCATAGCTGAGATGTTTGGTGGTCAAGGCTGTGGAAGTTTTCCATGAAGTACGTAGCGAGTACGCCCAAGCTTTCTTGACGTCTCCAAAAGACGTCCGAACATCATTTAAGCCTGCACCGTTGTCTGAACCATGTTAATTTCTCTCAAACAAAGGCCTTCTTTTGTAGTAAATGTTTCAGCCTTTCGATCGAAACGTGAATCCCGTATATAGCCCCAAAGAGTCAAATGTGGCCGAGATTTTCAACCACGTGCCCCAGGATTTAATTCGTCTGCACAGACGGGAATCCGGCTAATATCAACTTACTGCAGCCCGCGGCCTGCATGGACGGCAGAGCGTAAACTCCATAGATTTTCCATAAGACTCTCGAAGCCAGCATGATCGCGCGATTTTGTCGTATATCCACATATTTGAAACATGCCTGTAAATGTATGTCAACGCCCACTCAAGATCCATTGTTGCAATGTGGATTACCATAGATGTATACAGGTACATAGTACATACACACATACATACTTGCTAATGCACTGCCTTCCTTATTCTACTAACACTCGGTTGTGGAAACATGCTTTTGGACCACTATCGATAGACGATCTTTAAATTAAGAAACCGGTTGGCGTCCCGCATCGTATTTCTCTATCAATTCCCCCGTTTGTGATTAGAATCGACAGTGGTTCGCCGGTGGCAACCCTTGACCAACGCCTTATTCCCAACCTGGCAGTTGTCGAATGTATCAGAATATCTGCCATGTGCGCCTCTGCTTCAGGTTCTCAGGAATACATCTGCGACAGCCGAATTATGCGAGATTATGGTTTTTTGATTCTTCATAAAAGGAATCCTGCTGGGCAGTTCGTTGACACCCGAAGGTATCAGAGTTTAATAATATCCTTAACTATTCGGATAACCTTTCTCGAACTGGAACAAGTATGCAAGCCCGACGTATGCCGGTGATAATATTGCGACAGACTTCAATTGCTCAAGCCAGCTTCGCCCGTGTTTTTGATGCCTGGCCGTTATTAGTGCTACAATTGGGCTTTTTAGAACCGTCGCTTTGTCTTCTCGGATCAGTCAAGTTATACATGCCGGTTGCTATAGATCATTGTTTTTTTCTTCCTATTTTTATCTTTAAAAGAACGCTGAAACGATGCTTGATCACTGACCGAAGGAATTTATATGAGCCGCACAAGGTGTAACTTGAGGCTTCGCGAACCCTTTTTCCGTTTAGTCACTGGATTCAACCTGCCACCCTAAGAAAGAAAAAAAAGTCGAACCTTTAATTTTAAAAAGTCACCGATTTCGGTCTGCTCCGCCGCTTTTGATCAGCGACCGACATTGCATTCTCTGCAATAACGAAGCTTACAGCGTCATGTAATGATACTTTGTCAATTAAGATCACGAGAGTTGGTAGTTTTAAACCCCCTTTTTTTTTGCAGCGGCAATCCAATTCCCTGTCCTCGATTATAATAAACATGTTTATCATGGGTAATAGTATCGTAGGCAGAATTCCCCGACCAAAACGGGTTCACGAAAACTCCGAAATTAAATTTCCCAACCCACGCAAACTTTAGAACCTTGCACCCTTTCCCGTGTTTACGAGATATCTTCAATTGATTTTTGGGGGGAGCTCACGGGGCACGGAAAGCTCCACTCCCTCCCCAGAGGACAGAATTGATTTTTTTTGAACTATTGTTCGCATTATCAACGAGCGACAGTTTTGTAATCTGTAACAAGCGCCAAGGGGGCCGGCCTTGCATGTAAACGACTATTACGTTTCAGAATCACACTTCGTCAGGACAACAACCACAGTGGGGTCTATTGATCTATGTAATTCTCAATACTTTCATCATTGTGGCGGACGTTTAACATAACGGAACATTTTCTTTTAAACGTTTTATCTCCACAAAATGTGGAAATTCTCATGGGGTTATCTCGTCATGAATGACAATCGATCTAGAATTCATGCCCAACCTCACGGATTGGACGCTGGACTTCCTACACTTATTGAATGTGAAACGTGAATACCAAAAAACTAACATGCCTATTCCTCGGCGGAACGAGCATTAAAGACCTATTAATCGACTAAGCTAGTATTCAAAAAAATCTTGACTTACAAACCAGAGAGTCCTTGTTCGGTAACAAGTCGGAGTTTCCTCGTTCGTAAAGTCTCCTTGCGTTGCCTCACTCAGTTTACAACCATCATCCATGTAGAAGTCCCATGATAGTTTTAATCAACCTGTGACTTCTAACAGAATAGTCCAGTCATATAAGCTTCGGTACCGAATGCATGGCTTGCCAACCTTCTTTTTGGCCACCGACCCCACTTCTTCCAAGCCCCCTAAACGTCAAGTGTATCATGTTTCTTCGGCTGGGCGTTTGAAACATCCAAAAGGCTTTTTTTCAATATCTTCGACAAGAAATAATCGAGCCGCTTTAGTTATCGTGTATCAACGGTGTTATTTTTCTACGATTGGTCGAATATTCGCATCGTTGGGCAAAAACGGCCGAGTTCTAGCCACAATACACCCCACATGCATGGCTCTCCCTGGTGAAGTTCCAACGGCTCATGGTGCTTGTCAACTAGTCTGTACAACGTAGGCGCGCCGTTTTGATTAAATTAAAACTAAAGGGTGACATTATACATTCGTCTTGCCGTGATAATGCCCATTGTTAACGGCTATTGGGTACTTTGTTCTACAAACCCGTCCACTCGTTCATGCAGGAAGCGCTTAAGTGATAAACATCGTTAATCGACGAATTGCCTTCTAAAGAGCCTTTGCAGGCCTGGTCTACGTATCTGAACGGGGTTCTTATCTGGTGGTTTCTATGGGGAGTCGACCAATAGAAGGTACCCCGCATATGGAGACAGACTGTGGAAGATACTAGAGGTACATACGTGTCGACATATCTATGCTCGCGCCCGGTATATCGATCCTCCTCCTCAGCGCGCGTTTCTAGCTTTTAGTCTTTTGAACGTCAATCTATTTAGGCGAGCGCTGCCAGTTTCAAAAATATTAATATTTGATCACCTGCTATGGTAAAACCGGGCAATCGACGATGTTTCCCCAGGGCACAAGGCAACCAAAAAGATCTAAGAACCGTGGAGAGACCTTTTTGCGAGATGCCAGTCATTCTCATAAATCTGTAACATCTCGCTTGAACTCCAGAAAAGACTATCATGAAACCTCGCTTTTCCAGGGAAGGAACAAAAATACTAGGGCCAACGAACGAGCGGGGACGTTAGAAAACTCCTATTATACCGACATTCGGGGAAATATTCGTAACGGGAAGAAATAAAATCATTGCGACTTGGACTGTGGAGAATCCGGCGTGCAGAGAGAAAGGGAAAAAAAGCTTGGACAACGAAGCATAAAAATCTTGAAACACCAAAGCTACCCACTCGTATCCCGCCCTCAACAGAAGTTCTTGAAACAAACCCAAGATAGGTCAATGCCGTGTCTCAACCGTCCCTATTAAGGTTGAATCGCGGTTGAGGCATTTCCTCTTTCGTGAGGGAACTCCGTCCGCAAGACCAAGAATCTTTTGAGTTTCCAGTTTCTATTCGGCGTAAGCTCTCCCGGCCCAGCTTTTCGGATTTAGCCTTTTGCAAAAGGGTCTTCTTTGTAATGCTGACACCTTCGAGACCCATTATCCGCCTCGACCTCAGGTTCGTTTCAGACATCTTATGTTTTAGATGTATTCCATAGATAGCAGCAATGTTCTCGTTGCCACGTCCTTCTGAGGAATCCATACATAGCAAGCCATTTGAGTCTTTACTAGAAGGTAGACTCATGACGTTGCATTCTTTGTATATGATACACATATGGTAACGAACATCTTAGCCAGCTTCGCCAATACTCGGAAGCTAGGCCCACCCCATCAGGAATAGATTGACCGCTTGAAGGGTCGCTCTGGACGGGTTCGCTTGTGTCCGATCAGATATGATCCAACTAAGGCGTTGACGAATCATGCCTTTATCCACCTGCTGATTCGAGTTTGCAGATTTGGGTGTGAGACGACCTTGGTAGAGATATATGAATATTAGCTATACAGTTCTAGAATACCAGAAAGGGGGGTGTGTTACAGAAAGAAGGGATCTTGTGCAACATACCATGATCATCAAATAGCTGACATATTAATGCAAGCGTGATACCAACCGACACGTTGTTCCCCGTTTGGCACGCAATGATAAGCGGTCGTGATGAGTCCGACGTAAGAAGCTCCCCCGCCCAACCCACCACTTCCACAAGTTTGGTTCGAAGCTGCTTGCTTCCTACCTTATTTGGAGGAATATACGTTCGATATTCAGGGCACCAACTTTTGTTGGCTTCTGCACGTCCTTCCAGAAACACACCGGATTCGTAACAAACTATAGCTGCTGCGACGGGTGTTTGAGCTTTCCTCAAAGCTTCGTATGTTACAAGATCGCATATCGCAAGTTTCTTGTGAACTTTGCTGAGGATAGATAGTCCCGTGAGATCGGTGGCGGGTGGGTTATTGCTATTGCTTCCCCCGGATTTGACAATTTCGTCGATAAGTTCCGGTAACTCAGCTTCTGGGGTCTGCAGCAACCTTTCTCGATTTCCCCAGTAGGTAACTGGTAGTAATCCTCTAGCCCACCCTTCATGATCATCCCCTGCACCTTGTATATATACGAAATTCTGCCCGAGCGCTCCCGAATCTCTTGGTTGTAACTCTTCTTTGAGATACCTGGATGCTGATAAGAGATAAACAGGGTTATATTCTTCCCCGATATATTTTATATCTGCAACATCTGTTTCCCGAGTAATCCAAACCGGTTTCATGGGTTTTCGTAACTGCGCTGCAAGCTTCTGCGTGTCGAGCTGCAGCTCTCGCAATTGTTTCGAAAACCCATCAATCAACTTTGAGATCTGTGCCCTTTCTGACGCGGAAACAGCGTTCTCTGGTAACTCGACTTTTGCGCCTTCCTCGGAGCTACCAGGGAAAAGCACGGAGTTCATAACTGCACACCAGATTGGAACAGTTTTACTCAGTGCGTCGGGAATAGATTTTCCTCTCCTTGTGCTGTCGACGATTATACAACCTCTGTTTTGTCCAATAAGCTCCAGAATCCCGAGATTTAGTCTTCTCAGACTAAAACTCCAACATCCAAAATGTCCGTCTGTGGATTTGAAGTAGCATGATCCTGCTTTCTGAGACGGCGGGACATACCAGCTTCCACATCGTTCATTCGCTACTATGGGAAGCCCTAGTGTCGAAGCAACAGATTGAACAAAGAGAGAATCCGAGTTAATAGAATGCAAACGATTTGAGATCGATAAGCGTGTGAATTTGCGGATTGTATTTGCGATCGAATTTATAGAAGGGTTAAAGAAATCATCCGAAATTTCTTCGGGCTGTAAATCTTGAATAGAGTTTACGTCCGTCTCTTCTTGGGAAGTTGAACCATGCTTTAAGGAATCGGTCTCTACGTCGTTGGCACCGGATTCCGGCAGGTTTGTTGGATTTTCCTCGTCGCTGTCATATTCAGAGGAAGAATCTTCGGCGGGTCTGCGAAAGAACGACATCCTTGTTGTATTTCCTGGAATTATGGTTCCACAAGAGGCTTAATCCGGCTTGTGAAAGGACTTCAGGTATTGGTCGAGTTCGTTTATGTCTCCAGGCTCTTTCAGTGTAACTAGCTTTACCAGAATTGAGATTCCTTGACTTTTTGATTGATGAAAGCCGTCTTTCGTTCGATTAACTAGTTAACCGGCGCGGCTACTATGCTTGTAGGTAAATGTAAAGAATATGTTCAAAAGCAAAGGAAAGTAACTAACGGTTAAAGAAATTATAAGCTTTTTAGTCAGGACTGTTGTATTTCTTAATTTATGGCGTTGGAGAAAGATCGGCTTTTGAGAAAAGAAAAGATCTGCGGGACCATCGTTGTGCCACCAACACAAAGAAAAGAGTTGAAAGATCGCCCATGCCTTTTCACCATCGACAACATTGCACCAAATCTATTCATCGTGATTGTGAGGTCAATATTTGACCAAATGAGCTAGTTTTGGGATCAATCGAACGGCGAAGATGATATCTACATTTAGTGAACTATGCTTGAGGACGGCTAGAATTTTGAAAATGAAAATAATCACGTGCATCGAAGGTGGAAATACCACACCAAATTAATCGCTTTTGTGTTGTGGGTTGGTCTCGTATTGTGGGTCATTAGCTGTTCTTTTTGCTGATATATGCAATAATGAAATTGAATTGTCACGGTAGAAACCGACGATGAGTTAGAGCTCATGTGTGAATATAATCCTTTTTTCTGGACAATAGGAGAAAAAACATGCACCCATTTAATATATTCCTCAAAAATACCATTGTTTTTTTTGTCTCACACCCAGCCCCATCCAGGAGAACTCTAGGGTGACACCTATGTTTTTAAGATTATATTTCTTACATATTCGTTCATTTGGTTACCCAGTTCTCTTTATATTATTATATTCATTCCCATTCGTGTCCGCTACTTGGGGATGTATTGTTAACGGCTGCTAAGCCGCTTAGGCTATACGTCAGACTAGTCATTGGATAATTGATATGTCGAGGATCTATACCCCCAAACTAAGCTTTTGTACAATGTATACAACAAGGTCTCCGAGCCTGTTCAATACGTTTTTGGGACATCTTCGTTGATATTTATGTCGTTGGTGTCATTGAACAGACTCTAATTGTATTTGAATGTTAAATTGGTAAATTCCGACATCTTAGGGTCCTTCTAATAGTTTTAACCGACGATATACTACTAATACGATGATCGATCATACAAACCGACGCCGCCATCTAGTACTCACTTGTTATTCCTTGGTTCTGGGATTATCGCGGCAATATATATTTATTCGACATCCAAAAAATCCTATTGTTTGTTTCTTGGGATCTCCTAGAAGTGTTCTGGATCATATAATGGGATGTAGCTACCGTTGAATGATTGTGCATATCCATATGTTCTGTTCCGGAATGCAAGGGGCTAGTTCCATTGTATAATATTATATATACGCCAATGTTGCTAAACGGTAAGATCGTCGAGGATGTAAGATTAATGCAAAAAGTTCATAACCTTGAGGTTTTATGGTAGCGATGCATTTGAGGGTAGCGACGGGTTGAAGTAGATTAGGGCTGGGGTTGTACCATGAAGTTAGGAAAAACGTCAATGATATGTATGGAGGGCTCATAAACATGTTGATATGGCCCCGCCGTTTGCACAACTAGTGTATCAGTATTAATATATTATGCGCCATTTTGCCCATGGGAGGTAGGTTTTATCGACGGAATGAATTTTCGGGCGACATCGGCAGGGATAGTTTTAAAGGGGGGCCTGGAAAAGTACCATGATGTCTGGGAAAGAGACCACATGATGTCAGTGTTTATTCGAAGAGTCGGAATATTCATAAATAGGTTGTCAGTGTGATATTGAGAAGTTCATGACCAGCCCTAATATTCTCGTATTGAATACCATGGTATCTTCGATGGTTCACCGCACCTTCTTTGAAGGCGTAAGGGTTCGAATATATAATCAATCCATTGTTACGACGTTTCGAGGCGTTCTTCTCTCCAGAAGGGCTCTTTTCTGAAGAATTTATCTCGGCGCACGGGCTCAACTAATTGATATATCTGGAAGGCTTTCTGTAGCAATGCCCAGTCTAAATCATCATCCGGGATTGGTTTGATATGCAAGTCCAATTGCAATATCCACCCAAGAATTTTTTAGGGTGGGGGTGGGTACGAGACAAGTCCAATATTCTAAAGTAGTATAGTTCTATAAAACTAGTCAAGCTAAAAGCACTTCTGTTAAAAGCATTTGTATATATGTCTTTATTCAGCATGTAACAAGGCTGACTCAGAATTAAGTTATGACTAAGATGAGCGGGTGCCCATCGTTTTGGGTCTCTGTCGTAGTTAACCAGCTTTGATATATTTATACATGTACATGTATTGAATGCGCAGCTATTTCATCGCAGGAATTCACAAATGGGGAGGTGTGCATGTGTGTACACGTGTGTAACCCCGATAACTATATCAGATCTTACTAGCATATAGACTTAAAAAATGGGTTTGATAGGTAGTCGTCGTCTAAACGTTTCGGTTATGCGGATGTTAGCGAAGACGAAGTCTCGAGCACTCAAGCGGATATCAATGTATGACTACAGCGCCTTTAAATCATGAAACGTGGTTTGCGAATCTAGCATTTTGCTCGCAGATTTGTAATATATTATGTGAATATATACTAATTAAACATATTTAAACACCACCGGTGCACCCATTCGTGAATTTTAATGGTCCTATAAACATGTCGACTCGCACCAATCATATAAGGTTTCTTCATCAGTTCATATTTCCTTTGTTGCCATATTTCGCGCAAAGGGTATTGTAATTGATATCCATGCATCCATCGTGTAACGGGCTGATTCGATGTATACGTATACGTAGTTTTATATCATTGTACATTTGTATTTTTACCAAAAGGTAGAGCGCCCATGCGGGGAGTTCTCGGTTAGAGACTAGACTCTATATATATCATGCGACCGAAGTCGTCCCGATCCACGTATTTTCTCTATACAAATAAGGTTATTTCTGGTGCAAACATCTCCAGAATGTCCATTTGGCGGGTTGGGAGGTCGAAATAGATATATGTCTATACTAATGTGAGAATTAGCATCAGGATTGCATACTGCGTGAGGCTGATATGGACTTTCACTATATAATACATTACTCGAGGAAGGAGATGGTATCTTGTATTAATATATATAGACTCTGGAATGGTCATAATTAATCTCGAGAAAGAAAACATATCGTCCCATTTTGCTTTTTTCTTTTTCTTTTATCTTTCTAGAAGTGATCATTTTATAAACGTGTTTTCAATTTTGTTTCGATACTAGTTTATAGCTGGTTTGGTCACCATTCTAACTGTGTTTCCAATATTCCAGCTTTGATTAAAGTTCGCACGTCCATAATATTGGTATCTGCGTAGGGTTTTCACGACTATTTATATAGAATCTAGTATTTTAAAATTAAGATGCCGACATGATAAATCTAGAAACGCACATTCCTCGATCTCGTTTTCCGTAAACACGAATAGGTTGCTAAGACTTATATGTCATCTGTACGCCGAAGACTGGGGGGAGGTAAAATCATATATTAGTATCGTGTTTCGTGATAACATGACTTTTGTTGAGTCTCCGTCTAAATAATATCATGTTCTTGTCTTTACTTGTCTCGAATATATATGTCCTGGTACTTTAAGCCAGTAAGTCAAATTTAGGTCCAATCGTATATCCTGATAACAAGAACCATCAATTCGACGTGTACGATGTCAGGGTCTTTGGGGGGGGGTTAATTATCAGCTTGATATATCTACGACAGCGGCAGCGAGGAAGAAAGGGTTCGGTGAATCATGAGAAGTTTTCCGAGAAGATATATTACTATATATTGTGATGTAACTCTAGTGTATCACATACCTTGTGTGTATGTATATGGCGCAAGTTTCTAACAGAAGCAAAATATATATAGCTACAATAATCATATTCTGAGACCATCTCTCTTATGATATTTTTGACTCATATTTACTAACACCAATTTCAAATTTGGTAGCCATGATACGGGTAACAACTAGCAACGTATTAAAATCGATAATGTACTGACAGAAATATGGTTGCTGCATTGATTTTGGCGACACATGTATCGTTTACCTATTCTTGGTGTGATCTTGATTACTCTATTTGGGAACGATGCCGGTCATATAGAAACAGTTTATAATTTAGTCTATTGAGCCCAACGATTCATGAAGGGGTTTCAGTTCTTCTTGTTATCTAGGCCTAATGTTTAGGCCATAGCCCCTTGTTCCAATTTGACGGATAGTCAGCTATGGTGGTTGTAATAATACTCCTGTTTAACGAGGCACCCCGTGGATTCTTATAGGTAAATATATATAAGAATACGGCGGCAAAGACACTTCTCGCCGAACCTGCGGTACATCGGTTTTTGGATGTCGTAGCTTCATAATGAAACCCCTTTCGCTTTGGTTCTATCGATATTGACCAACGAGGTACATTAATTGAAATCGAGACCGAAAGCGAGGTGAAGTTTCGAAGAAGGCACTGATATATATCTGATAAATTAAGCAAGCACAACATTTTATGGTAGTGCGGAACTCAAACCGCAATGTATTCCTACCCATGACCTGGTAAGACTCACCAGGCGGGTTTATTCTGTATATACTGGGAGGATCTTTCGACTTCGACGATTTCAGTTCCAAATAGTTAAGGTTACTATATATATGTACCTTTTTTTGATTAATAGGAGACCAGCTGCAGTGAAAATGTCGCTTTACCCGATTTTTCACGTACGTATGCTCGATATGACGGGATCAAACTTGATGTCGGTTTCCCAGCCGAGGGAGAAGAATATCATTATTTTCGACGGCGACCTTGTATCGATAGTCAACAGAGAGACGGGTCTAGCGGTTGCATACGTTTTCTTGTCAAAGATGTTAGTAAGGAAATACATATCTGGTATTTCGAACGCTTATGTTTTGATTGCTGTATTAGCCCAAAGGAATTACTTAGTATATATGTTTAAGGTCATGGAAATGAGACATTCCCTCTCAATATACAAATTAATAGATATAGTTAATATGGTAATCAATGGGCCACTAGGCGGTTAAAACCTCCTTTATATATTACCGTTATAGAGTAATAAATAGGGTAATCGATATCCACGGTGGGATTTAACATATACCCTGCTGTTTTTTTTTAGGGTTTATATCCATCGTCAGTCATCAGAAACACTAGGAGAGCTAGCTCCAGAACATGAAGTTCGATCTTAGGTATCGAAAAAAAGAAGTGGAGTTTGGGTTTCCCATTCAACTATTCCTATGTCGATGATTAAATAAGACATCGTTTTCAATTTTTTGTTCATTGCATTTCATCCGGATTAAACAATTTTCATTCATGAGGTGCACTGCGAGTTCGAAGGTGCATGTGTATAAATGTGATTTCCTGAGACATTTTCTTCGGGGTTTGACTTTATTAATATTCCCAGGTTTTAGGCCTAGCGATAGAATAATATTGATGTATCGCCAACCTCATAAGCAGAATGTGGTGCATGATATCCTTCTTAATTCCCGCCTAGGGGGTATGTATATGAGCTGGATGTATATATCCTACCATGAATTCTTGGCTAGATCTAGATCTAGAAGCTTCAGTATGCTAATATATGTATTCTATTATACATAATATGACGGCAACATACTCATAAGCGTATCATCCAATATATGCAAGCTTAAGCTTCAGAGGATGCCTATATATACACATACCGCAGCTTCTCCATCTGTGAGCAGTTTGTCGGAATTGAACTCTTGGGTATACTATATGGTAACCAATGTGTCATGTCATCTGATTAACCCAGGTCCAGTATATAGTAGCTAGCCTTAGAAGGAAGTACCCCTCTATATGCATGTATATAAAATTAATATCCGGTTGGATCATATTGTGATCGGCGAATAGCTTGAATTCAATGCCAACCTTATATATTTCCGACCGGTTCTTTGACATATGTATTGAAATCGAAACGGCTGTTCATTGGGTGTTAAACGAGAACTTGTCTGTCACTGTAAGGATGGCATCAACCTCCCTACGGTATCCCCCAAGTTACATTTTTGACTTTTTGGTAGCTTGGTAATGAAGTCTAGCTTATATATTATAGCGTCGGGAACCACCATCGTTTTCACCCTTCTTCCGTTTGATGGTGTTACACCCAGTGCTAAATATTGGAGGGTATAGTACTATGTATATATTATGTAGTCGACTAGCTCAGCTCCCGGTTTCATTAACGGTGCTTACGTTTGAATCCGCACTACTTGGTTCTAATGATCTGATCATTATTTTTGTACTGAAAGTAGTTTGTGCTTGTGATGAAATGCTCCAATCGTCTTTTCTCTCACTCAAATGTATTGCCAGTGGGTGAGGTAAACCGTCATCTGGAATCTTAACCTAGCTCCACCTAGAAAATTATATTTCATGAACTTCTAGATATTCGATATCGACTGCCAAAATGAGCCATTTGTGCTGTACGATCGAAAATATTAGTACTCATAAGAATACCATAATCTCATATATTCTAGACCTTCAAACCACCCTAATAATAAACATTCACTAAAAGGGTATATACTTATTTCAATTAATTCATCCACACTTTGGAATCCCCCCTAAAAATGTGTATAGAAAATGTAGAACCTCCACGGGATACACGCATTCTGCCCTTTATGCCTCCTATATATATATCTCCTGCTCCGTCATGACATTCGGTTAGCCTTTCTTTGTAAACGTATTCAACGAATGAAAGTATATTCTTCTTCAGGGGTATAGATATATATATTCGCGGTAGAAACGGAGCCATTTTTCTCAAGGAACATTTCTACCCGTGGCTTATATATGGTTTCATGTTGTTTGAGAAGCTAAACTTATAAGGCTGTACGCCATACTAAACCCTTCCTTCTTTCCACTATATGGCTATAGGTGGTCCGTAGAGATGTGTTCGATAACGAAATCTTCATCTAAGTCGCTTTCTTCGTTGCTAGATTCATTATTGTGTATTCAGCAGTCTTAGAGGATGGTGGGTATATAAAAGTTCGTCTTGGTGGCATTTCGGATGCTTGACTTCGAAATCTTACATAAAAATTGGTATTTCGGAAAATGTTACGGCTCATAGCCTGTAGAGGTTAGTTTATAGAGTAGGGGTGAAGGGGGGAGGAAGATGCATCTACGAGGGAGGAAGTGAAGGAAGAGAAGGAGGGAAGAAAGATGTTGAATGTTGAATGTGAATCTGTATTATTAAAATACATAAAAGAAGAAGAATTCAGACCACATGTGTGGAAGCTAGTAGCCTAGTATAGAAAGCCCTTATATCCACTCTAAGAACTGAAAGAAAAAAAAAAGAAAACGAGAAGAAAAAAAGGCGCCTGGTTATGCCCAGAAAGCTACAGAATCCTCCATTCCTTTCCACCTAGATGCATTTCTTTTTTATCTTCCTTCTCTTTCTTTCTTTCACTTTTTCATTATCATTATTCGGATTTTTTTGTTAGAAATGCTGGCTTCTTTACCACCCACGACCTTGAAGCTTCTGGGATTCCGGAAGGGATGAGACGGAAACACCGACCATGGCTTCTCCAAGGCCCTCAGAGACTTCAGCTAGAATCTGCGGGTTGTTGTAGTGCGTAACAGCCTATCACACGCTCAATCAGTAAACGCTCCATATAATTTCCCTCCCAAAATCAAATCCCTTATTTAAAAGGAAACGAGTAGAGAGTAAAAAAAAATGAACAATCATCTCCAAATCATCTTACCTGAACAATAGCCTTAGCCCTCTTTGCTGGGTCTCCACTTCTGAAGATACCACTTCCAACAAAGACACCATCACAGCCTAGCTGCATCATCAAAGCAGCGTCGGCTGGGGTAGCGACACCTCCAGCTGCGAAGTTGACGACTGGAAGACGACCAAGCTGGGCGGTTTTCTTGAGGAGGTCATAGGGAGCTCCGATTTCCTTGGCCATGACGTAGAGTTCTTCGTCCGAAAGGTTCTGGGCCTTCTTGATCTCGGAATTGAGAGTGCGCATGTGCTTTACCGCTTCGACGACGTCGCCGGTTCCGGCTTCACCTTTGGTACGGACTATTTTACTCCGTTAGTACGTCACACCTTCCCCAAATCTAGCCTCTTTGCTTCTATTGGGTAAAAAGTAGGAGGAATTGAAACATACTCATAGCAGCACCCTCGCTGATTCTTCTTAAAGCCTCACCAAGATTTCTGCATCCACAGACGAATGGAGCCTTGTAGCCATGTTTGGTGACATGGTGGACATTGTCTGCTGGGGTCAAGACCTCGGACTCGTCGATGAAATCAATTCCAATGGCATCGAGGATTTGACATTCGACAAAGTGACCAATACGAGCCTTGGCCATGACTGGGATTGTGACGGCTGCTTTGATACGCTTGATCATCCCTGGGTCAGACATACGGGAGACACCGCCCTCGATACGAATATCGGCTGGGATACGTTCCAATGCCCTATGAAGATGTTAGGTTTTTCCTTGATAAGAACGGTATTGGTGTTTAAATTTTCATTTGGGAGGGTAGGGACGTACATGACGGCCGAGGCACCGGCTTCTTCGGCGATGCGAGCTTGCTCTTCGGTTGTGACGTCCATGATGACACCGCCTGGGAGACTGTTAGTTATTCCATGGCAGTAGGGGAGGTGATTATGAAGAAGATGGTGGTTTAGATGCAGATGACGGTGGAGAGGGGCTGGTAGAGGATAGAGGGGACCTTACCTTTCAGCATACGAGCGAGAGCATCCTTGTTGGCGAAGGAGGTCGCATCTTGAGCAGTGGAGCCATTGGCGCCGTTGAGAGAGACGTGGGTCTCGACTGGAAGTTCGGTGGCCATTGTGATTGAAGGTTTTGATGAAGTGATGATGTACGAGAGAGTTGGTAGATGGTAGGTGGTAGGTGGGTTGGTGGTGGGTGGTAGGAAGAAAGGATAGAGTTTTTATTCTTTCCTTCGAGAAGGTTGTTAGCTTAGCTGGACGTTGCAGAGTTTTTGAGAGCGAAGAAAAAAAGGATGAATGGAAGGCAAGAAAAGAAAGAAGGAAGAAAAGATTGGGATGGAATCGATCACGCCACCGCTATCCAGCAGCAGAGGAGCATGCAGATGGAGATGCCAATTGGAGGAGGGAGCTAGAAGGGGGGGGTTATAATTACAGGAGGTTAGATTGGTGGTTGATGTTCGTGGGGTGGTCGTGAGTGAGTGAGTGCGGTGGATGAGGGATGAAAAGGACTGGTCGTGAAGTTAAGATATTTTTATACTCCGAGATAGCCTATTAATATTGCCCCTCGATCTATCAATCAATCGATGCAATCAATCAATCAATAAGTCAATCGATATCTATAAAATCCGGGGAATCCACTGTGACTCAGCAATACATCCGGTTCCGCAATCTAGTACTATATATTATAAATTCAAAATCTGGATAATAGTGAAGGATCCCTCCTTCTTATAGTCAAGTACCGTTATCTACTAGTTTTTTCCCCCCTTCTCGAACGTCGCATCTACCCGCCCCCCATGTATAAGCTCCCATAGTAATAATTTTTTTTTTTTACTCGATGAGGGCCGATGCTATATTGGACCAATGGCGCATTAGTCCAGAAAAAAAAAACCACCCCACCATGGCATGGCGGGGTCTTGTATTACCTAACGCTAAGCAGTGCTAACTCGAGCCACCCGACGGGGAATGTTTGCCTAGAAGTTTCTTTTCTTTTGGAACTCGAACAAAAAGATTTGGACTCACACAGGGTCTTAGCCGTCGATTGCCGGGTCGCAGCGATGTCGGGCACCTACATACAATAGCTAGTACTGCTCGTGCGCCCGTTTATTAACTTTCTTCACCATTCGGGGGAGCTCGAAGCCGCGGCTATTAATCTATCATATTATATCTTCTCATATCACATACATAGTACCTGTATCGTGGCAAGCTAAGTGTTGAGCTCAACTGTTTGTCATGTAAGTTACTTGAAGCAGTAGCACTAGTTAAAAGATTCTGTCTCGTGATTGGCGGCAGTGGATGGAAAGATCGGACGGAACCCGGGGAGTGGGTTTGGCCGGGTTCTGACTGGCCCATATGAATAGACGGACAGTGGTCGATATCTCGTAATATATATCACTTAGGTACTCCAACCGGTCTAGGGATGGATAATCGATCGAGTTGATCTAGCTCAAATAGGTTCATGTCGAATTTTATAAAGTGAACGGGAGGAAGAGAAAAGGGAAACTGCTGGTCATGGTCATGGTCATGGTCATGGTCATAATTAAATGGGTATCTAAATTATAAAGTAACAGACGAAAGGAAGGAGAAGCAACGGTGAAGAACATATAAAAAAAGGAAACAATTTGAAGTTTAAAATATTATCATTTCCTTATCGTGCCATATCAATTTTTCGTTTCCCCGTTGACTCCTAAAAAAACAAAAAGACAAAGACGACACACGAATAACAGTAAAAAGAGACAATTAGTAAGAAATAAACCCAGCCGGTTGATGCCCCTTTCCCCGTTCCCTAGAGTCCTGAGAAAAAAAGAAAGAAAAAAAAGAAGATACTGAGAAAGAGATAGTCCTTCGCCCGGAAGGTTATATCATCGCAGAAGAGGTGGTAATCGTTCTTGTTTTTGTTGGCGGAGGAAATGACTTAAAATGGAGAGTCATCGTCGGTTCGCTTCTTGGGAATTCTATTCTCCTGACCAGCGACCTGGGCGAATGCAGACTTGAGCAGCGTAGGCTTGGTTCTGTAGTACCAACTGTTAGCATTTCGTGTCACATAGAGGTTACTTAAGGAGCGTGAAAAGGAACGTACTTTCCAAACTGCTTCTTCTTCTGAGCAGCCAGCTTCTGCGAGCAAGGACTCATCATGTTATCAGTTGGCGAAGAGAATTTTTCGGCATTGGCCGCACTACAGACACTAAATTAGCCAATCCTTCTTTTGAATATATATATTTTTTATCACAACAAAGAAGGAACATACTGGTCAGCTAGCTTCTGCTGGAGCAGCTTTCGTTGGGCTTCAAGGTTATCTGCCGGTGTTCCTGCTAGCTGGTGGAGAGGTTCGACAACAGCTAGAGGAGATGCCTCTGATGTGCTTGGGATGAATGTGGATGGTTCGTCGATATCCATAGATGATGACATGTTTGTGTCTGCTGGGATTTCAGAAAGTGGTGTAGACATCTTGTAATTTTTTATTTTTTATTTCTCTGAATGGACTGCCTTTGTTTGAAATGGTATTGTATTGTATTGTAATGTATTGTTCAAGTATGGTATCGTAGGATATTGAGATGGAGATTGATTGATTGGATGTGGAGCGTGGAGTGAGGATGAAGATGGAAGACGAGCTTATAAATGATATTTCTCCGTTGGATGAGAAGACAAAATGACAGTGTCAACAAGAGAAAGAGAGAAAGAAAAAAAAGTTAGACGGTTTCCAAACCAACACGGACAGGGAAGCAGGGAGCTGCCTTGTAGCTACCTGGTAGATGATTCAGTATCTAGGGAAGCTGGGTTGAGGATGTGTATACACAGTGAGTGTGGTGGGTGTTGGTTGGCTGGCTGGGGGATCGTTGGCAGGGCAACCCTCAACGACTTTCTTTCCCTTCTGTTCTTTTTTCGGAGGTGGGACTGACTGGTCCTGTTCTGTACCTACATACTACTTGACATACATCATCTTTCCTCATACATAATCTCTCTATGTCGTCAAGGATCCACACCTTAACGGAGATGCCTCGGCTCTTTCTTTTTTATATTTTACTACACTATCTTTCGGAAGTTAATATATTGTTTATTGGTTACTGACTACTAAACCTTTAGGTCGGAAGTTCTTCCGTAGTTACGTTCTGCTTCACTATGATAGTTACTGCTACTAGAGCATGACCGACCCACCGACCGCGGAAGGGCCCTTGTTGCTACCGATGCGATGAGCTGCTGCTACTCACAATTATGTTACCCTTATACGACAGCTGTAGTAATACGGCTGTTCCCGGTGCATATGTGCATATTATATCGTTCGGCATCACCCATCCTTGAGCGTTGAACCGCTGGGCAACCACTTTACCGGCTAGCACGGCTGCTACTCAGTTGCCGACCGATGGGTATAGCTCCCCGTGAGCCCGTCTGGGCCAGCAGCTTGGAACTGTATAGGTCCTTTTTGTCGCATACGGGATGCCTTATACTCTTCACCTCGGGTTTTCAACTAGGTCCTTAACACCAGCTAGAAACGGCCTTGTTTCTAGGCCACTCAAGCCATCTTCGAAGTGTTTGGCGACCGGGGCTATTCCAAGCCGATGATTCGACAGTTGAATACTCGGACACTTGCGCGGGAATCTAATACGATAGCGATGTATTTAACATTCACGTTCGCATTCACGTTCACGTTCACGTACATATACATACGCCTACCACCTGTTCAACCGAAACTACGTTGTGTGTCTAGTATGACACTGGCTTTATTGCTGTCGATACTTGGTCTTGGTGCGAAGGATATTTGAAAGGACAAAAATCAAGAGATTCATCTGGACCGAAAGTCACCTAAGTCATAGACCGAGGGCGCGGACAGCTGTTATATCGTATCGATATCTATCCTATTGGCGCTGGGGTAGGATGAGGAGAAGGAGACCATCCGTATGCTCTCTGCACCCCGCTCTCAAAGACTAACCGACCTTTTTATCTGACAGTATCTTGATGATGAATCTCTTGTTGATCTATTGTATTATATCCTACAGATTATTCAATATATATTCTTTCATTCATTCTTTATAAAATCTTAGATGACCGACCGTGGTGGTTTTATTGATATCATGTAATCAACCAGCCAAGTCGACAGATATTGGGGGCACAAAGACAGGACAAAAGACGAGGTGTTGTGCTGCAGGTCGGTCAGGCAAGGGATCTGCCAGCCGGGGGCTTGGCATTAATCGTGGGCAAAAAAGTTGAAGCGAAAGCCCGCGCGAGATTCGATTTCCCATTCGAACGAACATTTCGTTTTTTTTGCTCTTCCCTTCGAACCAACCACCACACCCACCACATCATACTCACATACACAGGCTCTCCGCTGACATCGTCAACCTCCATACAGGTCCTCGTAACGGAGAAAAATAGGAGGAGAAGGAGGATCAGCTCGTCACCATTAGGGACTTGAGCTTCATTCTGGTTGAGAACGGGTCCGGTTGAGGTTAGTTGATTCGATTCGATTTGATTGTTAGGGGGGAGGAACATGTTTGTTCTGCTTTCTTGTGCTCGTTCGGGTGGCTAACAAAAGAGTTTCGGCGCAGTTCAGTTGTTTTTCTAAACCCCATTCCGAGCAAAAACAGACCTGCCAAAAGGCCGGCTGCTTGCTTCTCCCCGCTCGCTATCTTTGAATATTTTGAAATCGCGTCTAGAAAAAAAAAAGTCTCGTTCAGTCTTGGTTCTGGTCTGGTCTGGTCTCGGAAGGGTCCCCACCCTCAGGATCGATCCTTTATCTGGAGATAAATACTATTATCAATCGAACCAAAGCACAGACAGAAAGAAACAGAGTAAAAAGGGTGTGCTATAGCCGATTGCTGGTAGAGAACTTGATCGCTCTTTGTAGCCTCTTATTCTTCCACTGTCCGTCCATCCATCCATCCTTTAGTCCATCTGTCTCTCCATCGAGAGAGGGAGAGAGACAGAGTGAGGGAGAGGGAAAGAGAGACTCGTCGACTGATTTCGAGGTTTCGCCCTCCTGGTGTGGATTTTTCTTCTTAATTGTGCGGCATTCGCTACTCTTACTATCTCTCTTTCCGTTCTCTTATAATTTATCTTTTGGTTCCCTCGCCTCTTCTTTTTCTCTTGCTTCAATTCTGAATCTCTGGTGAGGACATCGTCGTTATTCTGGTTAACCTTGGGGGATATTTATCTCACCCTAAAAAAAGTCTCGCACACTCTCTTCAGCCTTTCCCCCTGCCCTTCGTTTCCCGCGAAAAACTTATCCGCCGTGCACGTCCACTACCATCGTATCCAACCTCCACTCGATTATCACAATAGGCCCATCTGCTAGACGGAGAGCTTCTGAAGAGGTGGATGCCAATATTTTGCTCTAAATCTTTGGTTTCGTGTTGCAATGAATGGATTCTCCCGGGGATTTGGTCTAGTGAACAACCTCCCCTAACGTCTGCTACTCTCCCTCTTTCATCTCACTTCTCACGCTTCTCGCCCACCCACCCACGCCTAAACACACCGCACAAAAAATTTTAAATCCAGCAACGACTCTTCCCACGACTTTTCCTCCACCTCCCATCTGCTCCAAACAAACAAACAACCACTACCTTTACATCTTACCTCCCATCACCATCATCACCATCATCATCATCACCGCTACAAACAAAACTAGAACCATCATCGACATCAGACACCATCAGATTTAACGCGCTACCAGAGTCTGCTGCTGCTTTCGACACCCTTCAATCACCTCCCCATTGATAGTGTCTCCTCTCTTGAGACTTTGCTTTAGATATCTTTATCCTGATTCTCCCATCGCATTGTTGCTCTGTTCCTTATCGTGGACTCGTCACGTAACGAACTTATTCTTTCTTCTCTCACCACTTTGCTCTCCCCAATACGAATACGTACATCTCTATCCCCATAATGACCTCTACGGAGGTCGTCCTGCCGAGTGGCTCGGCTTCCATCCCCATAACCACCTCCCAACCTCACACTATTCTAAAGAAAGGAGAATCGCCTCCTCCTCCATCTTCCTCCACACTCACACCTACACCCACACAGACAGAAGATAATGGTGAGAGCACCTCAAACGGCTTCAAGATGGAGGAATCCTCATCGCCTCTCTCCAATCCGTCACCACAGGAGGTTCCTCCTTCTACTAACCCTTCGTCTCCCCGAGACGCCAAACCCGATGTTCCCGACAACTCGGAAGGATTAAAGATGGAGCGATCCGAGTCATCTAGCACACCTCAGCCGCCGACACGCGGTGGTAGGAAACCGAAGAAAGCACGGCATATTGTGCTATACAACGACCTCCCTGACAAAACGGAGGAGGCCCAGGCTAAATTCCAGTTGATGGAGTACTGTACCTATCAGCCAAAGTCGCTAGCTGACTCGGGACAGGAAGAAGAATTAATGTCCTGCGATTGTCGTCCTGAATATGGTAAGTCCGAGATCTTTTCAAAGCTTTCTACCTCTGTTGCGACTGGCTAGGCGTGACCATAGTGCTGACGATGATTTCTCCTTACCAGATGATGGCGTGAACCATGCTTGTTCGCAAAACTGCATCAACGCCGAGACATTTGTGGAATGTGTTGACGGAGACTCTAACTGCGGCGGTCAATGTCAGAACCAGCGTTTCCAGAAAAGAGAATATGCCAACGTCTCGGTCATCCAAACGGAAATGAAGGGGTATGGCCTCCGGGCCAATACTTCCATGGAACCCGGGACCTTTATCTACGAATATGTCGGCGAAGTCATCGGCGAATCTCAATTTCGTAAACGTCGGGAACTGTACGGAAAGGAAGATATCAAACATTTCTACTTTATGAGCATTAAAGTCGGCGAATACATTGATGCGACGAAGAGAGGATGCTTGGCCAGGTTTTGCAATCACTCGTGTAACCCGAACTCCATGGTCGAGAAATGGGTTGTTGGCGGGAAGCTCCGAATGGGTATCTTTGCGAAGGTCAAGATCGAGGCTGGCGAGGAATTGACATTTGATTACAACGTTGACCGGTATGGTGCCGACCCCCAGAAGTGCTTCTGCGGAGAGCCGAATTGCATTGGGTACATTGGTGGGAAAACACAGACAGAAGCATCCACTAAGCTTCCAACGCTATACCTCGAGGCGCTCGGTCTTGACGACGACGACGCCTGGCTCACGGCTACTTCTCGAAAAGCACAGAAAAAGAAGAGGAATGACGATGGAGATTACATCTACAAGGCGAAGATCAGGGAGCTATCCCATGATGGTGTCCCCAAGGTCATGGGTACCCTCATGCAAGCGAGCAAACAATGGATCGTGGTTAAGTTACTCGATCGTATTGAAGCTGCTCAGGACCCGAAGGTCCTGCCGAGGGTACTCGAAATGCACGGTTACAAGATCTTCAACAAACTTCTAGGAGACTGGAGAACTGTCACAGAAGTTGTCCTTCCGATCTTGCAAATCATGCACAAATGGCCACGAATCACGAAGAACAAGATTAGCTCATCCAAGATTGAGGGCACGGTCAAAGAACTCGCGGAATCATCGTCACACCCGAAGGTTAAGGAACTTGCGGCGGAATTGGCAGAGTCATGGGGTGCTTTGGAGATGGGTTACAGAATCCCACGACGACAAAAGGATTCGAATGATTCGCCTAACCCTGAATTTGAAAGACGAAATCGCCGACGTAGTAGGTCGCGATCTCGATCGCCACCAGAGCAGGAGAAACCTGTCAACATTCCTACAGGACCGAGAAACTCCAAACCCCAGTTCATCCCGAAACCACGGTCATTCCCGAAGGATGCGCCAAAGGGACCTCGAATTCCGAATGTTCCTCTGCCGCCTGAGTGGAAGGTGTACAAGAACCCGAACGGCAAGACATACTATCACAATACGATCACCAATGCAACCCAATGGGACCACCCGGGCAAGAATACTCCCCCAACGCCATCCGCCCGAGCTCCAATTGTGCAGAAAAAGGATCCCAGGGTCACCGGCATTATCCAATCTATTGAGGATGAGGTTGTCAGAGAGACGGAAGAACGGAGGTTAATGAGAATAGCAGCTGCCCAACAGCAACAGCAACAGCCACCTACTCCGGAGGAACCCGTTGAGTCGGAGGAGGAGAGAGCCAAAAAGCTCCTCCATCATGAGAGGCGCGTCAAATTTGCGGTAAGTGAGGCGGTTTGTCCCTTCTTAGGGAATTTCGGCTAATGGAGTCTTAGTATTATACTATTGTCAAAGAGACGACAGCCATCTTCCTCCCGAAGATGGGGAAAGCTGAGATTAAAAAGCGGAATGAGGAGGTAGGTCAAATAGTTCCCGTTTGATGCTGTAAACAGTTGCTGATGCGAAAATCTAGATTACACGCCTATGTGCTCGGAAAGATATGAAGAAGACAGGGCTTAAGACGCCTATCGAACTCAGTAGTGAGAAACATAGGCAGATTCGAAAGTTCACGCAGGACTACATGCGCTCCCTGTGGAAGAAAATGAAGGCACACTACATAGCTAAGAAGGCTAAAGAGGCCGCCGCTAAGGGATCCAAGCTAGAGGGCGGGGCTGATAAGGACGCCACTGAATTGGACGCCGATAAAGAAATTGCGTCCGAATATCCTGGATTCGACCCCGACGCTGAATTCGACGCTGAGGCAGCCGTTGACGTCGATGAGACTCTGGCCGCCAAAGATGACGAGCCATCCCTTGAGCCTAGCCCCAACACAGGGCCCCTTTCGCCAAAGAGGAAACGTTCCGACAGTGAAGATGACGAGATCATCGCCAACGGAGCAGGCTCGCCGAAGCGCGGTCGCTTTAACGAGACGATCGTGCTTAGTAGTGCGCAACCGCCTCCACCGCCCCCTGGCTCTCCACCTCCTGTTACTCCGCTTCCGGCCTCCCCGACTGGTTCTACTCCGGTATCTGAATCCCGTTCCCCAAGACACAAGCGGGATGAAGATGAAGAACCGGTATCCATTGCCGATGAGAAACAGCCGCGCAAAAGAGCTCGTTCCATCCCTAAGAGCAGGTCGCCGTCCCCCCGGCCTGTTTCCAATCCGGCTGTCCAAACTACGGCATAGCCATCTTATCCTACGACTCTACGATGTACCGAGCGCCTGAGTGTTCGGAATGCCTTACGCCTTTGTTGTCTCCTGTGTTAATATATTATTCGACACATCACATTCCAGCTGAGAATTCGTCCCCACGATCGGATGAATAACAGCACCATTTTATTACACCGCGTATTACTCAAAATCTTTTTGTTTGTTTTAGCAGAGATACCATATGACATCCTCACCGATTCGGCGTTCTACGGAGCTGTTTTTGTCTTTCTATTTTTCTTATCAGCTTTTTGGCCGTTTCTAATTTCGAACCCTTTTTTTTTTTTTTTACTAAACAAGCAGCATCATGAACTGGAGTCTTTACCGCTTTTTAGGCGCCTCTTTTATTTTAAAAAACTGTTCATGACGGGGTTTCGGGGGCCTGTTATGCCCTTTCTTTATACGAAGCCCAGGCATAGCTAGAGGTGTCAGCCGTCTTTTTACTACTATTACTTTTTCTTAGTGTGTATTTTCTATTTTCTCTATTTTCTCTTCACCTGCTACATCCATCGTCTCTCTTTTTTGAAGACGAATAGGTAGATTTCCCCGACTACTCTCTGAAATATAGGAGGTAGTACTGCCCTAACTTTTACATTTTTCATAACTTCACTTTTACTTTTCTCTAATTAACAAGTCTACCTGTGTATAACCTTAACTTCACGAGAGAGATGAGAAGTTGTTTCTTCCTCTTCCTCTTCTCTATTATATCGATAATAAAGGATGATGTTTCAGAGCTTTATCCTAATTTTATATTTTTAAAGTGCACTTTTTATTGTTCATTGGGCCTTTTAGCCCATCCCGTTGCTTGTGTTCTTTTGATTTTGATGTTTTTATTCCCTCCACCCACCTAACCCATTTTCTTTGATGTTAAGATTGATGGGGGGTGGATGAAGGGATGGAGGGGGGTTATCGGGAAATAAGTGTATTGCTTAATTAGTATAGTAGATATCAAAGATGGGATGGAAAAAAAAGGTAAATATTGGTGTGGATATGGATATGGATATGGAATATAAATAAGATCCTTGATATGATGGCCAACTAGCTTTCTTCTCATTGTGTAGCCTTGTATAATAGACCTACCCAAGTAAATAACCCCCCCAATCTCCCCTAACTAATACGCAAACTCAACAACAACCCTCCAGGGACTCCCATCATCCATCGTCCTTTCCGCAGTCGGAATCCTTTCTCTAAATATCTTTAACACGGTATTTGCCACGAACACAGTCCCCAGGTCGTGTAAGATCTTGGATACGGTAGCTGATGTGTAAATTGTGAGGGTTTTTAAGTGTTCTAGGATTGTGGATTTTAGGTATGCTAAAAACCGCCAGTTTAGGGATTTTCGACGGGTGTCTATCTTTTTGAGGGTTAGGGAGGTTAGGGTTGGGAAGGAGGCTAGGAGGGGGAGGAGGAGCTGTGGGTTTGGTGTTTGTGTTAGTATGGTATGCATATATATGTGTTATTAAATGAGGGGTGGAGAGTATAAACGTACGGTCTCGATATTTAATTCATATGTTTCCAATACCTCAAGGTGAGATATTGATTTATAACTTGTTGGGGAGATATACTGCGGGAATAACCGCGGACATCCCTCCGTTACCGATAATCTTAGGGATTGTAATGATGGTAATATAAGTTTTGAAGACGTCCCCGTTATGACTGTTTGTTGAGGGTTTATGGGTATTGTGTGACCCGTTACTATGAATGATAAAGCTTTTATGGTGGATAAAGTCTTTGAAGGGAATATGATGGGGAGGGAAGATAGGAGCCATATCGGAGTTATAGGGCTTGGAGGTGCACGATGCCAGCGGGGGAGGTTTGATGGGTTGAAGGGGGTGAGGTGGAGGTCTAAGGATAGAGATTCTAGGGATGCTAGGGTTTGGGCTGCGGGTGATATTAGGGATTGGAGATGGGATTGGGATTCTGTGAATGTTTCTTGAGAGCGGAGGACTGTGAGGGTTAAGGAAAGGTGTTTTAGGGATGGTGAGGTGGTTAGGATTGTGGAGATTATGGAGATTAAGGTGGGGATTGGGAGGGGGGTTTGGAGGGTGTCAGTTAGAGAGAGGGTGGTTAGGGTGGGAAAATGGGGGGTTAAGGAGGTGATTAAGTCTGGGAGGGAGGTTGTGAATTTGTAAGGACCTTGGTAAGGGGGGGTGCTGGTTAGGAAGGTGCCGCGGGTGGTTTTTAGGGAGAGGAATCTTGGTTGGGAGGTATGTTAGCTATGTTTATTTCGGGCATGTTTATAGATACTTATAGATATATTTTTAAGCGTTTCTAGATGAAGAATTGGGGCTTAACATACTTAACCTCCTTCCCATGACTCTTATAAGCTTCCAAAGTCATCCATGCATTCGCAAGCATATCGTTGATCGTTTCGTTACTAAATCGAGGTAAAGTGATGACATGCCCCACTCCTTTTTGTAATTCTCGACGGTGGAGCTGTATATCACAGTTTGAGTATAGGTATTTTAATACTACGGCGTAGAAACGACGACAGACTGAGGCTAGTCTGGCTACGTCCCGGGGTTTGAAGGAACGAGAGGAGAGGACTTGGGTTAGGATTTGGAAGAGGAGTTCGGTTGGGAGGTGGGTTATTGTAGTAGACATTTTTTCAAAAAAAGAAATAGTTATTTAGATATTTGTATCTGTAAAAAAAATAGCCAATATCATTCCCAGGAAGGAAGATAGCTTTTGGCTTTTTGATAGAGAAATAATTGTAAATTAGGCTCGAGATAAAGTTGTAAGCATTGAGGATGGAGTTTGTGGTATTTTGGGAAATTCTGTGTTGTCGATGTTATCTGTGGTTACACCATGAAACCAGTTGGTAGTTTTATTTGTATTTGTAGATTACTAGGTGATACATTTCATTATATATATGGCATGGACTTGGGCTAGCTTCTGAAAGAGCCTCGGGATCAATATTATTATCTAACGTTATATGCAAGTTGTCGTTGGTCTGTAAGGTTTCGAGATGCCCCGCATTCGATCTGAAGCGATTTGCAAGGCAGAGAGATTTCGGAGCTGAGGAAATGCGGCATGCGAGGCTGTGATATCGCGGGTGCGTTTTTGGCCCACAGATAAGGGCCTTGGTATATCGCAGCATTGTATTCTTGTCGCACACCTTTTACGACTAACGACTTCATTACAAACGGTCGATTTTTTTTTAAAAGACTAGTCACAGGTATCCTTTACATCCCTTCATTCGTAAAAAATATTGTGCAATGTAAACCCCAACCGAAAGTTTGTTCCACAACCTCACATTCCTTGTTGAACACGAAAGCCAGTTTGATGGTCTCCGGTAGCATCGCCTTTAATCTTCGGAGATTATCGAATGATTGGCCGATATGTGATGCGATCTTTTCTACCATCGTCCTAACGGTTAAGTCGGGTGTTAAGTTTAATCTTTTGACGATAAAGGATGAGGGGGTGATATAGCCGTTAGCTTCGGTGAATGGGAATACCATTCCGATACTTGCAAGCGGAGATTCATATTTCCCGTCTTGTTCCAAGAAACAGGTTAAGAAGATATCGTTCCCGAAGAACCAGCCCGGCACGTCGTTTTGATGTCTTTCATCGGGACCGAATTTTTCATCTATTCTTTTTAAACGATATTGGACAGGTTCTTCTAGAAAAGGCGATAGAACTTTTTCGTCGAGGAATTTACATTCTGTTATATAAGGTGGCCCATCATTTAACATTTCTTCTCGCCATTCGTGAGTCTTTTTGTACCCGATTTCTCCGTACGGACCTACTTCGTAGTGGGTAACCCCCCACCCATTGGTCTGGACTACACATCGGAAATAGAATTCGGGGTATTGATTGGCTATGACGGGTCCTCCGAGGATTTGATGGATTGGAGGAATGTCATTGTACCTGCTTAGAGGGTAGCGAGTTTTTAGACATTGTTTTGAAGAGAGGATTTCTTGCCAGAGCGGGTGGGTTAGACTGGCTGATGCTTGGTCGAAGATTGGGAGGAATAGGAGGATTTTAGTTTGGAGGTCGGTTGGGAGAGATAATATTTTGGGGGAGTCAAGGTTAGAGGGCATTTTGTGTCGTTATTGGAGAGAGGGGTTGGTAGTTAAGTGGTAGATTGGTATGCATGCACGCTACTACTCTATGTAAGAGTTAATGAAATAACCTCGAGACTAGTGAATGAATGTCGAGGTTTATAATGATTTATCGAGGGGTATATATAATCTTAATCTGTATGTTGAAGGATAGATATAGCTATTGGCGATGCCAAGCATAAAGTGGAACCAACGGATTAGGCCAGGTCTGCTCTAATAGGTTTCTTATAGTTAGCTGGTGCTGCCGTGTCACACGCTGGAACATTATAAGGTGGGGCAAGGCTAGTAAAAATGGGCCCACCCTTAGCTTGGGTGCTTACCTGAACCACAGCTGGGAGCTTCTAAATTTATAAAAACCGGTGATCTAAAGCTGAAGCTTAACTCGTTGAACCCGTGAAGTGTCCCTGGGATGAGCTTTAACCCCGAGATCTTGAAATTCCACACTTCTTCCCCAGTCTTCCCCAAACCTCTCCAAGAAGTTGTCTCGTGGTTCATTTTCCAGGAACACGGAGTATAATATTACGGTTTTTATATTCATGATTAATGAAGCGATCTCAGGCATTAGATACTCGTTGAGTTTTAGGTCTTGGGGTTCCCTCTGGTTGAGGCGCAGAGTGTGGATATTTGGGAACATGCTTATAAGGATCTTTATCTATAATTTTCGAAGAGAGATTAGCCGGTGTGTCCTATTGCGAAACTAGGGCTCACAAGTATACGTATTTAGATCAACCACCAAGCTGATGGTACATAGGGGGAACATACAAATTGAATCTCACATTTAAACTGATCGGCGCCTGCAGAGTGGCGTTGGCCGTTAATATCTTCAAGATCCAATTCCTCAAGGCTTTTCCTATCAACGTTCGTAAATGCTAGGAAGACAAAAGGACTTTCTTTCTCAGCCGAAATTTTTAGATGACGAATCGCAGGTAGCTTAATTCTTCGGTTCAACCGATTGTGTTTCTCGACGAAGGCTACTTGCCTCACTGCGACATATTCTTCAATATCTTCGGCATCACCAGCATATATCCAGTTATTCGTAGGGTATTTGCGTGAGACGTTGAAATCAAGGCTTTTAAGCGTGTTTCCTTCGATTGGAAGGAGATATGCTAAGGCGTCGAGCAGCCATATTCCATGAAACGGTCGGATTCCGTATAGGCGTTGAACAAGGTGGACCTGTAAAGTCAAGGTTTGCAGCTTTACGGGAGAATTAGACATGGGGAGCATAGCCTCTATTTTTTTTGTCGTTAACGGTGGAAGAGCCAAATCCACCGCTAATTGGATTTTTAAGTGCTTTAGACTATGGCACGAAGATAGAATGTTAACGAGGGAGGGAAGAAGGCAATCGGGGTTGAACGAAGATTCCGCACGGTTAAGACTTTCGGAATAGGTATCTTGGAACTCGATATTTGTCAGGTTCGGGAAAAGCTCTGTGAATTGAATGGAAAATGCAGGTGTACATGGGCCGGTGGTGAGGTATTCATCTCTTGTGGGACGGTTGATTTCCGGGCCCCTTGGGCCTAGTGGGGTATCAATCGTAGAAAGAAGTTTTTCGAGGTGGGTAAATTTTAAATGACTAGAATTTTAAGTCATAAGGATCAAGTGAGCATTCGGCCTTCTTACATTCCAATCAAGCTAACAGTAGTATTGGGAATATACGCTGACGTCGAGAAAACTGCCAAAACATACTTGATACTCTCTCCATAGCCTCTGTGCAACTCCAATATATTTCTAGTAGTATTTGAAGATTTCAGGCCCTGGTATACCCCAAAGTGTAAAAAGCCAATAACATATCCTTCGAAGACAGCATGCGGATAGTAAGTATCGGTATCTAGCTTGTAGGTATACAGCCCGACATGACAGCGCAAACACCGAAAGCGGGTGATTATGGCATGGAAATGTCGGCAAGCAAGACTTAACCTGAGGGCTTCACATAAGTTAAATTGGTTATGGGTACGTGAGTACCTGTACATCAAGTTATAACCGAAAATTTGGGTGAGAATTTCTGTGGGAAGAGTAGAAAGATATAGGACTGTGCTAGATGTGTCATGCCTCCTTCTGCCGCGTCTGGGAGCGAGACTGGAAGTGTCTGTAATCGTAGGTTGTTCCGGGATTGAGGTGCACATTCTGCAATGCAATATTTTATGAAGCTCTGGTGAGAGTGTCCAATGTGTGGTATTTTTGATCGTTGGGTGTTGTCTCGTCGGTGGCTCGTGGATTCGAATGTAATATAGCTGCTATCTAGGTAGGTAGGTAGCTACCAAGTACATATGTAATAGGTACTCAAGATTGAATAAAGGCAAGAGTGGTGTTTAAGGGGACCTTTGGGGGCGGAATCTTGGTCCTATAGTAAACGCATGTATATATTTTTCTGATTGCTGAAGATTTACTATTGCATCTCCAACCAATCGCTGGTGCGATGCAGGCTGTTGGCCAGGCTTACCTGTGCAAGCTACTTGGGACTAGCTGGGAAACCGGTAGGCCTATAGGCCAGCATTTAAGCTACAAGCCGATAAAACGGAGAGCTTTGCCACGCACCTACAGAGGCTCCTCAAACTTTAGGATTTGTAAAAGTAATTTTCCCCCTCAAAAGGATTTAATGATAACATACACCTAGAGATTGTCACCACTAAGAGTTTCTGTGTAGTCTAGAACTAATGTCCACTAGTGCGGCTTTCGCTCCTGAGTTTATAATTGAACAATTTAGATATAGTCTAAGATTTATAAGTCTATCCGGTATATCCAAGGTTAAAACCTGAATACAACTCTCCAAGGCGCCGCAGTTATCTGAAACTCGCTTCGCTCATACACCAGTTTCTTCATGCTCTCCATGAACTCGGGACCTAAATCTTTCTCTATTTGCTCTCTAGTCGATTTCGTGTATGCGGTTACAGTTTTGAGTGTATATATCTCCCGTTTTATGTCGCGTATGAAGTGCCAGTTCACGCCCTCCCACAGTACGTCTAGTTTCATGATATTTATGGTCTTAAGGCGGGGGAACCGGGTGGTTAGAAAATTTATCAGCTATATATAATCAAATATTTTGTTAGTTTGGGTGGTTAAACAGTTAAAGAAATTACATTGGGTATCTATGGGTCTTACCTCTTCACGGGACACATGCGCCGCGTCTCTGATCTCCATTTCTTCAACATTTTCAAAACTCTCGCTGCTAAGGAACTCAGTGAGTATCGCGACGTTGTCCCCACGCGTTGAGAATTTGAGGCATCGGAGATTAGAAAAGTGGAATTTGCGATTTAGGGGGTTTAGGGATGTCGATTCATGAGAAGTTGTTGATATCGGGTCCGTGTATAAATTTCTGGGGTCAGGGCGTCCGGAAACTGTGAATGTGAAACTATTTATGGTGCCGAAAGAAGGCTGCAATAGCGGTGGTAGGGTCGAAAGAAGCCAATTGCCTATACCGAGGTCTTTGAATATCTGGGTGCCGACGGATAAATCAATGCTTACGGCCTGAAGCCTTGCAGCTGTGGCTGGAGGTGGTGGTTGTTCGTCTAAATATTTTTGCGACTCTACAAAGGTCTTTAACACTTCGGAATTTGAATGTGCAATATGTAAGTAGAGGTTTAGATTTTTTAGACCGGGTAAGGTGTTCAGAATGTTTTCGAGAGATCCGAGCATGTATTCTGCGGGTAGGGGGTCGTCGACCCGGTCATTTAGAGTGATGGTTTTGAGGTTTGGGAAAGCTGTCACGAAAGGTTGCGTGAACATTTGGCGGCCACCATCTCGGGACATGGAATCGAAATAACAGAAACCGAGGTCTCCAATGTATTTTGTTTCCCTTCGCATGGTTAAGATCCTACACAAAGCTGTTAGAATTCTTAAGTTATATTCAAAAGCAGGAAATAAAATGGTTCCTACTTAACATGTTTTCCATGGGCCTTGTAATTCTCAAATCTTTTTGAGGCAATTTTGTATCCAGTTCGAACATCGTCTCCAAACCCACGGAATTTGATAAGGCAGCTAGGGAGATCTCTCATCCAATAACACTGAAGTTGAATGTAACAGTGAGAGTACAAATGCCAAATCACGATATCATAAAATCGCCGGCAGACTGGGGCTAGCCGAACGGCGACCTGGGACTTGGATGTTTGGAAGCCGGGGCGAAGAGCTTCGTAAATGATTTTCGATAGGATTTCGTTTGGAAGAGTGAGGATCCCAGAGGTATTTTCGAAGTTTAACGTTTCCATTTTCGACATCAATCTTAATCAAGACGATTGCTTTGCCCAGTTAATCATTGATTTAATCCGAAATTAGTGTTTTCTGGCTGGTGCGCTGCTTGTAGCTTACCTTATCTGCTCTGTGTAACGCTGGTAGTATACAATGTTGGATTTCGAACGAGACTGTGTTGTCTGCCCGAATTTACGAGACCAGACCAGCTTACTTCTCTTGACCAGTTGCTCCAGCTTCGGGATGCTGACTTGTAGCTTTAGCAGAAGTTGGTATCGTTATACAGTCTATAGGTCTAAATGTACCTGAGAAATTACTTTTTGGAAGTTTCGAGAGGTAGTTCAATTTCTTGGAAGCTCTCGATGCATGCCAGGCTAGGCTATAGGTGTCATGAGCTTATGAGTTGGACTGAAGCTGTTTGATTGATCCTTCTCTGAGCTGGGCTCGATTTTATATATTCCATAAACTTGCAATCACCTAGAAAAATTTTGCGCTTTTGTCAGCGCCTAGGACTCGAGGCTGGAGTCTCCCCTCTTTTTTTTATTTTTTAATTAGTCACATACAATGCACGTGTGCGCAAAATGCTGACATGTAAGAAGTATCTATCGGACTGCCGATGTGGGTCTCAATACTGTAATAATATATACTATCCCCGTCGAGAACGAATTGGGAATCCAGTTCACGGAAAATTAGGAGGGATGCCAATCTGGCCAAGATTCACGGCAACCAACGGCCCATCTGGAGCTTACCTATGTATGAGTCTACCATCAATTAGCTTCCTTTCTATACCATTGGTTATATATAGTACCTAATAATATAATTAATGATACATTTATAAGTATCCGGCGATGAGACTTGCGGGTGATTTCTGATAGGTTAACGGGCTATGAGTAGAGTACATGTATATTGAATACCAGAACATTACGCCGTAAAGATCCAATACATGTATAAATATTGCGATCAGCTGGAGAAAATCAGTCGATTGAAGAGTATTAATTAGGTTAATTGAAGGTCATCGATTGGGGGGCACTGTACTGGCTGCAAAGTATCAGCCTGAGATTTTGAAATAATTTCAGACATGGCCTAGCTACACATATAAATATTTCTCTCTTCCCAATGCTATTATAAATTTATGTATATAGTCTTAGTGGCATAGATACAGCATCCGCTATACCTCTTGATAGTGTGATGTCTTGTATTTTACAATGGCAATAATGTCAAATTCAGTCTTTACGAGAAATGCATTGATGGGAGATCTAGAGTCTTGCGATGCTATTGAATGTAGATATCACTGGTGTATATCTGTAGATCATGATTTAGGCATTAGCATTTACCTCGGCCTCGAATCTACAAACTACACTTCCAAAGTATCATAAACTGTCTCAAAAAACTTTCTCTCCACACCGAAACTTCATCTCTAACCCACTACCCTTCAAATCTTTTGCCTCGTCCTAAAGAACTATATCACAATGCCATTACTAAGCTTGCCAAACGAGCTTTTGGAGGAAATCATTAAATATGCTCTTCACGATGACTTCGACTGCAAGAAAGTAGCTGCATTGAACCTAGTCTGCAAGCTCTTTCGTACCTTGACTATGAAAAATCTCTACAAGGAATGTCACATCCGATTCCACCAGGACCCTGCGTACCGAAACGAAGGGACATTTGGCCATGCTGCGATGTTCCATCGTTTTGGCGACGATCCAATCACGGGATTGAAAACAGCAAGACACAAGAACCAGCTGTTCAAAGAATATGGGGACTATGTTAAGTAAGTTCCCCTGAATCAAATCCTACGCTACTTCTCTATGGCGGGGTTTCAAGCCAAGCATCAATATGTATAGAATGATATTGAATCGAATGTACTAATTGCGGGTTTATCTATAAAGAGATCTCACCATCGCTCATTCAACCAATGCACGTATCGGAGGCCACCCAATTAATGCATGCAATTTGAACTACTCAGTTTTGGCAACTGTCTACTTGCCTACCATCTTAACTCCACTACTCGAATCTTTCACCAGTCTTACAAATCTCAAGTTTTCGACATCTGCGGTACAGCCTTCCACGCTCAAATCCCACGAAATGTTCTCAGTTATCGGTGACATTTTCAAGTTGTGTCATTCTCTCAAAGATCTGTCATTAGACTTGGACATTGATGAGTTTGCACCATACCAATTGAAACGGATGGTTCAAACCCCAGAAGATATTGACATTGAGACAAACGCCACTCTACCGTCGCTCCGAAACCTTAATCTAAAATTCCTTATTTCAACTAAAGATAGGGACGATCGTTATACAGAGAAAACTGGAGTCTGGATATTGACCTGGATGGCCATTCTAATGCCATTGTCCCACAGAATAGAGAAGTTCAAATACACCCACTATGAATACGTCAAACCATGGGGTCCCAATACCGTTACAGCTAGAAGTGTCCCAGAGGACATCAAAACGATCAACAAAATCGGTGTCAAACTCGCCCTCCCGAACTTGAGATTCCTGGCTCTCGACATGTTACCCCAAAACCGAAGAATGATCGAAGAGTACTTCTTACTGGGCAAAACTAACGTTGAAACATTGACACTCTCATTAACACAGAACTACACAGCTCAAGACGTAAGTATTTTCATATGGTCAAATATATTTTCAAAAGCTATTTTGCAATCACAATACTTCTATGCATATATTAAATGGGATATCACACTTAGATATATGCCATTGTATATCAGTATCCCAATTTGAAAACGCTCGAAATCAGGGATACTAAGGTGGGCAGCGACAAAGCGACGAGAAACGGAGTGACCTGGGAGTTTGTCACCAACACCAAGCGATTGTTTAGAAAATTGGTAGCCCTCGTTTTATATACGAACCAGACAGGAAGGGAGGTAAACGAGGCAATTGGGGAGGATTTTCGGAAAATCCACATCAAATCACTTAGATACTGGAAACGTGGCCAGCGTCTTCCGCATGAAGCTGAATTCAGGCTAGTCGTCAATTTTCATTAATTAGATATAATGCGGAATATAGGAATTTCAAACGAATGGAGATGAATGAGATTCTGTGACTTAGTAATGACATTGGCTGCCAGACGATCGATTTGAATGCCATATATATAAATACTGTTGTATTTTTGATGAGAAGTGCGTTGTTGAGCTATCCATTTTGGGAAGTACAACATGACAACCCTATCTTGGCGCTCCCAAGTGTTACCTGTTCGCGCCGTATTCTGGATATCTACTGCCATTTGCAAATATATATTTCCAAGTCCCAGAGCATAATTATTTCGCATAGTCTTTACGAATACCATCAGCGTAACGTCTACGCATGATTCGCTTTATTCCTTACCAGACCAATATCTCGTTATCTTGAATCGAACAACAGTGCCAATGCGATGCAACGTGAGTGGCAGCACCGAGAAGGCCGGCGCGGCCGGCCCACTATCGTGCATACTAGATTAGTCCAAAGGGTCTTCAGCCGCAAGCCACCAAATTGTCCGAGTGCGATATGTAGGTAACACGAAAATGAACAAGTTTCGGAGCCGACGTGTGCTCAGCCTTATAAAAAGCTTAAACGAGGGCGTCCTGGAATTTCGAAGGGTTGGCGTTTTTTCCTCTTTCCCCTTGGCCTTAATTGTCGTGATTCATTGGCTTTTTGGCTTTGAATCTTCTATAGATCTATCAATATTAATATTTTGATTATCCAAGGGATCATTCGTTTTCAAAATGCGGCTCTTCCTGTCTACTATCCTCCCTCTCTTCCTATTTCTCCTTTCGTTCGCAGATGCCAATGCTGTCCCCGGAGCCCCTAAACGTAGTAACTACTCAAAAACCCTAACGGTTACTAAAATCCTCCAGCTCCTGAAATGCCACCGCGCGTCGGCGTCGTTGTTTTGCTCGACCTATTTGCATTACAATGAGAGAACAACCAGGACGATTACAAAGACGTCGACGAAGACTAGAAATATAGGTAGGACGACGACTATTACGAAGACAATTACGAAGTCGGTTGTGGATTGTACTGTTACCGAGCCTTATTTTTATGATACTACGACGTTGTTCGTTGGGCCTGCTTCTACTCGTATGTATTCCATATTGTCCTTTTTTTGTTTTGAATGAGTGAGGAATTGACCGATACTAACTGATTTGTGTATTAATTTAGTCACCGAACTTCAGGTTGTGTCTACTGCGGTGTATGTTCTTCTCCCTTCACTCCTTGTCACAGTATATACCTAGGTATCTTTACATAGTCTAGACCTTTACTAAAATTTCTGAATAACAGTTCTCTCATCTTCGGGGGTCCCATAATTTCCGCAGAAGACAAGAAAAAAGTGAAAAGAAATCTAAAATACCCAAAACCAACCCTCTCCCACGCGTACCCATCTTCTCTGTCTAAGGCATGCTCCTCCCTCATCGGCCGCCCACCCCCTCGAAAGACAACCACCATAACAGTCAACAAATATATCAGCAAAATCACCACATATACAAGATTCAAAACCCAAGCTGTCACCGTATCTTCCTGCACGGACACCCAATTTTCATTGTTACTGGCCACGGAAACAGCTCCTTCCACTACAATTTTTAGCGAAGGGTTTAAAACCGTGACGGTGGCAACGCTTACTGAGACTATCGAATATTTCTGCTGGCCGTTGGGATTTGGATGTGCTGCTGTGCCGACGCCTTGTTGTCCGGGGGCTTGTGAGAGGGTTTCGGGTAGGGGGAATATTTGCGTGCCTACTGATCCAGCGGAGAAGGAGGCTTTTATCAGCAGTTTGCTGGCTGATAATTAGTTTCAATTCGATTGATTGGATTTTATAGAACGAGGATGTAGTTACGACGGCTACAGCGCCTTTCAAGGGGTATATATTAGGCGATTTAAGGATATAATGACCTAATTTATTATTAATTCATTGGACAATTATGCAACTGTACGGAGAGGCCCACGGTAGCGAGACTTTTTATATAATTATTACCATATCCAAACTACTTAAATACTTGTTTGGATATATATTAGGGGTAATTGTTGCCTAAGCTCAGGGTCGCACGAGAACTGACATTGTTCTTCGTCAATGCATGGTCATATGAACAGAAATGTGACCCTCTCGGTCCCGGATCTATGTATGAAATACCTAGCCAGGGTACCGGTGTATCAGGGACTATTATGATACTAGTAAACGCATCAATGGGTCGAGTGGTAGTACATTTAGTAAGATTGTGTCCGTTACAGCAAGGATCGGAATTCTCCGAGTTTGATCGAATACTAATGTGTATAGATTGGAAGTTGATAAATATAACTGCATCGGCGGTACTCATGTAGCTATAGTGCTCTTACTGTAGCACGGTGGTACTTAATATTAGGTTGGGTTTCCCTGGTTCGGAGATATATATTAATATGTATTATTGAGTACTTACACAATCAAAACGCCGAACTAACCTGTGCCTTCTGGACATTGCCCTTTGTAACTATCGTGATATCGGATACATATATACATATCCTAGAGAAAGCCATATACAACCCGCCCTACATAGTATACTCGAGCACAAGTACTCGATGTGACTGTGTTGCGGGCGACTTTGTAGCCGAAGTGAACTAAATATCCGGCACGAGGCTGCCCCGAAGACGTTTGAAACCGAGAGAAACAAGAAATTTAAATGGAAGTAAGCCGAACATGACGCTGGTCATCTGCGTACCTGCAGATTTGACGTATGAGGATTCAACAACAGAACTCGAGAGTGTATATATATATTTGGACTCGATCCATATGATGGGATATAAAAGGCTCATCGTTCCAGACTGCTTCTCTCGATCTTATATGATACTTGTTATAGCTTATCAGCGGGTATTAATTAATATTATTGTCTTGCAGCGGCATTTAACATATTCGACAGGGAACAACTCATCGCCGACACAGAACTTACATACCCGCAGATACGTGTTCCATCGTGCAGCTGCAGCATCGTCATCACCACCTCTATTTACATATCAGGATTTAATATCTGAAATCCTTTACCCGTGGTAGCTGCTGATTTTCTTATCTGGTTCTTGGTATCAAGCTCTAATTTAGACGGGCGGTGTGTATAAAAGAGCGGAAGGGTCCCCCGCGTGTGACCGAACGAGATAGCTTGGAAGTTAGCCCTGTCCTGTCCTGCCAGCCTGCTGCAGGCTGTTTGAGCAACCCACCCTTTCTTTCCTTATTTCTTCCTCTCTTTCTTCCTCTCCTGCCTTTCATCCCTCTGTCTCTGTCTCCTTCTTGCTCATCACGACAAAAGAAACCGGTTGGGAGAGACTGCAGGTGGTTTTTGTTTCTTCTCACGAATAACTAAGTACCTTCATCATCACATCGAAGTTCCGACTCGGCGACTGGCAAAATCCGGGGAGGGCTACTTGGGTTTCTGGGGTTGAAAAGTTAAGGAGCTCAGTCTGTCAGGCTAGCGTACGTCATAGAACAAACATGGCGACAAGAACGGATTCGGTCCCTCGGACCCCAAAAGAAGGTAGCTATTCACACGACCACAAAAATGAACCCCTTCTTGAGATATCATATATTCTAACAGGGAAGAAATAATAATGGTGTAGTTGGTGAACACTCCCGTCTTCTCTCTCCCGCTGCCAGCGAACGTCGATATGGCCGTTCCCTCACTATCCCCGAGGTCTCCAACCGTCGCCAACGAAGCTCCGTTTCCTCGTCCATGTCCCGTCGGTCCATGCGCGTTACACGTAGTTCCTGGTTCCTGATGCTATTAACCCTTAGCATCGGAGGTTTACAAATCGCCTGGTCGGTGGAATTGTCAAATGGTTCGCCATATTTGCTGTCCCTGGGAATTTCCAAGTCAATGTTGGCGTTAGTATGGGTTGCTGGGCCTGTTTCTGGAGCTTTAGTGCAGCCGTACGTTGGTATTCGGTCGGATAATTGTAGGATCCCTTGGGGAAAGCGAAAACCTTTCATGATTGGGGGTGGTGCGGCTACGATTGTTTCTTTGTTGATACTTGGATGGACGAAGGAGATTTGTGCGTGGATTGTGCCTAAGGGGAGCGATGCACTGCCGAAGGTTACGATCGGGTTGGCTGTATTGATGATTTATGTGCTAGATTTTGCCATAAATACAGGTACTTTCATCAAGTCACTATAAGTTATCGTGGGTGGGCGACTAATCAAAGGGGATGGCAATATAGTGCAAGCTGGTATTCGTGCATTCATCGTCGATAATGCACCACCTCATCAACAAGATGCAGCGAACGCATGGGCGGGACGGATGACGGGTATTGGAAATGTATTGGGTTATCTATCTGGTTATGTGAACCTACCGGAGATCATGCCGTGGTTCGGAAACACACAGTTCAAGGTCCTCTGCGTGATTGCATCCTTCGCACTAGGTGGTACCTTGGCTCTGAGCTGCGGGTTAATTATGGAACGAGATCCTAATGAGGATGGGTATGTCATTTATTCACTTTCCATACGGGATTGTTCGTTGGCTAACAGAGTGTAGGCCGGTTGATGAGAAGAAGAACAGTGTACTTGCGTTCTTCGGCCAAGTGCTTCATTCCGCAAAACGGTTGCCGCCACAGGTTAGAAAAGTTTGCGATACGCAGTTCTTTGCGTGGATTGGGTGGTTTCCGTTTTTGTTTTACAGTACTACGTATATTGGTGAGATTTGTAAGTATCTTTTCATTCGCTCTCTAGAAGTATGTGAGGACCGAAGCTAACGGCTTATATCTAGACGTCCGACCGTACTACGCAGCAAATCCAAACCTTGACCCCAAGGAAGAAGCCAAGCTCTGGGAGGAGGCCACACGAGTTGGGACCTTTGCTCTTCTTGTCTTTGCAGTCGTTGCACTCGTCTCCAATACCATTCTTCCAGTATTTATTCAGCCAGCTTTTAACCCGGCAAACGCAGAAGAAACCCCTGCAAAAGATCACCTAACCTTCCTCCGGATCCCTGGACTAACACTACGAAGACTCTGGTGTATATCACATATCATCTTTGCAGCCAGCATGTTGAGCACATTCTTTGTGAAAAACACCTGGGGTGCGACTGCACTGATTGCTGCTTGCGGTGTCCCCTGGGCTATAACCCTCTGGGCACCTTTCGCTCTAATCTCCTCAGACATCTCTAAGCGGGATGCCATCAAACGCGGAGTCCTCCGTAGTGCGACACCATCCATCCGATCTGGTGTACATGGAGATTATGAAGCAAGAGATGACTATGTAGATCAGGCGGGAATTATCCTAGGGCTTCACAATTTCTCGGTTGCGGCGCCACAGGTTATTGCGACAGTTTTGAGTAGCATTATATTCAAGGCGTTGCAGAAGCCGAGAGGGGCGGAAGGGGATGAGAGCATGGCCTGGGTTATGAGGTTTGGAGGAGTTGCGACGATCTTTGCGGCTGTGATGACTTTAAGACTGGCCGAAGAGGTGGATGAAGGATTGGAATTTGTGGATAGCGAGGAAGAAGAGGAAGAGGAAGATATCTGAGGTGTACATGGTATAGTATGATATGGTATCAAAACATGAGATGGAGGGGAATTGGGTACCCGTCGGGTTTGGCGATGTTACCGACTTCCTTAAACTTAACTTACTCAAAACATTTACCATTTCCTAAGTTAACTACTCAGTTATTTACTTGCATATATATGTTATACCGTCTATTGTTACATTGCGGGAGAATTGAAGGGTTTAAGATCGGATATACAGGTTTGTCGGTTTGGGCCGGTTGGAGTTTTTGTTAGCCTTGAAACACTACATGCGTTCACTCTATGTACTCTTTTACTACTACTATTGCGGCTTCTATTACTATTGGCTACCTAAATGCATTAAGTGTTTTTACCTCGAGATCCATTATTTGGTTTCATATTTCTGACAGGCTTGTATTTTAATGGCCCAAGTAAACGGTCGTGAAAATGGCGAGGTGATAAGATATTTTCGTAGATACAAGTTAGTAGCACTATATCGTGATTCGAGAATGACATACCAAAAAAGCACTCGGATCCATTTCACCCGTGCGGGTACGAGATACCTCTTCTATCGTGATACAGCAGTCCCAGCATATGTATAGTATCACTTATTATATATCTTCGAATGCAAAAGGCTGTCCGGGGTTATAATTAGCTTGCGCAATCAACCAAACGTAAACGTCGCCCGCCGCGTCGGCCAACATCCGCCAACACAACGTTTCCTTTACATAACACCTTTGCCAAAAACAACCTCCTGATCAGGACTCCAAGCTGCTTCGGATTCCCACCACTTATAACTCTCGATAACCAACGGCCATTCCATTCCACCCCTCTACCCCGCCGGATACAGCTATCAACCCCGTTTCGTTCGATGTTGACGATATAAACGAATCTTGTCGGCTACTCATTTTTTTCCCCGGTCTTTATATAATCCTGACGGCTCGGTGTTTCTAACGGTTTATTACGGCACAATAGCCGTGATCAGTGCTTTTTTGCGATGGGAGGGGCGGCCGAGACGTTAATTCTCGATATCCTACGTACGTAAGCACGGTACGGAATTTTTGATCTGGATATCAAAGTAGGTTGGACTAATTTTTATTTATCTGCGCGCATAGGGAAACGACAGGAAGAAGAACCGGATCAAAATGGTATTTACATTTCCTCCTCTACTCCCAAAATCCATCCACATACGTCATATCACCAAAACTAACAATTTCTTTTTTCCAACAAAAATATAGAAGGAACTAGTCCCGGACAATCTGAAATCAGTACATCATGGGCGCTCTTCATTCTCGTTGCTCTCCTGCTCGTGGCACTCTTTACGTCGTATTACCTCCAGTTGAAGAAGATTCAAGCGGTCCATGAAACTGTTATCAGTATATTCGCTGGGATGTTTGTGGGATTGATTATTAGGCTTAGTCCTGCGACGAATATTCAGAATACGGTGACTTTCGATCAGAAGTTCTTTTTCAATTTGATCTTGCCGCCGATTATTATGAACAGTGGGTACGAGTTGCATCAGGTGGGTTCTCTCTCTCTCTCTTTCTCTTTCAGAATTTTTGTATAGAGCTTGTGGTGGGAGATGCTAATGATGGGGGCATTGAAAAGGCGAACTTTTTCCGGAATTTAGGGACGATATTAACATTTGCGCTGGCGGGAACGTTCTTGTCGGCTGTTACACTCGGGTAGCTATCCTCGTCGATTTCTCCGGGTTTTAGGCGAAACCGTCCTAGCTAACTTTATATTAACCTAACTAGTATAATCCTCTACGTCTGGGCCTGGCTCGCTATCTCAATCGAAGGTCTCTCCGTCTCCTTTGTCGACGCAATCGCTGTGGGCGCTACTCTATCCGCCACCGACCCGGTCACCATTCTAGCTATCTTCAACACCTATAAAGTCGATCCAAAGCTGTACACGATCATCTTCGGCGAATCGATCCTAAACGATGCCGTCGCTATCGTTATGTTCGAAACCGCACAAGCGTTTCACGAAGAAAGTGCAGCTGCGAAGGTCAATCCGTTCAGCTTTATTAAAGGTGTTGGATGGTTCTTTATGATTTTCTTCTTCTCGCTTCTTATAGGGATCTTGGTCGGTGTGGGGACAGCATTGTTATTGAAATATACGTATATCCGACGATTTCCAAAGACCGAAACGTGTTTTATTCTCCTTGTCGCGTATGGGACCTATCTTTTCTCCACGGGGATCCACGCATCCGGTATCGTTTCGTTGTTATTCTGTGGGATAACATTGAAACATTACGCTTATTACAATATGTCACGAAGGACGCAGCTTGCGACGAAATACTTGTTCCAGGCGTTAGCCCAATTGGCCGAGAACTTTGTGTTTATTTACCTGGGGATCAGTCTTTTCACCGAATCGCATCAAGTGTGGAATCCGTTGTTTATTATCGTTACTTCCGTGGGAATCTGTGCGGCAAGATGGGTTGCTGTTTTCCCGTTGAGTAAGGGGATTAATTGGGTGATACGGTATAGAGCTTCGAGAAGGGGAAGGAATTCTTCGACGGTACCGGATGAGTTGCCTTATGCTTACCAGATGATGTTGTTCTGGGCGGGACTCAGGGGCGCTGTTGGGGTAGCTTTAGCGTCAGGGTTTCAAGGAGATAATGGCAACGCGCTTAGAGCTACGGTTCTTGTGGTGGTGGTTTTGACGGTGATTGTGTTTGGAGGGACGACGGCTAAGATGTTGGAGATTTTGGGGATTAGGACTGGAGTGGTGGAGGAGATTGATAGTGATGATGAGTTTGATATTCAGAATTCGAGTAGTTACTGGAAATACCAGAATGGAGGGGAGAGAGGGGAAAGAGGGGAAAGAGGGGGGAGTGGGGAAAGGAGTAGAGGGGTGCCGTTGGCGAACGTGGATCCGAGTGCTGATAGAGACGGTGGGAGGGGTAATGGAAGTGCGTTTGGAAGGGATGCTAGGAGTGTTTATGGAGCTGGTGGAAGTTCTGGAAGAACGGGGTCGAGAAGGGATTTGGGGAAAAGATCGAGGGATGGGAGTCAAGTTGATTTACTTTATGGGCATGGTGGTGGTGAGGAAGATGGGTATGATAGTGATATGAGTGATCTACCACCCATGGCGGCGAGGAGGGGGAGTAAAGCTTCTTCGCCGAATAATTTGGCGACACCGGTTGAAGGGGGTAGTAGGAGTTTGAGTCCTAGAGTTGGGGCTGGAGAGGGCAGCAGTACGACTGGAGGAGGCGGAGCGATGGTTAATCCGGTCAGTGCGCTTAGTCAGTTGGTCAGAGGGACTGTGGAGGATCAAGCAGAGTGGTTTAGACAGTTGGATGAAGGGTATATTAAGCCGCATTTGTTATTGGATAGTTCGAAGGGACATGATGGGGGCGGACCTGTTTAAAAGAACGACTTTTATGAGGAATTTGATAATGAGTCTTGAAGACCGGTTGCATGGGTATGAAACTACTATTCATCCGGTTTTGATTGTTTTGGTTTTTTTTGTTTGATTTGGATCTGGTATTCGGGATGTGTATTATCCTTTTCTTTTTTTTTTCTTTTCTCTTTTTATCATCATTGTTATGCATTTTATTCATGCATCGGTGGATAATTCTCTTTTTAGTTGTTATTCATGTTTATAGATTTGGATATTCTTTGTACATGCTTTTTATTTTTTTCTTCTCTTGCATTTCATTTCATTTTCATGAAGTAGTGCATCGGAGGCGGAGAATCATTGATCTAATAGAATAATATTCCAATTTGTTAGTTAGTAATCCTTGCATGCTACATAGTGCTTAGTGTATATAATTCACGAATCACGGAATTTATGAGGGTCATAAGTAGATTTAAAGATGATGACAGGCGTGAGCCCCAGGTTTGATTTTTTCTAGTTGTATATATAGTACATGAATCCTCTACCCTTCTAAATATCGTACAATCCCCATCCCACCAATACAACCCCTAGAAATGAATGCTTTTTTTTGTAGATTTTTAAACGCCCCGTTCATGAAGATAACTCCGTCCATATGCTTTTTTTTTGGTTTGTCGTATAGTACACCAAAGATTCCTCCTCCGTAATATTATCGTACACTTCTTTCCAAATTGACTCCCTGAGCCCATCTTGTGCATAAATGCTTCCTCAAAATCGTAGTAAACCCGGTTATCGTAAATAATAGCTAGCATCCATCGTCTCTATCGGTCGATAGTCGAGGCCATATGGAAATCTAGGCCTTAACACCTCCCATAACATTCCCGATAGCATCACCAATAGTAGCAACAACGCCACCATCCTGTCTGGCGCTCTCGACCTTAGCGGCACCGGATTCGGTCACAACGGTCACAACGCCGTTTTTGACGCCATCACCGATTTTTTGGCATTGTTCGGCTTGGAAGGCGCAGGCTACTCCAACGGCGGTGATGACTCCGGCTGTGATTCCGCCGTCTGGGATTGGAGCGGCGGTGATGAGGGTGGTGGAGGCGAGGAGGGAGAAGAGGATTGTGGTGAATTGCATTTTGAAGGGTGGTTTTTTTTGGTGGATACCGGTGTGGTTTTTTGGGGTTGAGAGAGAGTGGATGGTGAATCGAAGGATTCTGAAAGAGTGTATTTGAGGAAGTGAGTGAGTGAGTGAGTGTGGTGGAGATGATCGGTGGTGATGATGGTGGAGAGAAGTGGGATTGGAGTGGGTGGAGGGGAGATATTTATACATAATTGTTGAGGTTATGACGATAGTATAGGATACCGTTCCTTCTGTATTCTCGACTCTTTCTGGAAGGTCTCATTTTCTCATCTTCTTCATCTTCAGCTCCGCATGTTTTGGTTCAATTCTACGGAGTAATGGGGAAGGAAAAAAATCCTAACACTTCAATGTTTTTTTCATTTCCTCCGTCAAATTACGGAGAATATTGTTTTGACAAGAGAGATCAGAAACTTCGAAGCTTCCTTTCGAGTTTCTAGAAGTGTCATGGTGCGCCGTACTGAAAAAAACGTGGATGAGGGATACCGGTAACCGGCAGGCTGCCACGCGAGCTCTCTACCGAATTTTTTAAGCGGAGAGCGCCCTTTGTCGGATTCCATTTCTAGAAGGATGGGACAAGTTAGGTATCCGACATTGTGCATTATTCGGGAGAAACATCTTTGTCTTTTTTCTCCCTTTCCCTGGATTTTTACCTGTTCATGGTTTAACCTGGAGAAAACATCATTGGATGATTTGAAGCTGGAGGGATTGTAGAATTTTCTGTCTCCGCAGGTCTGTTTTACATGGAAATCTGTACGGCAGAGGAATGGAAAAGAGCTAGGTAGTTCTTGATCAGTGGTGTTGAAAATTTGTGGTTTTTGTTGCATTTTTTTAAGTAGTCTAAACCGTATTGGGCTTAGATACTTGCCGGAAAGGGTAGGTATGCAGGGTCTCGGCAAGTGTCAAGGGGCTGAAAGGTGCGATCCGGGGTTGTGGCGGAGGGTTTTTTGTGGAACAAGCGAATTTGGGATCTGGTACCTGGCCGGGCCTGACATTAAACCTTGCCCTTAATTGGACTAAGTACTCCATGTATGACGTCTGGGGGCGAGACTGAGCTGAACTTGTTGAAGTTTTTAGCTTTTATGGGTTCTTGAGCTCCGCGAGGTGGTGAAGTAAGGGACTGAACTGCATGTTATTGGTGGGAAAGGGAAATTAATGAAGGTTCGAAGGGCACAGTATCTTATTGATTTGAGGATAGTTATTAATGTAGTATCTCGCACGCGAGGGCACATTAATCTTCGCAATTTTTTTTAACTCGATGCGTTACGTAGGTTTCAATTAACTTCCAGAGCTCGAGAGGTTTGCTAGCATAGTGCATGCATTATGGTTGTACTGGTGGAAGTGCAGTATTTCAACAGAAAACTTACAACCCTTGAACTCCTCCAATTAATATATTTTCAATGGAAGATATTAAACTGCCAGTTAGTCCCGTTACAAGGAACCCTTGAGGACAGTGTGATTTTGAAAGTTATACTATTTATTATTATTATAAATATTTTCTAAGACTACATATCTCCTTCTGACACATTATCATATTACCACAGCTCGTCGATGCTCTCGGAAGCTTTAAGGGGAACAAGAACGGAAAAGAAAAGAAAAACAAAAAAGTAGTATAGAAGGATAGAAGACCCATAGGAGACTTTGTGTAGGCCTTAAAGGGCCAAGATGTATGTGCGTATTCGTAACCAAAACTTCAAATAGTGCATGTCTTTCGCAATTCGACTAGTCGCCAAGGTCTCCAAACTCGTTTGTTGAATTATATATCTATCAGTTGATAAATAAAGGATATCGTAAATAAAGGAAATCATTCTTGTTGGTTGATTTTTATCTTGAGAATTGGAGAAAGTCCGTTTTGGAGGCGATTGCGTTCTCCTAATACCATAAAAATGGCTAGGATGATTAACCGGCAAGTGTATCAGCCAGAGCGACGGGCACAGCACCGTTTTGCTCAACGGTCTTCTCCCTCTGGGCGCCAATGTCCTCGATCGCTTGTTTACCCGCGTCACCAACCGCTTTACATTCTTCAGGTAGCGCAGCACAGGCCAGTCCAGCGACTGTCGCTGCGGCTCCGAGCTGGGGTTCCGGTACCGGAGCAGCAGCGATGAAAGCGGTGAAAGAGAGAAGGGAGAGGATGATGGTGAATTGCATTTTGAGAGTTCTGTGGCGTTGAGATACCTCGGTTCTAGAGTATTCTAAGGAAGAGAAGAAAGTGGTGGGATTGAAAGTAGTGGTTTCGGGGTATAATATAGATGGGAGACTGAGCGGACGAGCACTTGACCAAATGATTGTAGTAAATAGGTGACTATGATTTTGATGATTGTGATGATAGTAGGGGAAAATATTCTACAGAAGGGCAGAGAAGAGATATTTATACACCATTAGTACATTCGAGACCAGGAAGGTATTAGATAAGGTAACGAGAATACTATCCTTGTTGATGCCCTGACTGCGAAGCTTAAACTATCATGATCGTTTCTCCCCTTTCCTCTCTCGAGGTCTCTAGAAAGAATTAGGCAGACAATGGTTATTGTATTTCCCAATCTACAAGCTCGCATCGCCTCGAAAGCAGGTGTGCAGGAGGTCATTGATCGCCCCGTTGCAATTTCGATATATATACATATTATATGTACGTACAAAAAACCTCTTCCTAACACTCGGCTGTCCCCGTCTGGCAGCCTTACCCGATATGAGATCCTTCCCGATTCTTAAACGAGGGATCTCTTTTGCGGGATCTAGGTAGTTCCCGAAGTCAGGGGAGACATTTGAGAGGTCGCCCTACCAAACCTTACATTGCATGATATTGCCGATATGTGTTACGTAAGCCGGCACCCATAAAGATTCTTCGAAAACCAACTGGAAAGAAAGCGGCAAACCAAAAGTTCTTTCTAAGTTCGAGGAAGTTTTGTAGGTAGCAGAATAGAAGTCAAAGGCTCCGCGTAGACTTTGAGCGCTATATACAGGTCATTTGGATCGTTGTGAACAATAGTGATCTATAAACTTCTAAAGCACGGCGGATAGCATCAATTTTCGTCTTTTAGACTAGCATTAATTATTCTTGTAGGGGCGTAGAGAATAAGCCAATCTATATACACATATGCACTTAAAACTACCGCTAGATTTATAGATAACGAGCGGAACTTATGGGATAATTATCACCACAATCTTTTTGTCATTTATTTGTCACCTTGGCTGTATGTCTGGGCTCTCTGTTATTTTGAAGGTTATGGACCAGCTTGAACTCCGCTGCACGTCTAGGACACCTAATTTCTATTTTTTTGAATTCTCCTTGGAAATTTGTGGTTTATACAAAAGTATGGTTTCGTTGTTTTGTCGTGTTTCTGTAGAAGGCACAAACTACATGTACACGACTCATATACTTAAGAAGTCTATATGCTCATGAGCTCACCGGAGATGAGATAGGATACTTCATGGCTTCTAGATGAGACCATTGAGATCACTGCTATACTATAATACGTTAAGATTTTAGGAAGAATTAGAGCCAAAAAGTGGGTGAAATAAGTCACATATAGGTGGTATGCTACAGTTGTATTTGCGTTCAAATATCGATAGCATAGGATAGTTTACTCCGCGTGTGCCAGGGTAAGACCACTTTAGACTGTGAATTGGTGAAACGGAGCCAACATCACTTAGCTATAGATGTAGAATTCTGTAATTGGTTTCTTTTGGAGAGTTTGGTAGTGTATAGTTCACCCCCCACAGATAACATTAGATTCAATTATAAAATTAAAGTACATCATATCTTTCCCAAAGAGTCCTCCAGATTTTATTATCTCAGGATGGAGGTTATATCGGCTTCATTGAGATACAGATAATTCCAATTGATAAAGAAAGACAACAAGAAGTAGAAAGGAAAAAAAGGATAAGGGTTGAGTAAAGAAACGATAAAACTATTAAATAGTTTAATGAGTTTGAAAGGACTGTATCAGAGTAAAGAGATCCTGATCCAAGGCTCGTGGCTTTTCCAAAAAGGGCCTCGGGGCCCTTTATTCCTTCTTCCAGCCTCCAGGGAAGAATCCACCTTTGCCAGTTCCGACGCTCCAACCACCATCGTCCTTAGCAGCGTCCCATTGGCGATGGCCAGACTCTTTGACACCCTCTTTGACCCCATCGCCAACCTTTTGGCATTGTTCGGCTTGGAAGGCGCAGCCTACTCCAACGACGGCTCCAGCTATAGCCCCAACAACAGGTTCGGGAACTGGGGCAGCAGCAATGAGAGTAGTAGAAGCGAAGATGGAAAGAATGATAGTAGTGAACTGCATTTTGAAAGATGGAATAGTCTTTTTTGGTGAGATACGAAGGAGTGTAAGGTGTAATTTAAATTTTCTTAAAGAAAGATAGTGGTAGAATCAAGAAGATTATTTGATTTTGTAAATGAGTGTAGGAAAGTTGGTTTGTGAGGTGGTGATGATTATGAAAAGAGCAGACTTATGATGGGATAGAGCGACGTATTTATAGACTGTTCGAACTGCCTGTTCTAGTAGTATATCAAAAACTATGAGCTGAAATTGGGGTGATGATATTATCTTCAGCGCCCTTACTCAAGGATATTATCTTTTCTATTCTATAGATGCTAACTTGAAATTTTGGAAGCAGGTTTAGGCGGCCTCTTAGATGTGGAAGAGCGAGGGGTTCTATAATGCATCGTTGTCTCTTACCCCCCTCGGGTTTGCAGAGGAGCTGGTGTGACTGGGGACGTATATCCAAACCCTTTCAAGACTTGAAGCCCTTCAATCTACTGGTTCATTCTAATTTCCACTATGTACCTAGGTACTTGATTACAGAAGAAAGTATCAATTGAGATTCGTTACTCCCTACGAATCAACGGAAGCCATGAGTTCTTGGGTCCGCCGCACTCCCTGCTATCAACTATGCCGCTTTCGGACATCTTTATACTTCGAATTCTTAAAAACACAAGGTTTTATCTTTGTACAGTAAGACGTCGACAATACAAATTCACCGGCTAGATATAGGATAGATATCGTGTGTTCGGGGAGATGCCCAGCGCAATAATTGTGATACATTGAATATCATATAACCAAACCCGGCCTTGAAAGTACGGGTAGGATATCATGTTCACATATGAATATGCGCATACCGAGTGGCCTCTCTATTTGGACCAACTGCATCTCGACCTCTCCTGGGCTTAGGATATCGGATCTCGTGTTGTACGAGCTTTAAGGTGTAGGCTACCCATGATACCTCCCGAGTCCGTTATAAATCTCTCAAGGAGAGCCCTCTAAGCTCCCTCGGCAATCTGATTCGATGGCAGTTAAGGAAGCTTTTCCCGACCGTATCGCAGCAAGGAGGGCCTTGAAGAATTGTCCCTGACGCCATGCATCGCACTCGGGGATATATATCGAAAGTCATAAGTTCGGATTTTTCCGTCGTTAACGTTCTGCTAATGTTTATTCAAAAGTGAGAAACAGTAAGAATAACAATATAGGATATTCTTTTATATGATCAATCAGAAGCTAGATTCTGGACTCCTAAACAAAAATCTGCCTCTATTCCACACCAAAATTAATATGCAAGAAAGTCAACGTCTTTCGTAGCCTCGATATCACGACTTCAGGGTAAAGTTTGGTTGTTTTGTTGTATTTTTTTTGATTTCTAGAGGGCTAAACTGGATGAGGTTTAGGTACCTACGGAAAAGGGTATGCAAGGGGGAGGCGGTCCGTAGCGAGGATCTTGTGGAACGAGCGATCGATTGGCTCAAGCCTTGCGCTGTAGGTTAAATTTACCTTAATGACTCTGCAACAAAGAAGCCAGGGACGGGGTTCATGGGTCTAATAGTTACAGAGGGAACCAATGAAGATATGTCATCTATGGAGAGGATCGGGGCATCGTGATCAAAATCGTTTTTGCAAAGGGCCTGGACAGAGCACATTTAGTGATATCACAAAACGGCCTGGCGAATTTACAATCAATCACAAAAGGGCCACAAGTTCTAGAAGTACCCTAGTACCCAATATTAATTTCTAAAGGCTAGTATCAGTGTAATCTATCCTTGAATCGCTCTTAGGTCTCTTCACTGGTAGGAAGATCTGAGAATCAAGCACACAAGATTATATCTAGAGCCGTGTTTCCCGTCAATGTCAACGGCATGTTCCGTTCGGTGCCCAACCTCGTTTTTATGACTTATCACGAAAGACTTCGCTGCCCTCCTAGCAAACTTAACTTGGAGGCCGGCCCAGGCGAAGATTTTACTAACCAATAATTTGATTTGCAGTTAGCTTTACATTTAACTTTTGCAGGGATCCAGCCTTTAGCCAATCTTCCAACTAGGAGATGATGCAGCTCTCAATATTAACATCTACTGATATATGTATACAACCCGATTTGACCCACCCCCAATGCATCAACCACTTTCCTTTCGGGTGGGTTTATAATTTAATGATTGGGATCCGAACTCTAGTTAATCCCGGGCCCATTATATATTATAAATGGTGTCTATGAAAACTCTGGAGCTTAATTTCACATCTAACTCTCAAGCTTGCTGTGTATACATGTACAAGAAGTTTTCCAAGTTCCTTGGGCTTTTAATACTCCGTACTTGAACTTTGACTGACCTAAAGAAGTGCTACAAAACTCGTCGCAGTCTTGGCACGCTCGATAAGCGAAGAAATTTTGAGGATGTATGTCGGGAATAATCAATAGACTCAAAATCATTAAATGATTGGTCGGGTGTTGGGCGCGTATTGCAAGGATTCAACCCTCAAAGTGCCGGCTTTGCGGCATGGTGGGGTAACCATAAGGCTCACGGTTTTGAGAGACGTAATATATATATGTATCTTGGGCTGAGACCCAACCGTCCAAGGACAGTTGTATACCTACAGCAAGTAGTTAACTGTAGCGAAAGATTTTCGCTGGCTCTATCGCGACATATCGAGTCGAACTTGTGGGGCCGCGGTGCGCGGCCTAGTTAATACTATACTATACAAGCACTTATATCAAGTGAACGATCAACCGGGGTTTCACTATATATAGCGGGCTAGTAGAAATGGCTTCGAAAGAGTATAACTCCTATGGCGACATTGCCGGCGACACCATTTTCATCGGCGATCAGAGTTTCCAAGCGGAAACCATTCATTTCGGTTCCTCAAGTAGGTTCAAGGCTCGACATTAATGCATTGCACTTCAAGCCCGAAAACTTGTCGTACCCAAGCTTAGAGACCCCGCAACCCGATAGTATAGAAGATTGATACTAACCATTTTTCCATGGATCCACCGAAACTTTTATAAAAATGTATAGACAAGAACAAATATCTAGAAGATCTATACTCCGCTGGGTGCGACCCATCCGCAATAAAGGAGCGATTAGCGGATGAAGCAGACCTTATCAACGAATCCTTAGCCTGGATTTTTCAGAATGAAACATTCAAGAGCTGGCTTGGGGGCGAGAGCCATCAGATCTTGCGTATCACTGCTGGGCCCGGAAAGGGGAAAACAATGACAATGATCGGAATAATCAACCACCTGGAGACTGCCATAACACCGGCGGTAGAATGCGAGATGTCTTACTTCCTATGCCTCGGGGAAGACGTCCGTCTTAGTAGCCCTGCGGAAATCATGAAGGCCTTGTTACATCAAATACTTACGAGGAAGTCAAACAAATACCTCAGACACCATCTTAGCGAGCCATACGACAAAAAGGGTTCCAAGATGTTTGAAGGTGCAAATGCGTATATATTCTTACGGAAGATCTTAATGGATATAATAATTGATAGTCACGCCGACAAATTTTATTTCCTCATCGACGGTCTGGACGAGTGTAAAAACCTCGACATCTTGCTGGAATTCATCAAAAACACAACTACATCTAGCAATAAGGTTTACTGGCTAGTAGCTAGTCGCAATTTGCCTCGTATTGAGGGGTTCTTTGACAACTTTGAACAAAAAGGCTACCCACAGCTCATAATCAGGTTCGAGGATTGTGATGAAGAAATAAACTTCGGTATAACGAAATACATTTTACGGGATGTGAACGCGTTAGACGATTACTACGACGAGGAGAGCAGGAACCGAATTTTCGAAGCTCTAAGCAACAGATCTAACGGAACATATTTGTGGATAAGATTTGCTTGTAAAGCACTAAAACTAAAACCAACTACTAGCATGGAGGAACTTGACAAAATCCCTACTGAACTAGCCAAGATATATGACAAAATAGTGGAAACCTTGAGCGGTGATAAAGATTGGGAGATCATGCTGTTAATCATTCATACAGCCACAGCGGCCTTACGCCCATTGAGACTAGACGAGATGATGGCCCTGATCAAATACGACTCAACAGTACTTGAGATTTCGGTATCAGGAATGCTGAGATTGATCAAAAGGCTCATTCAATGCAGCTCTTTTCTGACACTTCGGGATGGGTCGATACACTTTATACATCATACTGCGAGAGAACACTTTGAAAACCGATCTGAGGTACTATCAAGACACAAAATTCTCTACCAAAAATGTCTCCAGGTATTCCAGGAAAAGTTGGCGAACGGAATGGGTAGTGGAACTAGGGAGCCAGTAGGCTATCTGGAGTACGCTTGCTGTTATTGGGGCAGCCATTTTCTTCTGTATTTGAGATATAACACAGATAACTGGGGCGATGCCGAAAAAAAGGCAGCAAGGGAGCAGATATCAGTATTTCTCTGCCGCGATCTCCTCAACTGGGCCACAGCTCTTGGTGGGATTAAAAAGGTTGCGAAAGGGGTAGCTCAGCTGGCTGAATTTGAGGAGAACAGTTATTTTAACTTGGTAAGCACTTGCTTGTAAATGCATGGAAAGCTATAGTATTTTCCTACCTAGATCCACATCGATGAAGATGGTCCGAGCAGGGCTCGCAGAGACTAGATTCAACTGATCCTGACGCATCGATATTAAAAAGTTGACCGGGCATGACTTCTTACTAACCTTGGCCACCCAACCAGAAACTCGAAGATGCTGGTCTTACAAACAGAATATTGGAGGCTCGGGAATTCCTATCAGACCAACGATCACTTCTCGAGGAGGACCCCCTCTATATACACTCAGGTATTCTATTTAGCCCTGCAAACGGTGCAATCAAAGCAGCATATAAATCCAAGATCCCATCATGGGTCAAAAAGGAGCCTCGCACGACCTACTATCGGGACCAGTGTTTTCGCGTTTTCGAAGGATTCGAACTCGGCGTTGGAATGATCTCTCGATCTCCTGATGCATTGGCTCTTTCTCTCAATGCTGAAACCGTTGCAGTTGGGTTCAACGGATCGAAAAAACTGGATGACGAGGGGGGGTTTCTTCGCGAGACCATCCAAATATGGGATGTAGCTTTCGGGGCTTGTATGCTCTCAATCCAGTTCAGAGGTGATGAAATTGCTCACCGTTTACCAAGACAAGACTCCGATTTGCTCTTCAAAGGCATCGGTTTCACAGAGGATAGAAAAAAACTTGTCGTAATATCCAGGCAGTCTGATGAATCGACTGGCGAGCGTTACGAAGACATCTTTTCCCGGTTTGAAGTTGCTACTGGGAACCTGGAAATTTTATTTGCATTTCCAGCTGACAAAAAGCTTAAGACTCCAGAAAATAGATTAGGGGCTAAGCGGAGAAGTGCAACTCCTGCTTCTTTACTTCTGTCTCCGAATTGTCAGTACTGCGTGGGGTTCGACGCTGAGGGTCGAGACATTTTTATTTTCAAAACGGACGCCGAATTGAACCCGAATCCAATCTATCTTTCCCATGAACATCCTAATCGTATCGAACAAATTGTTTTTTCTCCAAATAGCGAGGTTTTCGCAACCATATCGAAGAATTTCGATGACCATAGCGAGAAAGCTCTTTCCCACTGCTCGAAGCTCTGCGCCGAAGTGCGAATTTGGGACGTACAGACGGCAGCTTTGAGACATACTATCAGACCCTTCTCGCGATACTACCTTCACATCTTATATCGTGTCTCTAAAACCAAGGTTTCGATGCATTTCTCTCAGGATGGAGGCCTTCTAGCGATTTTAGCCGCTAATAGTACGTTTGAGGAAGGGCGAGTTAACATGATCGAGATGTGGAAACCTTCTAGTGGCGAGTTTGTAGGTCCTATTTGCTTCAATGCAATAGTAGAAGAAGATAGTTTTTCTTTTCTGCGAAGCAACAGTATTTTCGTCTGTACGACGAGATCAAAAAACGGCAGGGTGCCCAAAACATGGATTTTTAATATTTGCACCGATGGTGAAAGCGGTGCTACCACTCTGCACGTGCATCAAGCCGTTCCGCAACGAACTTTTGCCGCACGGCTTTCCGACAACCATATTTTATGCCAATCGAAATCATACGATCAGGATTCTCAGAAGGAATCGAGCCATCGGTGGCTCATTTGGGACCTTGAAAATGATAATACTATCCATTGGACGATACCAGCAACAAGCCATCGATTGTTTGCTTTATCTGAAGCCAAAAATATTTTGGCAATAGCTTCTCAGAGTGGGCTTAGTCTATGGAATACGAAAGACTATCCCAAACCAATATCCTCAACCAGCACACGATGGGAATCAAAAACATACGATCCTCTAACTGATCTCTTTCAAAATCGATTGCCAAGTCCACGTCATATGGAAGAATACATACCCGTCTTCGAACCTGGCCCTGACGGAATCAATCAGAAAGGGACTAATGCTAGCCCTCTCGGTCTTAGAACCAACTTAATCAATTTAGATCTTTTTATTTTTAAGATCGGGGTGGCAGAATTTCTCCGCTGGCCAATAGTACAAATTTGCAACAAAATGATTTCTGAATATATCACCGGTAGCAAAAACGATACTCTTTTCGGAAAGCACGGTGCGATAGTCTCTGCGCACAATATCTCAAACGATCGGACCATAGCGGTCACAGCGGGAGAAGACATATGGATATGGGGCGTAGAGAATCAGGAACTCCAGCAAATTATACATCTCGAGGGCGACCGGTACGACAAGTTAAGCCAGCGGGCTACTTGTATTTCATTCTCTCGGGACGATCAGCTTTTGTTCGCGTGGTCTGAGGCTGTGAGTAAGTTTACAGGCAAATGCACACAAAACTTACATATTTATGACCTCCGTGAAACGCCAAGGGAGCCATCCGAGTCATGTCAGGGATGGCATTTCGAAATGCACGGTTATAATTCCCCTGTTACGGTAATGGCCATCTCACCAGACAATTCAACTATTATGTGCATGTATACAGAGGCGGGATCGGGGCCTGATTATGTCACTACCATTGGTAGCATCCGTCTGGAAAAGCTAGAATCACGCACACCCTCTCTATGGCGATACCTCCCTATCCAAACCTTCCAAAAGACCAGGATTATATTAAGTTTCGCCCATGACGTTTTTAGAATGTCATTAAAGCAGCGAGAGGCCCCCTTCGTCTTATGCCCGGGCTCTACAAAGGGAGTAGTGACTGCTTCATATTCTGAGGACGGTAGACTCTTGGCGTTTGCCGATGACGCCTGGGTATATTTATATGACGCGGAGGAAAATTTAATTTCTGGGGTCAGGGTCGGGGCTGATCTGAAAATTCATCGACTATCGATTTGTTCGGGAAATAGGTGCTTGAATGTGGGATATGTTAAATTTGGGCCCGCGGACCCGGGGAACAAGAGGATCCCGACACCGAGGAATGAGCAATATCCGATCCAGCGCTCGAGTTCTCCCTTGCGAGGGCTGCAGTTAAGAAAGTATCCTTTCAAGAGGGATATCGACGCGGTTTGCGATGACTCCCCGTTTCTTTACTTCCACGATCATTGGCTTTGGTTCGGCAGTCACAAAATTTTTTGGATTCCTCGCCCATATCGATCTGAAAAGTATTCTTGCACGTCGGATGGTCTTGTAACCGTAGGCTGTCCTAATGGGAATGTTTACCGCTTACAGTTGGATCTAAAGGCACTCGCTGCAGAACTACAGACGGGCAGGAGTGAGCTGAGGAAAGATTGGTTCTGCATCTGTCGACTACAAGAAAAAGAGAGAGCTGCCCCTAATACTGGTCTCATTGGTGGCAGAAGCCACGAAGTACACCCTGATACTGATTTTTTAAATGATTCCGATTATTATTTTTGCCGGCAAATGGAGTCAAAGATGAATTCGCGTGAGTTCTTAGCTTATGGCATGCCTGGAGAAAGGAGATACTTTCTGCAATTGCAGGGCAATATACTCTCTGATAACTACTTTCAATCTTAAGCACGGACCACGGCATGCTTACGATACAAACAACTACAGCGTAATGGTGGTATATTTAGATTTCAGCCTGGAGTACCGTTCAAGCTACTGCTTCGTGGCTTCGACCTTACGTAAAGTTAAATGAGATTAACAACGGCGAACCGTGGCGTTACTAGGATACCAGTATATATATGTGTACATGAATGCGCATTGGACATAATCGAAATAATTCTGTAAATAAGCTATTCAGACGGTAGTCCTAGAGCTATGCGCCCGTAAACTTGGATCAAACAATCCTGTGTATCTGGACAAAAAAGAACGTCATTTGTCCAGCTGTCGAGTATTAATATTGAGACTGGCCCATCCTAGTCTCGTTCCCAAGCCCAGGCCACATGCTCGAAACAGTACCAGCCATTGGAATACAACAAAAACTGCGTTGAAGTGTGATATTTCCAAAAACGGCCGAGCCGGTGTTACTTTCGATCAATTTGGCCCAGTTTAAGCCGACGGCGACTCCGTACCGAGGGGACGTACGTGAACATACATTCCCCAGGCTTCCGCCCCTCCCAAAAGAGACGTTAAAACGACGTGACGGTGGCCCGAGAATAGGTTAAATTATTAAATACTCCTTGCAAGTCCCGTCCCCGGATTTCACGTTCTCGATTTTGGTAACCTTCACGCCAATTCTTAAACTCGGCAGCTCGGTTGTTGAGATATAGTGTTAACTTAACCAAGGTTTGCGGGGACCCCCAATCAAGAGATCTTAATTAAAGACGCCGCAGTTTCCTGTTCTGGGGAGATATTTCTTGTTACATTTTTCTTTCTCTCTTTCCTAAGTTTCTTGATTATTGTATTTTTTCATACATCCTTATTATATTACCCTATATCACTTTTTTTTGCCATCGTTGTTTTGAAAGTGATCAGTTACAATGCCATACGAGATCCCAGCTATCGTTCAGGACCGCGTGTCCCCCCGTGCTAGGGAGTACCTCAAGAAGGTGAGTTCTACTTGTCGTATATCAACGATCATGATGTACAGGGATAGCTAACAGTAAGATGTATCCAGATCGAACACTTCGTCGAAACCGAATGTATCCCCGCCGACGAAGTCTACGAAGCCCAAGTCTCCAAAGAACCATCCCTCCGATGGAAATCATACCCACCAATCATCGATGAGCTCAAAAAGAAAGCACGAGCCCAGGGACTCTGGAATCTCTTCCTTTCCAAGACCCACTATTCTCAGGGAGCTGGGTTCACAAATCTCGAGTATGGCCTTATGGCTGAGATCTTGGGACGTTCTCATACTGGCTCTGAAGCTATGAATTGTTCTGCCCCTGATACGGGGAATATGGAGGTTCTGGCGAAGTATGGAAATGATGCGCAGAAGAAGCAGTGGCTTGAGCCTTTACTTGATGGAAAGATTAGAAGTGCATTTTTGATGACGGAGAGGTATGCGGCGAGTTCGGATGCTAAGAATATTGATATGAAGATGAGGATTGAGGGGGATACTATTGTTCTTAATGGAACTGTAAGTCATACTACTATCTTATCTGGAAAATTTATGGAAGTACTAACAGACGGCGATATATAGAAATGGTGGTCCTCCGGTGCCTGTGATCCCCGCTGTGCGGTTTATATCACCATGACCAAGACTGAGAATAACATCTCGACCGATGCATTCAAGCAACAATCCGTCGTTATTGTTCCAGCAAATACCCCCGGCATCACTGTTCTCCGCCCTCTCCACGTCTACGGATACGATGGTACTTACTCCCTTTCACATATCACAATAATATATTATGACATAATGCTAACAAATACCCCACAGACGCCCCACACGGCCACGCCGAAGTCCGCTTCGTCAACGTCCGTATCCCCAAATCCAACCTCGTCCTCGGCGAAGGCCGTGGTTTCGAAATCATCCAAGGTCGTTTGGGACCCGGTCGTATCCACCACTGCATGCGATCGATCGGTGCCGCCGAACGAGGACTAGACTACATGATCGCCCGAGTCAACGACCCCAGCCGTCGTACCTTCGGAAAACTCATCAGCGAACACGGAACAATCCGTACTTGGATCGCAGAATCTCGTATTCAAATCGATAGCTGTCGATTACTTGTCCTTAACGCTGCGGATAAGATTGATAGAAATGATGCCAAGGCTGCTTTGAAGGAGATCGCTATGGCGAAGATTGTAGTTCCTAGAACTGTTATTGATGTTTTGGATAAGGCTATTCAGGCTCACGGTGCCGGTGGTATCTGCCAGGATTTCCCGTTGGCGAGGATGTGGGCCGGTATTAGGACTTTGAGGATAGCTGATGGACCTGATGAGGTTCATCTTGCTCAGATGGGTAGGAATGAGAATAAGAGGGCGGCGGAGATTGTTAAGAGACATGAAGCACAGGAGAAGAGGAGAGAAGAGCTTTTCAGATTATATAAGATCGAAGGACGGTCGCAGTTGTAGATACAAACTACCTGCCATTCCCTTCGGTTTCCTATTTATTATATTTAAGTATTTTTTTTTAGTATTACACGATAGCTTGATAATAAAAAGGCTATCAAATTTGTCTGTATCATAGCAATCAATTAATTTCCCAACGGAGCGCAATCCAGTGCAATCATATCTGTATTTTGAAGCCGTAAAGTTTGGGGGTTGTGAAGCTTAAGCTATGCAGGCAAGTCTGCATTACCATGGCCTGGTGGAGCTGAGCTACCCCAGTCCAACTAGCCCCCAAACCCGCGTGGCCGTTTTAACCCGTCGCAACTTTTCCATTCGCCGACCCAAATTCAGCCGAACAAAATTTCTTTTCAAACAAACCACCACAAATATCATCGTCATCGTCACCATCACGACCATCAACCCCACCATCAATCAATCGCAAATATGCCGAAACGAAAGCGCTCCTCTCCATCCGACGCATCTGAGGCGGCGACGGCGGGTACATCTAAACCCTCAAATCAAGATGCCATAAATGCCATCTTCCGTGCAAACTTCGAATCCAAATTCGGGGCCATAAACATCGCTCCAGTCGCTCCAAAAGCTTCAGATACAGATGATACCTCATCATCATCATCGAAGAAGAGGAGGAACACTGGTAGTAAGCAGGATACAACAAATAATTCCTCCGAGGATGACAACGAAGATGACGACGACGACGACGAAAATGATTCAGACAACGATTCAGATTTAAACCTCGAAGGCAGCGACTCAGAAGCTCTCTCAGACGACGAGGATAACGATAACGACGATAACAATAACAAAGTAGAAGTAATAACCTACGACTTCTCCCGCCGCGGCCCCCCACCAACCGCAAAACCCTCCCACCGCTCCTTCATGTCCTCAAAACCGCCTTCCTCCACAGAATCATCATCAACCCGCCCGCAACCTTCCTCAAAACTCTCCAAATCCGAAGAAGCAGCCGAAGCCCTAAACCTCAAGAACGACGTCGCCCTGCGAAACCTCCTCGCCGAATCCCATCTTTTAGACTCAACCCTCTCCCACTCCACTGCCAAAAATCGTCATAAAGCGATTGAACAAAGAATCATAGCGCTTGGTGGTCAACCTCTAAAGCAAAAGGGAAATGTACCGATGGTCATACAGAAGGGTATGAAAGCCAAACAGAGGTTAACAGCGGAGAAGATTAAGAGAGAGGCGAAGGAGAATGGTGTGATAACGGATAAGGAGAGTAAACGGGCGAAGGAACGGAGGAAGAATACGGAACGACAGACCAGGAGGAAAGGTGAAGGGAGGGACGCGGGTGTGGGTCATTCTAAGATAGGGAAGTTTAGAGGTGGAGAGCTGAGGTTAAGCAGAAGGGACGTGGCGTCGATGAGGGCTTAATCATATTCACCTATATGCTCTAATGAGAGGATGGTATAAATAGAGAGGTACGGAGTGATGGCATTGAGTATTTTAAAAGCGACTTAAGCATTTATTACGTTTTTGATGTATATATCAGGTATATAGCTATTCTCATATAGATCTAGATTTACAAGATCCAGATCTAATACCCTAGAGCCTCCGAATCTTCAATTGATCGAGTCAAGAAAGCCGTAATACTTGCAACTGAAGGTATCTCCTAAAATTTTAAAACCTAGCCGGCTAAACACCCTTGTTAAAGGATAGCATCTCAAGTAAACTTGGCAGACTCGAGCTAACCAGATAAAGATCAAGAGATCTGTGTGTAACATCCTCAATCACAGTGGCTTGCATTGCATGCTTCTTCGTCTATGCAATGTGACTCCACAAGCCAGCTCAAGTACGTAAAAACTTTGCTCTGAATTCGCGAATCATTCTCAACCAAATTGCAAATCGCAAATTGCCCATGACACCCATCTGGCCAAAGGATTCATCCATTCAGAGATTTGAAACTTTTTCATAGACTAGCAAGCTTGGTAATTATAACATATCTCATAATCCACACCGCCGAACTATGCCATAAAAGAAACACCCACATACAAAGCATGCATGCGTATGCAAACAAAAACGAGTGTCCGTGTACAAAAAAGAACACACCCAAACGAAACGCCGCTGAAGATATTCCATATCAATACATATCTCATAAAAAGAACACAAGTCCTACTAAAGTACCTTCCTTTCTTTGTTCAATCATCAACAGTATTCGTACGTCTCTTTACCCTCGCCGACTTGAAATGCATCTTCCCATCCTTCAGATCCGTGGGATCAACTCCCTTCTCCAACGCCGCCACCAATTTCGCTTTCCTTCCCGTCAAAGCCTTTGTGTTCCCGCTAGCATGTTCCGTTCTCCCAGCTGCTACGTAGTGATAAGGAGTTTTGATATGCCCCCCAGCACCCATCGATTTGAAGAACTGCTTATCCAAGTTCTTCGATTTCGTACCCTTTTCTGCTGCAGGATTTAGTGGTACCATTTCATCGTCTAGAGATAATGTGGTAGTTGATAGGCTTCCGTCTTCGTTTAATTCCGATATCGAAGGCGATGCAGCGGCGGCAATTATCGCTTCCTTTCGTCGGGCGGGGAGTCTTTCAATATCGTACAATTCTTTATTGAACTCTGTCCCATCGATTTCTGGATCGGCGGGTGGCGGATGGCAGAATAGTAGTTTGCCGTTGACGTAGTCCTTGAGGATGAACCTTGCAGCACGGGATTCGTCCCAATTCCTTCCAGTACCGGTCTTTGTGAAACCTCTGGCTCGGGCGTATGCCATCAACATTTCTGCAGCGGTGGGGATACCGGTTCCACCTTCTTCTGGTGGTCGGACATTGATGTTTATACCGTAAAGACCTTCAAGATAGTGTTTTGGAATTCGTTGGGCGACTAATCCTGCCGGTCCTGTGAATTCTCGAAGTTGGTCGATGGGTAAGACGCCGTTACAAACTAAGTCTGCCTTTGTGGTTGCGAAATTTGGGAACACGAGACCTGGGCAATCGACCAGCATGACGGAAGGAGAAAGGTGGATTGTTTGGAAGTGCTTTGTTTTTCCAGGAGTGGAGGAGACGGAGACCTTTTTGGCACCGATAAGGGCGTTGATGGTGGAAGATTTACCGACATTGGGGTAGCCAACAAGTCCGACGTTGATTCTGCGGGATTGGGAGTCGGAGGCATCGGATGAAGTCGTGGCAGCAGCTGGAGCGTGAGAAAGGAAGATGGCTTCGAGTTCGTCGACAGTTATGATGCGGGTCCTAGGGTCCTCATCGACAACCGACATTTTCTGAGCAATGGCGACGAGGGATAGTTCTTCGTCTTCCTCAGCTCCATCTCCCAATACTTCCTTCTCTTTCTCCTGCCTCCCCTCCTCCTCCTCGCTCGATTCTTTCAGGTCCTCTGGTCCCTGTGGTAGCCTCTCTTGATCATCCTCCTCCTCATCTTCATAATCATCCTCACTATCCCCCTCCTCGTTGCTCTCCTTCGCCAACGCCGCCGAAAAGAATTTATAATCAACCCCTTCCTTATCAAAGTAGTCCGCCCACTGCAACCTCTGCTTCTGGGTCATCATATCCGCCTTATTAACCAACAATAAGTTCTTCTTATCATCATCAATCTCCTTCACATAATTTTCCAAATCCTCGCTTCTAAAATGTAACGGATTCCTAGCATCCACAATCTGCACCACCAAATCCGAACGTTCGATAACCCTCCACAGTTGCCTCCAAACCTCCAAATTCCGTTCAAATGGCGTAAGCAACAAATCATTATTCTCCGCCAATTCCGCCAACCCTCTCCTCCAATCTAGGAATGAATCTTTTTCCATTCTTTCAAGTTCTGCTGGGGTGGTACTTTCATCCCAATCTGGTCTTCTTGGGACGGTGAGTTTACCGGCATTAGCTTTATGTTTACTAAGCTTTTTCTTTTCTTCGTCGGCAGATAGTAGGTAAGGGTTTATCTGATCGCTATGGATGATTTTAATATTCATCTTTTCGGCCGTAAAGTCGGTGTCGGCGAGTTCGGCGGTGGAGAGGAATTCATCGAGGGCCTGTTGTTCGGTTATACTGCGCATTTTGACCCAGTCGGCTTCTTTATGGGTAGTTGTATACTATATTCCATACCATCATCCCCCCATTATGAATAGATTAGCAAATCTGTATCTCGCAGAAATATCGATTAAGTAGTAATAGTAATAATATCAGGGATAATTAGAAGAAGAAGAAGGTGGGAATATACCCTTTCACTGCCATCTCCATTCCTTCGTCGAGACCTAGCACCACCGCCACGGGAGGTTCTTGCCCCGCCAAACTTGTCGTTCATGAGGGTACGGCCCAAGCCCTCCATATTTTTGGCCTTTGGTAGACCCATCTTGACAAAAAGAAAAAGAAAATCCCCCGAGTACTATATTAATTTCCTTTGATATTAGGGTACTAACAAACCGATGAAAAAAAAAGGTATCGTTGGTAGCTTGATAATAACCGATGGTTGTGGTGGGGTGAGAAGAAGAGAAAGAAGAAGAGGTTCAGTTTATATGACGCAGAAAACAAAAAAAAAGTGGTGGCCCCGCAGAGTTTTTTTTTTTTTTTGCCCCGGCCAAGTGCGATTTCTAAGCTGGTTTCGACTCACAAATTCATCTCTCAAGACTTTCAACCTCAACCACTTACTCCACATATTGCTAATTACCAAGCAATCAACCCCATCGGACAAGGATAGTTCGCAATCATCGAGCTCGATAGTATCATATCCCCGTTATATCCGTCTTTTTTAAAGCTATACTTGCTATTCTTCAAGCTCCGTTGAGCTCTAAACAGTAAACCGTCAAAATGCCAAAGAAGAGATGGATGTAAGTGACCCGACTATAATATACATTTCCCGCCCACAAATCGATACAAACGGATAGCTGATGGTAATTGAAAAAAATGAAATAGTGACAAAAAATCCGCCCAAACATTCACTTTAGTCCATCGTTCCCAACAAGATCCCTTAATCCACGATGCCGACGCTTCGCAGATGGTCTTCAAGGAGATCGCTACTCCAAACGTCCCACTCCAACCAGTTCCACAATCATCACAACCCAGCACTTCCAAGTACAGGGGTGGTAGTTCGAACTTTTCTTCCGCTTCGTCAACTATTTCCACCGGTAGCAAGATAAAGAATATTTCGGATTTAGAGTCAGAATATGGATTTTCATCTAGAGCGAACGAAGGTGAAGCAGCGCTTTATGGAATCTACTATGATGATACGGAGTACGATTACATGCAGCATATGCGAGATATTGGTGCTTCCTCAGAAGCGGTATTTATCCCCGCTGAAACTCAAACAAAGCAGAAGAATAAAAAAGGGAAGGCACCAATAATCCCGGAGGAAGATGAAGAGGAGTTTAATGAAAAACATAAGGGGAAGAAAACATTAGAAGAGCTTTTGGAAGAAGATACGAATGCCAAGAATGGCGGACAGACCAAGAGGGTTCAGCTGCCGGAGGAAGTTCTACCTAGTGGCGGGTTTTTGAAGAGGAATTATCAGGATCAACAAGATGTGCCTGATGCCATTGCGGGGTTTAAACCGGATTTGGATCCAAGGTTGAGAGAAGTACTTGAGGCCTTGGAAGATGAAGCGTATGTTGAAGAGGAAGAGGATTTCTTTTCAGAGATCGCAAAGAGTGGAACGGTTGAGGAATTCGAGTTTGAAAGAAGTGCAGACTTCTTCGATGACGATGAGGGAGATGATGGGTGGGAGAGCGATGTTACCGAGAAAGCCTACCAGATCTCATCGACCAATGCTGCTAGAAGGGAAGTCGAAGTTGGCGACCTACCGGACCCAGAGATGGTGGGTGCTGACGAGACGGCAGTCGGAGCAGCAGAAGATAATGAAGATTGGCAAAGAGAGTTTGCAAAGTTCAAGAAAGATAAGAAGAAGCCGGCTTTCAGAGATGAAGGATTATCCAGCGTCGGTGGGAAGACAACAAGTACCGCCATGTCATTCGGAGGCGACGACCTAGCGTCGCTGGTTAGCTCATTTAACAACAGAAAACTCAAGAAGAAGGGTGTGCCCAGTTCGGCGAGGAGCATGACGTCTAGTTATTCTATGTCTAGTTCCGCATTGTTCAGAACAGAGGGCTTGACAACACTGGACGATCGGTTCGATAGAATTGAAGAAGAGTACGCAAGAGATGAAGAGGAAGACGATATGGTTTCACAATCTTCTGTCCTCTCGAACGCACCAGAAAGGCAGGACTTCAACAATATCCTCGACGAGTTCTTGGATAGCTACTCTACCGCTGGTAAGCGGAATCAAATAGTAAGAAGAGGGAAACAAGAGTCAGGAATGGAGCAGCTCGACGATATCGTAAGTTATCCCTTTTTCCCATTTACATATATTGGTGGACAGATGACTAACACCATTTGCGCACAAATAGAGGAAAGGACTGGGCAAGCCAAGACTCACATCTAGGTCCTAGTATCTACAAAATATCATTCTTCGATGATGACAGAAGTATAACGATTTTGGTTACGTGGTTGGGAAGGCGTATAAGGCGGGCAACTTGAGATACCATCTTTTCACCAAAAGTTCAGATGTAGCATTTATTTACTAGAATCCGATTGATAACCTACAAAATAAACAAGAAAAAAAAAGAGATCCTCCATTCATAACTGCTATACTAGACTAACTAGACTCTTTACCCCGGGTATCTCCGCATACACCTCATCGATATTGTAATCTTAAAATCAAGAACTAGTAGGTAAAACATATCGATCATCAAAAAGGAAATCAAAGACGTTAACTTCAAATCAAAAGTCGTGAACCAATTGCAAAAACGAGAAACGGAAAATGAAATATCATCCCACTCCCCTTAAACTTGTCCTTTAATACCTATATTTCCACTCATAATAATCGTCCAAACCAACATGTCTCATCCTATCCGTACTCTCCTCAATACTAATTGCAGCTTCCAACCCCCTCTTGTGAGCCTGAATATACTCCATCTCACTCTTAAACTCCCTTTCCTTAGCCGCCCGTTCATAATGTGCCTCCATATCCTTCAACTCCTGTTCCGCAACCAACAATTCCATTCTTTCCCTCTCTTCTCGAATCCTCTCCTTTTCACGTTGGAGATCCATTGCTGATTTTCTTGATGATGAATGTTGTTGTTGTGGTGGTGGGGAGAAGTATGTTGGCGAGGGTTTCAGATTGTAGATATCCCTATCCCTATCTCTATCCCGTTCTCGCTCCCGTTCTCGCTCTCTAAGCCTTTCTCTTTCTCTTTCGATTTTTTCCCTCTCTCTTATGCTTTCCCTCTCTCTTTCTCTATCCCTCTCCCTTCGCGGAGGGCTACTAGCCGGCGGCTTCATATACCCTCCCCTTTCCCTTCTAGGACTCTCAGGCGATGGCGACCGTCTATAACTCTTACTACTATAATCACTCCTATACCTCGAATACTCCGAAACCGGCGGCTGTTCATAAGCCGGCATACCCACACCACCTCTAGAAATATTCTCAGAACCCATCGAAGGAGCATATATCTTTGAAGAACTACCGAGTCCGCCGGCTGAACCGGCTCCATGGCTAGGTTTTCTCTTTGTTTCGGGTTGTGGTGGTATTGGTTGTTGAGGCTTTTGCGCTGCGCCGGAGGGTACTGCTGCGGATGCGGATGCGGATGCAGATGATGTTGGGGGTATTTCTTTGAATGAACGGATTTGACGGGCGAGACGGTCAAGTGGGATTTGGAGCTCTGATGCTAGATCTCGAAAGTTCCTTTCTACTTGTTTACGGTCGTCGATTGGCATTACGGGACGAGAGGTGCCGGGGACTAGGAGGCGGTATTTTTCTGTGATTGCGAAGAGGATGTTATGCGGCTATAACAATTGTCAGTCAGCGTACTTCGTTTTTATATATAAGATCCCTTTTTTTGATTAAAAGAGAAGATAAAGGAAGTATTATTATACGAACCCTATAGTCCCCCCTCGCGGCCCTCTCCAAGTAATTGACAAGAACGAATTTAATAAACCCGTTCCTGGTTAACATCGGCACAGTAGGTTTTCGATACGTCTTGAACGGATTATCCGTCACCGGCTGGACGATGACATATTGACATTCCATCGCATCGTAGATTTGCGGTAACACCCAGTCGATATTCTTCACAATGTGGCTGATATAATCTATATCCCTCTCAAAAGAAACGATATTAACTTTAATAATAAATCTAGGGGAGAGTTTCATAAAAGAGGTAAGAGAATACTAACCACCCTCCTTATCCGTCAAATCATCTTCATCTCTAAACACCACCCCATTCTCTTCAAACATACATCCCAAAAGTTTCATAAGTGTTATGTACCCCTTATAGGCTTTTTCGAAGGAATCGTGAAGCACATAAAGCGCTTCTAGGAATTCGAGGGCTGCGTCTGCTCCGGCGGAGAGATTGAAGGATTGGTAGCGTGCCATGATTCCATGATCGCCTGGGTCGGTTGGGTAATCGTCTACTTTTGGTGGCATCTTTCCTTCTTTCTTTATTTTACTTCCTTTTTATTTTATTTTTCTATTTTATTTAGTTTTTTTTTGCAAATTTGGTGTTTCTGTTCGAAGAGGAAGCGGTGAGGATCCGGATGAAAGAGAGAAAGCTTTCGGGTTGGGAATCTGCGTTGGCAAACGTGGTATTTCCCAGTGCTGTCTTCCCCTCGCTCGCCGGTGTCAATCGAATCGAATCACCGCCCTTGTTAAACGTCCTTAAGGAGCACAGTACAGCAGCAGGTAACCCAAACCACCGGGTACAATCCAAGCAACCGGCAAAAACAGATGTCCTTCTTCTCTAAAAAAGCCGATATCTATGTATATAAAAAAGAACCTTACTGACGAAACGTCCCGGGTCAGACGAAAAAAAAGAACTCAAAAGCTCGAGAGCTATACAATGAGAATAAAGGGTGGTGTCCTACCCTCGGAAAGAAAAACAAGAGGGAGAAACGCGAAAAGAAAAGATGGGGATTGAAAAGAAAAGAAAAGAAGAAAAAAATCCCGAACCTTAGCTGGCAAAATGTCCAAAAGTGCAGGAAAAGGCCTCAGTTAATTCCTATGCATTAAGAGGTATGGATGTATGGAGGTACTAACATCAGCAAGCTATCCGGCCATAGATATTACTGGGGTGGAGGGGGGGTTAGGTATATTAATATATGAGCTCGAGGGCTCATGTGGCCCCGCTGCGCCGCATGGTGGTTCATTCTAGCACTAATGGTTCCCCACCCTTTGTGGCGTCGAGGCTTGATCGATTGAGAGACCTGGCTCCATTCGGAAACTCCACGAGGTTTGTATTCCACGACTTCGATTGCATACATTTGTTTCGGGTGGAATTTGAATTGAATTGGGGGTTTTATCCGTCATTCGAGGATTCCGCTCGATATTCTCAAAGCTCGGAGAGCCACTATCATACAAGAAACGAACATCAAGTTTTCCAAAGTAAAAGAAAGGTTAGGTTGTAGTTAGTTAGTACACAAGCATTAGGAATACATCCAGTATAGCAGAAGTCTAAGTAGTTTTGGTCAGTATCATTCTTTTTTGTTCCCTGTAACCTCTTCATCTAGAACTCTTGAAAAGAAAAGAAAAAACTGAATCTGAAGAACCAACATACTTCGGAATGAAGCAGGGGCAGAAGTAGAAGGAGAGAAAACGAAAAACAAAAGAAACCCGATCCGAATACAAAAGTAAAATATCAACCAACGGCCAGTATTTCGTCTAGTAAAATACATGCATTGACGAGCGTAAAACAAAAAAAAACCAGAACGTAAGAAAACAAAAGGACATAGTAAAGGGCCCCAACATAAGGAGAAAGAGCCATGATGATATCGAAAAACAATAAAGCCGTATAAAGTGGAGAATAAGAAAAGCTTCACGGTATCCGGAGTGAAGCAGATTCAACGACAAAATCACATTACATCCCCATCTCGACATCCTCGTCAAGCGCACTCCCACTCACCCCGTCCGCCATTTCCATCCTCTCCTTTGCTGACTTCCTCCTATGGGATCTCGACGGCCCACCGGATTTCCCGCCACGTCCTCCTCTCTTACCACCTCTTGCACTGGTCGCGGCAGCAGAAACAGCGGGGGCGGGCGTGCTAGCTTCTGAGGGCTTGTTACTGTTATCATCAAAGTGCCCTTCGCCTATTTCAACCTCGTTAGCCTCTTCTCCTAGCCTAAATAAATATTTTCGCAACTCACCTTCGTGATACATCTCTTCCAAGCTCTCCAGCCCCGCCTTCTTTCTCTTCGCCCCCTTTCTTCCTTTACCCTTCGCCGCGTCTTCCGCCTCTCTTTGCTTCGCCCGGGCGTCCATCTGTTGCTCCAGAGTTTTTCCATCGCCGTCTTCATCATCCAGCAGCAACATCGCCATTTCCCTACTTCCTTTATTGAAGTCGACATTCTTGTATTCCCCTTCGCCACCACCGACGACAACTTTCTGCACCTCGGCCTTCTGTTTAGCCCTCAACAAAATCCTTTCTTCGACAGTGCCACGTGTAATAAGCCTATAAACGTGAACTTGCTTCGTCTGACCAAGACGATGCGCACGATCCATGGCTTGACTGTCAATCGTAGGATTCCAATCAGAGTCGTAGAAAATGACTGTATCTGCAGCCGTCAAGTTGATGCCCAAACCACCGGCACGAGTCGATAACAAGAAGATAAACAGCTCCGGCTTTGTTTGCCAGTCTGCCACCATGTCTCTTCGATCTTCCAGTTTCGAGGAACCATCCAATCGCAAATACTTGTACTGTCGATAAGAGAGATACTCCTCCATTAAGTCAATCATCCTGGTCATCTGGAAGTAAAGCAACACACGATGCCCACCGGCCTTGAGTTGCTTGAGTAGCGAATCCAATCTCGCGAGCTTGCCGGATTCTGCCACAAATCTACGCATCGAAGGAACTTGAATAGACGTAAAGCCTCCGATCGCAGAATCCGGTTCTGGCAACAGTTTACGAGTGGGGAAGTCGGAAATCTCAACCTTATCCTCAACCAAACGATCCTCCTCGATAGTTAACGGTGGAAATAGGAGCCTCCTGACCCGCGGGTTGAACAAAAAGTCGTCGCTCTCAGCCGAAACAGCTAGGGAGGAGCAACTGATCGTGATTGGTGGGGCTGTCGCCTTCGGAATGAGCATTGGTTCTAACCGATTGAGTTGCTCGTTCTCGAATGCGTTCCGCGAGATATTCTTCAAGGATCGAAGAGTAAACGAATCCTGCGGCTCAGGTTGATCCAGCTTTTGTTTTGCTGTGTTGATCAATAACATCATTCGGATCGGAACCCATTTCTCCTCAGACTCCAGGAATGGTTCGTAATCCAGGCGGTTCTCGGCAAAGACCTGCACGGCTCGGTCGATTATCGGTGAGTGGAAAGCCCGCGAGGCCTCCGCCGGTGAAGTGTCAATGAATCTCAAAAACCCAAAGGTTGACTTCTCCTGCGCGTAATTCCTCACTAGGTACCGCGGATTCCATATATTAAACAGACTCTCGCTCGAATCCATCCACTTCTTCCGAAAACCGAACTTAGACTTCTCACCCGGGATATCCAGCCTTCCATCCCTCGCCACTAACCTTGGTAGTTCGTAGTCAATCAAGTTTCGTACGCCATATGGTACCTCCACATTGTGTCCCTCTCTCAAGAATGAAACCGTCTCCGGCCATCTCGAGAAGGCCATGGGGCTTGCTACATCCGCCCTTTCAAACAGATCCGGATGATTACACACTTTCCTGAACTGCATCACCAAGTTCATAAGGCTCTGAGATCCTTCGTCTCCCATCACAGCCTTGTCTATTATATCGGCCATGTTGATTTTGTTTCTGAGAGCACGGTAAATAGATCGCTGACGGTAAGTGAGTTCGCAGTAAACATCCTCCTCAATCTTGTCGCCCAGTTCGCTTTGCACGTGCTTCTTGATACGTCTCAACATGAAAGGTTTTAGAATCATGTGCAATCTCCTCAGCTGCGCTTCGTTGAGTTGCGTGTTGCTCTGCGCGTGGCTTTCAATATCCTTTGAGAACCATTCGCTAAATTCGTCGTGGGAATCGAAAAGCGTCGGCATAATGAAATGCAATAGAGCCCACAATTCTTGCATGTTGTTCTGAATTGGTGTACCAGTAAGTAGCAATCGGTTTCGGCAGCTAAACCCCAAAAGCGACTTCCATCTCGCCGAGTTTGAACTTTTGATGGCCTGGGCCTCGTCCAAAATCATATATTGCCATTTGATGCGTTGGAAGTATTGAGAGTCAAGGACTACTATCTGGTACGACGTAACCAAAACGTGAAATGGCGCCTCCCTGTTGTACGTCAGATGCTTCCGGTCCCAAAACTTTCGAAGGATCTTCCGATCTTTGGTGCTACCCCAGTACGGCAAAACCTTAAGGTCTGGTACGAATTTGGCAATTTCTTGCTGCCAGTTATGCAGAGTGGAGGCCGGAGCGATGACTAAAAATGGTCCCCAGATGTTGTGATATTCTGCAAGATATGCCATGACAGATATCGATTGTACTGTTTTTCCGAGACCCATCTCATCGGCGAGAATACCATTGATACCTTGTTCGTAGAGGTTCACCAGCCAGTTCAAGCCTTTAAGCTGATATTCCTTGAGTTGGCAGGTGAGTGATTTGGGCTGATCGATGTAGATATCCCCCAAACTGGTTGGGTTCTGGAAGTTCATCTCGTCAGAGTCGAGATTCACGTTGTTCAGAGCAGTTGCATCGCTTTCACCATTAAATTCTTGTGCCCTCTTACGTGCCGCCTCCACAGCAAGATGGGCGTTCGTCGTAGCTGCTGCTTTCAGGTCGGCATCATCCGCCTCGTCGAAATCAAGATCTTCTATCCTCGTAACTTCCTCGCCGAGCTCGCCATCATCGACATGTGCTACAGGGGCCGCTGTTGAAGGTTGTGCGGGTGGAGCACCAGTAACCTTGTCTGTGGACCTCTCGACTTCGTCTGTCTTGATCTTCTTCCCGATAAAGTGAGAGTATAATTCGGTTTGCGAAATCAAGAAATTGAGTTTCCTGGCTTGTCTGCGGGATTCCCTCTCTTCTTCTTCCTTCTTCGCTCGGTCCAGGGCCTCCCTCTCAGCACGACGCCTCATGTCTCTCTCTTCTCTCTCATTTCGCTTCCAGAAAGCCGTCATCTCACGCATGCTCTTCTTGGCCCGCGCCTGGACATCTTTCGTGTTCTTCGTCGTTCGTAGCTGCCATCTTCGAGCTTCCTTCGACGCCAAAAGTGACGTCTTCTTGTGGTTTGACTGTTTGATGGAAAATGTATATTGTTGGTGCTTCGAGAGTTTCGGGATATCACGGCGCGCAAGGTCTCGCCAAATTTGTTCGTACATAGTATTGTATGCCTTCGAGGAATTCGGGAGGATCGGCTCCGGCGTGGGTTCGCGAACGGGCTCTGGAGGTGGTGGTGGTCGGGCTTCCACATCGGCCTTGAGCAGGTTAAGTTCTTTTGGATCATCAGTGCGTCTTTTGGGCTTCCCGGGCTTCTTCTTGACCTTCTTGACTTCTTCTTCAACCTGTGCCTCAGAGTCGACATCGTCATACCCTCTAAATGTGAGCGTCCTCTCAATAGGCAACAGCTTGCCAGCCTTCTTGGCCTCTTCCATAAGTACTCGCTGTCGTTCTGCATTCTCAGCTGCGTCCTTGGCCGCCTGCTCAGCTTTAGCACGGTGTTCCGAAGCTGCCTTCGCTCGTCGTCGGATCCGTTGCATCTCCTTCTTACGCTCTTTCTCCTCGAAATCTTCCCGTCGGAGAATCTCCTGGTAGGCTGCATCATGGAAGTGCTGTTCGCCACGGATTCGTCCTGTAACGGCGGCCGCAGAAACAACTTCCTCTACTCGTTTGCTAAAGTTCAGTCTTCGGTGTTTGCACTGTCGGTCATCCGTTCGGTTGGCTTGGAGCTTTCTCTTGCGTATTTTGGCCAGATAGAATTCTCTCTTTTGAGCGTAAAGGTCAGTATCCTTGGAGATGTCATCCTCAGCATCGACAGCATCAAAGTCAACGATTGGGTGCGGGTTCTTGTTGGAATTCTTGTCGGTCCTGAGAGGTTTGACCGGTGTGTCTTCATCGATATCCATCTTAGACCTGTCGGGAGAGTGATGTCGGGTTTGACGGGTGCTGGTTGGAGAGTTCATGTTGACTTGGACGCCTTCGACTGGTTGCTTTCGAACGTATTTGCGCTTCGGGCGTGGTGTCGGCTCCGATGGTGTTGCTGGAGTAGCAACCGTTGCTGCGGCAGCAATTGGCTGTGATTGTGGTTGTGCAACGGGGGTAGGAGCAGGTTCCTTAGGAGTTGGGGCGGGTGGTGGAGTTGGATCCCGGGGTTCTACTGGTGCAGGTGTCGGGACAACGGGCTTCGAGAGAGGCGGAGAAGGTTCAGACGCGACAGGATCAGGGGGCAGAGCGACTGGAACTGAAGGTGGTGGTGGTGGTAGTGGTGGCGGTGGTGAATGTCGCGGTTGAGCGGTTGGTGGACGTTCTTCGGATCCAGAGAGCAGAGCTGATATGGACATGGCGGACTTCTTAGCCGAACCTGGTGTAGACTGTCACACCACACAAAGTCAGTAAAAGGGTAAAATTACGACGTGATATACGCGATATTTGTAGGCGAAGATGCGATGGAGTAACATACGGAGGCAATAGGAGGCGATGAGGCCATCACGGGAGGGCGGTAAGGTGGACTCTGAAACTCGGGACCACGCGGCGGATAGTTCGCATCCATGGAATGAACAGAAACCCTTCTAGGGCCACCATTAACGGACGTCGGAGACATCTGCCGTTTTACATCGCCATGGGGGGTTCTGTACTCTGTTGGTGATCTGGGAGCCTGAGGCGGCGTCCGTGGTCTATCTTGTGGTCCCTCGGTATGCATAGGCTGTCGGGACTAAACAAGGTGCAAAAAAGACGGAAAGGAATAGCAAGGGTTAGCAACGATCAATGGTCAATTGAGCAAAGCGGAGATAGTATTATTATGTCCGTTGATGTCGATGAAAGGTGAAAATAATAATCGCGACAAAATTGTTTGCTAAAAATTTTCAAGCAACTGTGTAGACATGGACACTTTACCTGTTGAGTTGGTGACGTAAGGGAAGGGTAGCGGGAAGAAGTTTGGTTCCAATCTCGTGGTGTCTCCCTTCCACCAACGGGATCGTAGTAGTTATTGTTACGTGTAGGAGCAGGATTGTAGGGTCCCGGAGAGGGAGGTGGAGGCGAATAGTAAGGTCGCGATGGTTGGTGAGACTGAATGGGACTCTGTAATTGGTTGTAGCGAGACGACGAGGATGAAGTTGATGTCGAAGTTGCTGGAGGAGGCTGTTGTGGTTGGTGATGTTGATGGTGAGGTTGATGATGATGGGAAGATTGAGGTTGTCGGGAGTCGTAGTATTGGCTATTGGAAGAAGGATAAGAGGGAGGAGGAGGAGCGTGTGCTGGCGGAGGAGGAGAATGGCCGCCTTGGTGGTGAGAAGAGAGCGAGCGAGAATGAGAGTGAGAGTGGGCGTGGGAGTGGGAGTGTGGATGGTAGTTGATGTTGTTGTTGGATAACCCACCGTTACCGCTACCACTGGCACTACCACCACCACCACTACCAGCACTATTACTACTAACACTACTGCCACCACCGCCACTGGCAGCGCTATACGATGGATTCGAAGGTGGCGGATAGCCAGGAGCCAGCTGTTGTTGATGCTGTTGCTGGTGCTGTTGGTGTTGATGGTGTTGATGTTGATTCTGATGAGGTTGATGATGATGTTGATTCTGGTGATGATGATTATGATGCTGTGATGGTGGGTAAGGGCTGTTATGATGGGAGTTAGAAGTGGTGGAGGAAGAGGAAGAAGGATGAGGCGGATGATGACCGCCAGGAGGATGAGGAGGATGAGGAGGAGGGTGATGATAGGGCGACGGTTCCATGGCTGCTGCTGCTGCGGTTGGGCTCCCGTCGAATGGAATTTCTGACCAGCCTGACGCCTTGATTTCCCTCTCTCTTCCTCTCTCTTCCTTCCTGTCTGTCTGTCTATCTGTCTATCAACTATTTATCTCCGGCTGTCTCGCCTATTGGCTGCGGTTTGGTGAGGTTAGGTCAAGCACCTAAGTCCTAAAGTAAGCAAAAGCCGCGGTGTCTTTCCTTCTCCAATCGAGCCCGATGAGGCTCTTTCGGTTCGGTGATGATATTATTAATATGTCTGTATCTGTTATAGGGATGTCTGTGATCAAAATAACGTGGCGACGACGACGATGATGATGATGATGACGATGATGATGAAACCCGATGTTAAGAAGAAGAAAAGAAAGAAAGAAAAAGTAAGTCAGCAGGAATCGACGGATCTCGACCTGGCCGGTTTTGTTCTTCGTTAACTCTTCCTCTAGTCCGTCGCTTGATGGTCGTTAAGCTTTTTTCCTCTCCCCGCGATATCAAATATCAACTATCAAATAGTATCGAATTGAGACAATTGGATATTATAGGACGGTACAGGTCAAAAAGGACATGCAATGGCATGCGCCAGTTCGCTCCAAATCAAGGTCCGGTCCAAATAATCCCGCCAATCTTGCAATGTTCGTCCAATTCGAATTCGCAAACACGTCGGATATCTCTCCGATCGATTAGCTTTTTGCAGTCGTAGGGGTGTCGACTACCAAGAACACCGAACACGCATCGTTGCAATCAAAAAAATGCCCTTGTTGAAATCTCGTTCGCTCGTCAGTCGATCGTTGATACCGTTGGCTGCTTATTTTTTACGAATGAATACGGTGATTCGATTGTATCCTCTTGAGTAAGTTATAATAACAGATACTCAAGAGGCAGGCAAGTAGAAGTTGAGCAAGTAATCAAAGTCGAGCGCTGTCGCTTTTCGGGCGGCTGAAAGACCGCGGTAAACGTGACCAGGTGTCCGTGCCAGGCTTAGGCCTAACCAGGTACCAGTTTCCAATTTCGCTCCAATCCCCGGAATATCCGTTCAAGACTAGACCTTTCGATTGCAATGATACACTTGCACTCTCCGAGGGTAGAAAACGACAGAATCCAGAAAGATGTGTGTGAGGATGAAAGGTGGTTCGATCAGACAAAAGGAAAGAAGTAAAAAAAAGAGAAAAAGAAGAAGTGAGCAATAGAGCAGTATATACACCGGATCAGAAAAAACAGAAACCACCTGGTAGCCCCAAGCCAGGTGTGAGACAGTTAAAATCGGGGTGCAGGACAGTTTGAACCTCCAATGCAGCTTGCTGCAGACAGGTGGGTATCAACCAGAGGCGCGATTTATTGGTCGAATGAATGCGTGATGACGAAAAAGAACGGTTAGTCTCTGTACTAGCAAGCTCCTTTTGCTTTGCTTTAAATTATAATTTTAGCTCACAATCTTTCCTCCCCGTCAACCTTCTACGGATTCCTTCCGGGGTGATGTTGGCGATGTGGGACAAACACTTATCGATCGAAGAAAAGTTGCGAAGGTTAACAGTAATGGTAGAGGTAGATTGGGAATGGATAAAATGCTCAAAACGGAATCTACGATGTTCTAACATGTGGACATGTTATCATGTTTCGGATTCATTTATTCATGCGTTCAGCTGATGCAAACCGAACTTCGTTGATTACGATCCCCCTCTGACAATTTGCGATAGCGGAGAGCGTCGGTAGGAGGGAATAAAGAAATCCTCCTTCTCCTTCCCTCTCGTTCTCTCACCCTCTCGTGTGCACAACATGGATGCCAGCAGCAGTAGCGCATGGACATGGGCTGCTTACAAGCATTTGTGCATGTTACCCAGGTATCCCACCAGATGGGACGGACAGGCTTGATTCGACCGCCTCCTTCTCCTCCTCCTCATGATATTACGGAAAAAACAAAATTCCTCTACTCTAAACGGTCGGTTCACAAAAAATGAGAATTGTGAGCCAGCTAATAGAGATTCCGGGCGCATGCATGTTATGCACCGTAACTATTCAAGTCCCCAAGAGACAGTTTAATTAAAAACGGCACATGGAGTATCAGATGCTGTGCGAGAGATATAGCTTCTACCGATGCAGGTTTTCATGCCAGATGGTCATCGGCCGGGTCTCCCCATCCTGCTTCCTTTTTCTTTCTTTCCTCACATTTTCCCTCCAGGTACACATACATAAATTCGAACCCGCTAGCGTGGAACTGTGGCAGTCTAAGCTAAGCATGGGGTAATGGAAAACGGAAGTGCGAAGAAAAAAATGATAAAAAATGCAAAACACCCACACCTCGAGCTCGCTCGCCAGCTGAATTCGAGGTGGAGGAGGGTGTGGTTTGACCCAGCAGCTCGTCTCTGCTACCCGTCAAACCTTGCCCTGTTGGGTTGCTTCCCTTTCGGCAAGCCCTCTTTTTCGCCCGTCCGTTTTTAACGTTGACATGCAGATTTGCATGCTCGGTCCCTGAATTAAGCTGGGGCCCGCTGATTATATCATCACCATCGGCTTCATCCCGTGTGGCCACAAAATTCATCGTCGAACCCGAGACGGTGTGCTATGCTTGTTGTCAACGCCCACTACGTAGTATAGATGTTAGCTATCTCCATCAAAAGCGAGGCTCGCTTCCAACAATCCGCGAAACATCGCGATTGGGCGAAGGAAACACCCACCCCAGCGTCCCCTCGTTTTTTTGGTGTGGTTGCGAAATTTAAGATTGATCACGATTGCGCTATCTTACAAAAGATTCGGGTGTGTGTGGAAGACGAAAGCTGGGAAACGTAGGCAAAAAGCAAACCCCAAAAAAACAAAAATAGGGAAGTCCAGAAAGCCTTGAGCTAGAGAAAAGGAAAGGAAAAAAAAACATGTCTGAACCCACACAATAGAAAACGGAGATGTCGGATTTTCCTGCGCATACAGACGGCCGCGTCGACGGTTCCGGAGAATCAATGCAATTAAACTGAGGGTGGAAGGAAAACTCAACTATCGATTTAAAGATACATCTTAGATTTTGCCGAAAGGGGGCTCCGCAGCTGGTATTCCCGTTTCAACGCCTTCTTCCCTTAAACCCCCACCACTAGGATAACTTCCAAGGTTTTTAACGAGGCTTCTCGTTCACCGGTGATGCTTTTGTGGACGCCATTATTTTGGATGAACAAGGGTCCCTTCACGGGTCATCTCCATTCGAACGAACGCGGATGACCTTGTGCCATGCCCATCATGTACATATCTCGTATTCAGTTGGCGAAAAGGGGCAATCGGGATATCTCCAACGCGACTTCGTCATCATTATTTCAGCTCGACGGAGCTTTCCTTGTATCTGTGTTCGCATTCGGGCCAACGACTTTCAACAGCCGAACGTTAACCCTGGATCTCGAGATCAAATCTCTGCAATACCGTCACGTGACCAAGATACCAAAGACTGCTGTCTGGTTACTGGTCACGTGCATCCAAACCCAGCATTTCTAGAACAAAATGCTATCAATGAGCCAATAGATGGGGCTCTCGGAGGGCTGCCAACTATGAGGGCTCATTTGATCCTAGCTGTCGGTGGGTATCAGACACAATTTGCACTGGACAATGCGGCAGGAGTAGCTTTTCAACAACCGCTACCCTGAAGCAGGTCATCGATGTCCGAGAGAATAGGAGTATACACTCATAAAAAGCGAAATAAATGTGTCTACCAGTACCGTTGATCGAATATTCCCTGTTATTCTTTTCATTAGTGAATGTAAATGTTTGTGAGGGATGTAGGAAGGAGACAGAACAGTGTTAGGTATCATCTTGTGATCTCGAAGGACCTGAAAGTAGAAGCTCACCAATATCCCCCCGCTTCAATGGCAGACCAGGGCGTCTTCCAGATCATATATACAATTCCGAAGAGAAATAATAGTCTGCTAGCATTCTAATTACCAGGTTACTCTACACAGAGCATGAATTGGATGTTCAGAATATGTGTGTTGTTTTTGTTGTGAAATTGGGGGGTTGTAGACGTCGACAAACGGCCGTGTTTATATTCACAAGCATCCTCCAATGAAGGTCCTCTTTTTTTACCCTTCCTTCCTTCCTCGTTGTTTCTTTTCTACCTCACCCTCCATCGTCTCTGCATCACCATTCTTCAAGATCTAAGCAAGCAAGCAATCGACCAACCAACCGACGAACGAGGAAGTTCTCTCCTCACTATTCTCCTCGATCGTTCAATCAAGTCCTTCTACAACTTGATTCTCATTCTTCTCTTCTACTGTTCCTTCAAGCCATCTTCTCTTCGTAGAGATTACTTTCCTGTTGCTTAGTACGCGTCTCGTTGCAACTCCAATAGTTTTTATCAACCGCCGCTGCAACGATAATTTCACCTTCTACGACCTACACATCAAGTCGACGCTTTCGAGATTTTGAAGACCCTTCTCCTAGTCTACCGAAGTATCTTGCTATTCCTTCCTTCTCAGCCCTTATCAATCTTCATTGTTGCATCGGCTAGCTTTCAGTTTGTGCACACTGAAAATTTGATACGCGTCGTTGCAAAGGATTCTTTACAACCAGCCCTTTCTTCCTCATATCGATCTCGAACAACAACCAATTCTTTCTCTCTTCAACAGCAAAGTCTTGATTGTTAAAATAAATCACCGTTTCTGCTTGCTATTTTGCCATCTTGCCATCTCTTCATTGTTCTCAACGATTCAGGTTTGCAGTCTTCTAGCAACCACCCTCCCGATTTACTCACAACAATAACGAAACAGCAAATTTCGTTACACTGCACGATAAGTACCTTCTATTACTTACTATCACAAAGACTTGAAACGTATCTACAGCTTCAACAAGCAGTATTTATTGTCATTCCCTCCGCTAGCAACAGTTTTAACATCACGCTGCAAGCATTCTCAAGACAAGAATCCCAAACCTGTTCCCCCACCAAGATTTCATTAACAGAACCTTGAATCCGAAGCTGTCTTCAGAATGGATCATTCTAAAGAACTACGAAAGTCTCCAGAGCAGGCTGATAGCTCCATTGCACCCGAAATAAAAGACTGGCAGACCCCGGCTAGAATAGAAAGTGGAAGTGAAGAACCACAATCTATTTCACCGATGGCATCAGAAAGCCACCCTAAGACGCTACTGAGATCACCTCAGATTGAAAAAAAACCTTCATCGCCAACATTTACAGATACCACTCCGATAGGGTCGGAGTACTCCATCGACGCCGAAGCACCTCCTCGAGGGCTAGGTTTCCGAGACAAGCTAAAGTGGGCGCAAGAAACCCAGCCTACCGAAGATTTGAAGAAGGAAGCAGCAAATTCACCGAACCAGCCTAGTCCCAAGTCGTCAGCATCTACGATTCCAAGTCCTGTCAATTCAGAGTATTCAGTTGATGATCAAACTGTCCCGCAAGGGTTGGCTCTAAAAGACAGACTCCAATGGGCTAAAGCAAACCCGTCTAATGCAGAGAGGAAGAAAAGAAAGCGATCCTCGAACCCCGTACCTCCGAGGTCGCCACCGCCCCAGCCATCTCCAGACCCAAGATGGTATCAACAGGCCCAAGACGATATGCTGCATAGGGACCCGAACTCACCAGAGCACCCAGCCTCGTTGAGTTTTTCAGAAGCCATGTATGCGCCTTTGAGAGCCAATCGAAATACAGGGACAGACAGTGGACGTACGACACCGCACATGTTGCGGATCCCACCCGAAGAGCCGCCATATGTTCAATTAGAGGATGACTACACCCCAGTCAAGATAGGTCAGCGTTCCTCGCCCCAATGGACACTCTCTGAGTTGCCAGAAGAAAGGCCGGTTTCCCCTCTTCCGTTCACCATATATGTCGACGAACCGACACCCACTCCTCGCAAGAGGAAGCGGGAGTTGATCGAAGATGTTGTGGAGGGTGGAGAGGGGGAATCCAGCCCGGAGTCACCAGTTGTTGAAGACGCAGAAGTACCCAGACCACTCGGGCATGGATTGCCCGTTATTATCCATACAGAAGACCCCAGCCCTCGCCCAAGAAAGAGATATCGTGGTGTAACTCCTACGCTTTCCGATTGTTCGAGTCCACCAACGCCAATATTTTGCCCGTCACCAGCTGATGGGGAGACTGAGGAAGAGAGAGATGAGGAGAGGAAGGAGAAAGAAGACGGGGTTAATCCGGCCATTGTGCAGTCGGATGCCCAGGGGAGTTTGGCCATTGTGCAGTCAAACCCTCACCCAAGCCGCCCACGTACTTACGGCGAAATCCGTTCGAGACGCTCGGTCATTGCGCAATCGAGCTCTCACTCCGAAGCCCTCGAGAGCACGGGATCAGTTTCGGGTAAGCCGGCCATTGTGCTGTCGGATACCCGACCCCAGCAGGAGGGGGTTCTAGGAGAGGATGTAGCCAGGGAAGCTCGAGTAACGCCTCCACCAGTCATTGAGGACTCACCGAGGCCGAAATCAGAACCATCTCGCGGAAGGTCCGCATGTCCGACGCCAAGACGATTACCATGGCCCAAGAGACACATCTTGGATCTACCGCCGTATATTACGGCGGACAGAAACACAGATGAAGCTCTCCGACAACGACGTTTAGGAACGTCGTTTGGTAGACGCTTGCTAGGTGCTAAGAGTTCGAGCACCGAGGTTGAGAGGAAGCCTTTGAGTATCCTCAAGCTGTTCGAGATTCCTGAGCTTTTTGCCAGGATCTCCAACAAGCTGAGTGAGAAAGATTGCCTGAATCTTACTTCGACATGCAAGGCTCTGAGGGAGAAGAAAGAACAAGTTTGGGACATCAATGCGCATATGGCGCATTTCTTAGAGAGGCCCACGGAATTCAGGTCGCTGATGGCTACGCACGGCGCCGTTGTTAGTGGCAGCGACGCCCTGCAGTTCCTATCACGCGAACGCTTCGAGAACAGTGACTTAGACGTTTACGTCGAAGTCGGGGGGTTGAGGGGGTTCAAGGAGCACCTGGAGGAAGTGGAGGGTTACGCGTGGGTGCCATACCAATGGCAATCCGGCGGCATCGAGGAAGCGATGGTCGACCGGATTTTTGACACCAAGGACTTCCAGAAGTTGGAGCAGGCCGGTAGATTGTCTAAGGGGAGCAACTTGGGGTACCTAGCCCGGTATGAAATGAAGACGTTGGAGGGCGTCTTCCTCTTTCAGAAAGGCAAAGCTGAAGACCAGTCATTACGACAAGTCCAGCTGATCGTTACCCATGGGCCCCCAATGTATGCGATCCTTTCAGACTTCTATGCGACCCACCTCTTCAACGTGTACGATTACAAGGGCGCATACAGTATATTTCCCCATGGGACCTTTGTAGAGCGGAGGGGCTACAAAACCCAGGCCATGACGGCCAAATTAGTCCGCTGTTGCGGTAAGTACGCACAGCGAGGATATGACATCCTCGACTACACCGAATGGGACGAGAAGAGCACGGGGGAAGGGAGGTTTGGCGATGTGGTGCTCGAGGTCAAGGACGACCGAGAGATCCGTCGTTCCCGACGTGTCGGGGACCGTTTCTCTTGGTGTCTTAACCTAGACACCACGGGGGTCGATGTTCCAGAACATCCCCCCAGTTCCCTGCTCGAGTACGCAACATTCGGAATGGGGTATAATGATAAGAGGAGGAACATGTATGGGGAGGTTCGGGATGTGGTGACCCCATACATGAAGGTACAATGCGCACCAATGAGGTCGGAGCTTGTGGCGGGGGACTTGGTTGTTGATACCTTGGGAGGGGAGTGGGAGGAGTTTTTGTCCGAGACGTTGCGGATGGTCATGAGGAGGGGCACCCAGGTGGGATATAGGGCGGATATCCCCCTGTGGTATGACATGTTCCAAGCACGTCGTGGGGAGGTGGAGGGGTTGAGGAAGGAGGCGAAGGAGGCGAAGGGGGTGTTGAGGCGGGTGAAGGAAAGGTTACGGAGTGTCCTCTGGCGGTGGGGGTTGTAGAGGACGGGGAGTGGTGGTGGTGGTGGTGGTGTGGTTGGGGTGGGCTCCTAGTCCAATGAAGAGGTCTGAGCAGTTTGGGTTTTGTCATGCAGAAACAAGCCTGTGCTGTGATTTCCCTCTGAGGATACGGTAACCTCTGTCATTGCGCAATAGAGGGCTGTTGGAGTTTTGTAGAGTTCCCTGGTCCAGTGAAGAGTTTAGGGCGGTCAAGCTTGTCATTGTGCTATAAGCGACCGTTCCGGCTTGGAGGACAACAGTTAGTCTGTCATTGTGCTATAGACTGCTGTTTTTCATTTCTAGTTCGACCTGTCATTGCGCTATAGGCGGCTACGGAATCTAACAGGGTGTGGGTATTGTAACGGCGATCTGAAGTTTACGAAAGGGTGCGAGGAAAGTTTTGACCTGCATCGAAGATGATACCTTGATCGTAGTTACTTAGCGTAGCTTGCAATCTCGGTGAGTCCTCTGCGGTCACTAGCTAAGAGGTGGAATTAGAGTATTAGTGTTAGCATCAAAGTGTTCTTCGTTGAGGGCGATGACTCGAGTATGCAGTTATTTAGCATAACTGAACTCCTGGCTGAGTCTTCCGTAGTTCACTTTTGATAGATAAGTTGAGAGATAGTAATAAAGAGCCTGGTTGTGATAACCAGAACTGTTCTAGTCTCCGTTCACATATTCTTTATAATCCAAGTTCATAGAGTATGCCTTTTCTAAAGCATTTCCAACTCGTGACAACAGTTTTAAAGTTATAATTAACGAAGAATGGTAACTTTTGAGACTAACTAGCTCTAAATACTAAAGCTACATATAGCTAATTGGTCTAGTTCCAAGATAGCTAATTAATCTATGAAACAAGATCATAAGCTTAAGCCCTCATCAAGTACTAAAGATGTTTAATTTTATATCAATCAAACCCCTAAAACATAGATGCCTAACATATAAACCGATACACACCAAAATAACACCAAATAAAGATGATAAAAAAATAAACAAATAAAAAATAAAAACCTCAAAGATTAAGTCAAGAAGCAGTGAGATAAAACTTAAGAACTCCCCGTCACCGTAACCGGACAAATAACAATAGCCGGCGTACTCATAGTCACAGCCGGCTCCCAGACCTCCTGATAACACACCGTCTGCACCGTAGTCTGCGAAATAACAACCGAACCAACCGTATTACTAACCACACTCAAACTCGTGATCGTTAAAGTCTCAATCCTATTCCCTTCCAACATCGTATCACAAAAGCTTGTAAAATAAGCCGGAGAAGCCTCGACTGCCGAAAACCATTCTGTCGGGGTGGGGACTACTGTTATATCTTCGTAATTGTTAGTAGTGGTGGTGGCTGGTGTGGAAATAGTCGTTGTTCCCGCAACGGCGGTGGTGTTTCTGGGAAGAATAAAGCGGTGGTGGGAGTTTATGCTTTCTCTATCGGAACGGATTGCACCGCTACCGGAGGTTGTGGAGGAGAGGACGCCGGAGACGGAAATGGAGGTTATGCTTGGGACTACTTTGTAGATTGTGGGGGTACAGTCTTGGGTTGTGATGGCGGAGATTGTAGATGCGAGGTAAGAATAACACCAACATGCGGTAGCGAAGGAGTTCATGACACCGGTGGTTGAGTATGCTAGTGTATAGTTTAGTGCGTTACATCCGATGATATTGGGAGAAAGAGCTGTAGCTGTGACAGTGGGGAGTTCTGTGGTTGTTATTGTGGTGCTGATGATGGTTGTTGATGGGGTTGGGGCGTTTGTGTTTAAGCTTAGACTTGCGGTTACGCAGTTTAAATTGGAGTTTTGTTGGATGTAGGTATCTGGGTCGTAAGCTAGGATGAGGGAGTGATTATCTGTGTCCGTGGAGTTTGGGGGGCAGACGAGGAATGTTGGGATGTTGATGCCGGCGGGGATGATGGTTTCGCCTTCGACTATGGCTTCGAAGTTATCGCCGTTGGAGATTTGGCGACGTCTGCCAGCTGAAGATGAGGAGGAGAGGCTATTAGGCGAGTCTACGACTGCGATCTTCAGGTAATTTCCTGAAACTTCGGAGGAAAGAAGGCCGCTATCATTGTGATAATGGTAGTAAGGAGGATCCGTAGTTGCATCGACATATGCATATCCATTCTCATCTTCTTCGATATAATACTCCGCCTCCGTGTCTGGGCTGTTCGAGGTATCAAAGTCGACTTGAATCGGGAAAGAAGTCCAAGTTGTCTCTGTCGGCGTAGGAGTAATACTAGCCACCGATGAAGAAGAAGTGGTGATATAATTTGATGTATGCGAAGATACGGCTGTAGACACCGGGACCGACGTAACCGGTAATAGTAGAACTGAGGCGCAAAATTCGGGGTCGACTACACTAGATGTCTCGTTGCTTTGTAGGAATCCCTCGACGTTGTACGCAGCCTCCAATTGCCATGCCTTGACACCTAAGTCCGGGATAACGAACTTGCACCCCATGAAACCAAGATCGGTGACATTATTATCTTGGTCGATGATTTGGAGCGGAGAAGTAGGACTTCTCGGGTCCCCGTGCCATCTAGTAAATATATTCGCACCGACTGGAGCTTCTCTGTTTCCAGCTATGATAGTATCATAACCATTGTTATCTTGATCGGGATCTATTCTCAACATTCGCTTTACGTTTGATGTTTGTATATCAAGCGGAGCAATCCCAAGCCTGAAACCAGTGTTATCAAAAATAAGATTTCCATCAGAGTCAATATACCACCCGGGAATATGAGGACCCGGGTAAAGGACGACATATTCACCAGCAATGGCAAGATATTGCGTTTCAGTCAGTTCCACAACTTCCTGTAAAGTCTGGACTTCAATTGCAAAAGGTCCTTGCAAGGTTGCAGTAGAAGTTGGTAACGGCGCTGGCACAAAATCATGATATCATTTGTCAGATCTAAACCCTTTAAAGAAACCAGCCTAGGAGTTGTAAACCGTAAGAATAAATACCTGTAGTCATAGAACCCATAGAGAACATCGATCTGGAAACATCTACACAAAGTTCCAAAGATTGTGGACCACATTGTCTCTCCCGTGCACCGTACATCGTAACTACGGGATAGACCCACGTAGTTTCGGTGATAGTCTCTGTAATTCCAATCCTTGAATGGTTAAAGCTATGTGCAAGATCTGTGTCCTGCGAAAGAACAGTCTGGCCTATCAGGCCGACATAAAGAAGTGTTAAACTCGCCGAGGGCCGCATTTTGCTGTTGATTCGATTGTTGGTAGGTGGATATATTGGATGCAAAAGGCGAGTGTCGAATGAGTGGTATAAACTTAGTATTAAGTCGACAATGCAATTTCAAGGCTATTCCATCAAGCAGGCACATCTAAGTCAGCGGAGGGGACTAGGGCATAATACCTATCCCACTTCCACCCGAAGTTAAAAAAGGCCACAATGACTCTTAACTCATGCATAACCTCATATCTATCTATATCTTGCCTCGTCGCCAGAACACCCTTCTCGACTGCGAGCTATATAGCGCTATCTCGACAGCTAAATCAGTGGTGTTGCAACGCGGGTTCCATTGTTGTATTTCTTAAGGGTCGTGGTTTTGCCTTTTTGGGAGTTCTTGGCGAGGCTGCGAAGTTTGATTGGCTGTGCTCTTGTCGAGATTGGTTGGTCCATGGTTCGAAAATCGTGAAGAGATCCTGATACGCCATGAGAATTGAGAAGGATTAGCCATGTTTTATAATTTTTTTAACTATGTAGGATACGGAGATCTGACACTCGATGCTAAAAGCTCTAGTGGCTACAGTATTATCGGAGGCCCCTTCATCAACAATCCCGCCTTCTCTGCATCGGTTTGTCAAGCTGATAGACTCAATTCTTACTTTTGCACTAGAGAATTGCATTAATTATTCTCACTAATCAAATTACATGGCTATCTAAGCAGGTTAAATTCTTATTTGGTTCTCTTGACATTCAATTATGTGTCGGATTTATTAATACGTACTGACATTTTCAGTCACGTATAGTGATAGGTATCTAAACACGACACTAGCGATTATGTAACACACTAAATATAAATAGTAATGTACTCACAAACTTCTCATATCAATAGAATTCCAATCCATCAATGTCCAATCAAAGTCTTCCGCTTGAAAATCTATCGATCCTCCTTGCCCATCATACCCCGAACCGCTATTCATATTCCCCACTGCCGGCGTGAGAAAGTCATCAATATTCATCATCCCCAATTTTCCAAGTTGCTCATTATTCCCCTCTTTCCCAGAATTAGAAGTCATCTCTGCTATTTTTTCTCGAATACCAACAAGAATCCCAGGTAATGGCTCTGGAGATCTACCTTCTTCCTGAATAAACTTTTCTCTTGCTTCCCATGCCTGCAAGACAATCGTTGAAAAAAGAACAAGCAAGGGTCCATATAACTTCATTGCACCGTTCATTCTTGCTTCATAGCTCTCACTCATGACTTCCCAAGCCCTTTCGGCGTGACTTTCTCCTGGACGCTTTTTTAAATTCTGAAGAATGTGGATGTATGCCGGGAACGGGAAGTGGAAATTGATAAACCATCGATAACATTTGATCAACGGGGAGCTCATAAGCTTTGTATCGCATTCGAGCATTCTGAGTGCATGTGAGACTGCAATACTTCGGTGGAGATCTGATTGTTGCTCTGTGACCGAGTATTTTGCGTAATGTTCGATCAAATGGCTTTTTGCGATAGCTGCACGAGCTACCCAGATTGTTATTAACTGTGATGGAATTTCTGGGTTACAGAAGGCTAGGTATTTATCCTCGATGATTTTCTCGAGGGTTGATACTTCCCCGCCATTGGGGAGTGAGGCACTTGGCATATCTTTCATCATTTTATGTAGATGCGCATTTGTAAATTCCAGTTGAAAAGAGCTATACCGTACGAAATCTGCGATCTCGCTACGAACAACTGTGAATAGGGCTTCGGTCGGTCGATTGTGGATTGTGGGCGGTGTTTTCATCTCCGGTTGGATTTCAAAATCGTTTGTATTGGTGGGAGGTTTACAGTCCCATATTGGAGAGAGGAATGTGGTTTTGTGATCGATTGTTTCGCAGACACGGTGGTCAAGCATTACTAGCGACCACCAGAGTCTTCGACCCATTTCGGCGTGTAGAGTGGAGTGTTTGGCGTATGTTGACTCATTATGGAGGCCCATTCTATGTGCTGCGCGAATGGCTATTGCGAATAAGGATGATAGGGATCGTGGATCCGTTTCAGGTTTGACAGAGACCTATAGCCAAAGAGTTAGAATTTCGAGGCATACATATATATGAATCACATAGAACTAACCAAATAAAGGAACAATGCCGTCAAGCAGTCGCGATCAGTCGTCCGTAAGAACTCGCATTTCAAGAGAGCTTGTCGACAAGGGAACTGATAACTTCTCGAAAGATCATTCTTCGAGAATCCAAATAATACAGGACATTCCTCTTCGGTAAGGCTGGATATCGCCACACAATAGATACTAAACATCAATGCCTCTAACGCGGGATTAACACCCGATAGGTCTCCGACAGCATCAATAATCCTTGTTTGTAATGTCGGAGTATGAGTAACTTTGAGCATAGGATCTACGTTTCCCAGATAGATTTGCCAAAGTTTGAAGATGTGTGGCTGGGTGGGGTGTAATGTCGAGATGTCGACATTTGGGTTTAAGGAACCGAATAGTAGAGGGTCGTTACTTTCGATTTCATACATATAATCCCACGCTTTCCTGATGACGCCGCCGTGGACGTCTCCTCCGTCTTGGAAGAGACCTTCATCATTTTCTTCTTCGTCAGAGCTTTCTTCTAATGACTAAGTATTTAGACATATATAACATTAGTTGGGTGCCGGAGTTCTACAAGGCTAGGGAATGGGTACCTACACTTTGCCCCATGGCACGCCAAATATTACTATGGGAAACTCAAAATATCAGTTCTCGATCGCACTTTAGCTAGGAGTAAGAAGGTATTGAGAAGACAATACTATCCATACACCAAAAATATCAATACACAGTGCACATGTACATACCTTGGCTTACTCCCAGCAGACCCTTTAGCATCCGGCGACCCATACCCCTCCTCACTTGGAGAAGCATGATCAGTCTGAGGCGTATGCATCTGCTCCACCACAGGACTTCCATGGCCATGCAAAGGCTCAAATTTAATATTATGCTGGCTCAAAAGACTTTCGTAGTACCTAACCCGATCCAACAACTCCCGTTCGGGAAACCTGCGGCGCCGCTGACGTTGCACAAGTCCTGCAGGTACACATTGTGAGCCGACTCGCCTACAATGCGAACATGGGAATTTGCGGTCGCATTTGACTTTGCGCTGTTGACAGAGGGTACAGGCGAGTACCCGCTGAGGTTTCACAGCTGCGGATGTCTCTGGTGTTGACATTGCGCTCTCTTTTTTGGATGAGATCGATATAATTATATGATAGCTATGATTGATTTATGAGTTCGATTATACAATAGACCGTGGTTTTTTAAAATTTTCCGTGAAGTTGTCGAAGCTCGAAGCTCGAAGCTATGTCGGGTGTTCGAGGGATCCTGCCAAGACTTTCGGGGTTTTCTATTTCCCGACGTTGGTGTGTGGTTAAAGTTTGGGCTCGAGATGTTCAGCGGGCTTCACTAAAACCCGAGGGGCGGGCAATCCAAATTATGTATAAAGATAGCGATAGATATCAAAATATCCAGGAAATTAACTAGAGCCTTTGTTGAGATCGATATATATCTTTATAAATTCACAGTTGAAAAATCCTCAAACCTTCATAAAAGGGTGTATATACTACGACAGTCTACTTCACAATTACTATACCTACAAGACATACTTCATATCTATTAGAGTTTATTATATTTTCTAAGATCCCTTTGGGATATATTCAAAATGGCATCCTCAAAGCCTCCAGCTTCACAAGTTTCTGATTCGACATTAATGGATACAGCAAATACCGCTACAAAAATCGCGGACGAAAAACTCGAAATACCTGACCATGAAGATAACCCTCAAGAAAAGGAGTCAAAAGCAAAGACAATCCTTGTTTTCATTTCGGTGTTTCTAAGCATGTTTCTAGTCGCATTGGATAGAACCATCATTTCAACGGTATGTTAGCAACATAAATTTTAAAATCTACAGTAGAATTTACTGTAAAAGCATATTAACTAACAATTATGATAAACTTAGGCAATACCCCAAATCACAGACGAATTCAACTCCATAACCGACGTTGGTTGGTACGGAAGTGCATACCTACTGACATGCTGCGCTTTCCAACTACTCCTCGGAAAAGTCTACACTCTATACCCGATTAAATTCGTCCTGATCGGTAACATCCTACTCTTCGAAATCGGCTCAGCAATTTGCGGAGCGGCGCCAAATTCTTCTAGTTTCATAGTTGGAAGAGCGATATCTGGAATCGGAGCTGCTGGAATATTCGCAGGAACGGTAAGTCTTCATCCTCCTAAAACCAGTCCCTAGCGTTCATGTAAGCTAATTCATTAATACCTACTTAGGTCGTATGCATCGTACACATAGTCCCTCTCCACAAACGTCCACAATTCCAAGGCCTTTTCGGTGGGCTGTTTGGTCTGGCTTCGATCATTGGACCAATCGTTGGTGGGGCGTTTACTTCACATGTATCATGGAGATGGTGCTTTTATATCAACCTTCCCCTCGGTGGGGTATCGCTTCTTGTGATATTCTTTTGGCTTCATATTCCGGAGCAGGAGACTATGAAGCATCCGTGGGCAGAGAAGTTGCTTCAACTTGATGTTGTTGGTACTACGATGCTAGTCCCCGGAGTGGTTTGTCTTGTGTTAGCCATGCAATGGGGTGGACAGAAATACGATGTAAGTTTCGTTTGCTATATTTACTTACTTATAAACTGAGAAGTCTTACTAACAAAGAATAAATAGTGGAACAATGGACGAATTATAGTTTTACTCGTCCTCATGTCGGTTCTTCTTGCCGGGTTCGCTGCGGTGCAAGTACTAATCCCCAAAACTGCCACTCTACCAATCCGCATTTTCAAACAGAGAAGCGTCGTCTCGGGTTTCTGGCAGACGCTATGCATCGGATCTAGCATGTACGTTTATAGTAAGTTAAAACCCATTCAATATTGTAAAATAATTTTCACTTTACGTCTTCTGACTAATCATCTAACAAATTAGTTTACTTCCTCCCACTCTGGTTTCAAACAATCAAGGGAGTCTCCGCCGTCGACTCCGGCATCCGTATCCTTCCATTCATGTTATCAATGGTAGTCGGTTCAATGATTGGTGGCGCCGTAACAACACGAGTAGGGTACTATACCCCCTTCGCCATCGTCGGTTCCTCTATCATGTCCGTTGGTGGTGGTCTCCTCACAACTCTCCAAATCGATAGCGGACCGAGTCAATGGATTGGCTACCAGGTAGTCTACGGCCTGGGTATGGGACTATGTTTCCAAGTACCAAACCTAGCGGCACAAACAGTACTACCGAAACAAGATGTTCCAATAGGAATAGCACTCATGTTCTTTGGACAACTGTTGGGAGCGGCGATTTTTGTGGCTGTTGGAGAGAATGTACTTGGGAATCAACTAGTGAATCGGTTGAGTGGGGTACAAGGGATTGATAGAACATTGATTACGGAGGGAGGAGCCACGACCCTTTTGAGCGGATTGGATGCGGAGCTCCGAGAAATTGTGCTTGTTGCGTATAGCGAGGCTTTGAGGAAGGTATTTCAAGTTGGGTTGATAGTTACATGCCTCGCTGTCATTGGGGCTGCGACATTAGAATGGAGGAGTATACTGAAAGAGCAAGCTCAGAGAGACAAGGACGCCCAAAAGGAAGCAGAGGACCAAAAAGCCTAGGTTGTGGATGATTATAGATACTATGGATACATATATCATCCATGGATGGGACAAGTTGGTATAGAACCAACATAATTAGAATAGTCATTTTACGTACACTAATATACTCTGCTTTGGCTGTGCTAATGGTAGGTAGTAATGTTAATAGGATTGTTTTCGTTTTAATTAGATTTTAGAAAAAATAATGTATATAGCATAGATCTCCCGGTATGCCTGTAAATACTTAAGTACATAATTGATAAACACCACTGTCACCGAAATTTAATACTAGAGCAGTGCCACCTTGATATCATGGGCATTCGGTCTCTGAATTCTAGCTCCGCCTACCTGTTCATCCAGCTGAGGAGCATTACATAGGATAACACAGATGGACTTTCATCAAATCATCCGGTTTCATGGTGTAGTTGGTTATCACGCGACCTTAACACGGTCGAGGTCTTGAGTTCGATCCTCAATGAAATCATTCTTTTTGCCGATTTTTAGGTTGGCCGAACACCTCTATTTTTTTGATATTTTCTCTTATAGAAACACCATACATTTGAACCAATAACAGGCCTACATAGAGGCTTCTTATTCTATCTATCTCCTAGAGAATATCCCCCAAAAATAACTTTTGGGACGGGTGACGTCGCCCTCATAGCAGGATCTACTGAGGTCTGACGAGACTAAACCATGTGAACGGACCATGTGTTGCGTGTGGTATAAACAACCACGTCTCCTGAAATTAATATTAACACCCAATTTCAGCTCTCGCAGCTCAGCTTTATCTGCGACAAGACATCCCAAACTTTTTGTAGAACGTTAACTTTACTCCGCATCTTTGTAAGACGATACACATAGTATATAGCAGTCTTGAAAAGATGGAACCAATCGATGAAACCCCAGAGAATACATTACCTACCGAAGCTGAAGCTACTGCTACCCAATCTCCAGCTGTAAAACCCGAAGAAGATACGTCCATCCCAGTAACCACAAACGCGCCGCCACCTGCTTCTTCTTCCAACCCGGAAATCGATTATGTCGCCTGGGATGCCGCCATAGTCGCCGCAATAACATCCCTCCCAGAAGCCGACCTAAAATCACGGTCTCAGCAATTTCTCTCAAAACATCCAACCGCATTATCCACATTCCGGTCTACACTATCATCTACTCCCCTAGCAATCCCACTTGCACCATTCCAACAACATCCAACTTTTCTACTTCGCTTCCTTCTCGCCGAATGGCGTGACGAAGAACTCAAACAATTCCGCACCGATCTATCCCTTATTATCTCAAAATCCTTGGAACGGGTTATCGCTACTCAAAAATGGAGGTCCGGCGATGACGAGTGCTGGAAGTTGTTTCAACATAAGGATATGGACGATCTCTACGACAACTTCACCCATCCCGAGGAAAAGGAGGAGTTTATACACAAATGGTTCTTCCAGGGTTTCTACGGTGTCGATAAATCAGGCCATCCGGTTCATTACGAATTACTCCCAAGTAGTTATCATGAGGAATACATGACACCCTTAATAATCCGACGAATCCTGAATAACGAAAAAACACTAAGGGAACGAGTACTCCGTTACAATCCACCGTTGGGGACAGCGACACAAGAACAATTGTCGAATCCGAAGTTGGGAGTAACCTGGATTCTCGATGCTCGCAAGATATCCATGTGGGTTGTTCCGCAGGTTTATAAGACTATGACGGGTATGATTTCTTACTCGAATAAATACACTTCGGCGCATTATCCGGAACAGGGGTATAGAGCGTATGTGGTGAATTTGGGAAGTGTTTTGGTGAGTTTGTATAATGTTGCGATGAAGATTATGCCGGCACAGACGCAGAGGACGACGAATTGTTATGGCGGGAGGGATGTTTTGGATGAAGTTGTGGATGGGGATTTGCCTGGGATGTTCGGGAAGGGGGGTCACAAGAATGTAGAGGGATTGAGCGATGATGAGAAGAGAAGACAGTGGGAGATGGGAGATGCGGGTCCGTGGGTCGAAGTCGAGGCTTAGGAGGCTACAAAGTCGACGACCTGAATGATTCTGGATCTTCTTTTAGTAATGGCAGGTGGCTCGCGTGTGTTTTCGGATCGAGGAACTAGCGTCAAAACTACTCTGCTACAAGGTATTAATATTCATAGCTAGAAATTCCTCCAGGAGCACAGTTTCGCTTTCAACATCTCATAATTTATCATTTTAATGCTTCCTTGTACAAAAAAACCCATATTTTTCTAATAAAATATATTCGAAATATCCATAACTCTACCACCCTTTTAACTCTAGTTCTAATAGCTTTTAAGTTTATTCGATAAGAGAAACTACCAACTTCTAATCCAATACATAAACACAAATAGATAAAGGACTTAATATATTTAATTGTGCGGTATTAAGTTTATGAAATCCGTCACTCACCCAATAGGGACTCTTCAGATAGGGAAGCGATAATGTGTTGAAATGTTGTATTCTTATATAAGCTCTACCCCGTTGCCTGGGAGCGAAACAACGTTACCAGACCCAAGTCAATCCCAGCGCAGCCCAACCTCATCTCTAGCCGTCTACCTACTTAAGTACTTACTTAAGTACTTTTATAGCTGAGAACGAATATAAAGTACTTAAGTAGTATATATGGAATGCGAAACAGTCGATAATGACATAACACCATGGCCAAACCTCACAGGTCACAATATCGAACCACCGTCGTTGATTCCTAGGCCGAATTTTAATCATGTCGAATCGAAACAGGTGTCGCCGTCCACGATGACTCCTTTGCTGCTACCCAAAGAGGAAGGCTAGAGTCAAGGTCACCGCAAAAGAGGAGACGGATAGAAGATCATTCGGCCAGCAGTCGAAGCTCAAGTTCAGCAAGCTCATCAAAATCGGAATCGGACGCGATATCAAGCGTAGGTGTCAAGACACAATCCAGAAGAACAACAAATAATAGTTGCTGGTTATGCGGGAACTCTAAGAGTACACTTGATGTGGCTTATGTGATACCGAAATCGAATAAAGAGGTATTTTGATTCATAAATTTATTATCCCCAAATCTATTGTTTCTAAAAACTAATTGTCGGCGCCTACCTAGTTTGAATCGGATTACGAGCGGGGGTATTTTCCGTTCGCAAGCTTATCAAGCCTTGAGAATTCCATCCCTCTTTGTAAACTTTGCCATGATGCATTCGATCGAGATCCTCCTTTCTTTTCTGTTGTTCCAACAGATTTACAGTATTTCATCGATTTCGAGGAAGAGGACTTTAAACGAAGGAAGGGACTGCTAGAATCCTCGGCTGGGATGACTATCCCGCCCAGTACTTTGCGGCGTATAGTCCCAACTGGAGAAATGTATCAGAGACACATGGAGCTGCTGGAAGAAGCGGATGCAAAAAGTCAACCACATAATTATGAAAAGGAGCCAATGGATGAGCCCGCCAAATATGTGGGAGGACCATACGACGTCTATTTAAGGGTAAACTATTTCCCTTTCATAGACATCCCGCCTGGAAAGCTTTTGCATGCACAACATCGACAATGGCACGGCAGTCCCACCGCCATGATCATGCACGCTATGCGAAATTTGACCCGCGGTGACGGTTGGATGACGATGAGCCGGCTGATCAAAAGACAACTCGACGAGCTCCAGTATCTGTGGTCCAGGGAACCAGAAGCCAAGGCCTCATCTTTACCGATGATATCTAACCCGAGTTCTACATCTTCGCCTCGGACAACAGACAAACCGGCATCCGGCCAAAAATCAGGCCCAGAGGATGTACGTAAGGAAACAAGCCACCGCGAGGTTTCTTGGCAGTGGGGTCCAGCATCATCTTCAAATGATGCGATTTTATTGCTAAGTAACGTCGAAGAGCGATGCAGAGTCCGCAGAGAATCTCAATCAAGTAGAGACTAAGTGCCAACGAGGAAATTTATCTTTCTTACAGACAAGGGAAAGTATAGCTCGTTAACCGCATAAGAAGGGCCAGTGAGATGCAATACCATTTATACTAGACAAAACTTTCTAGGTTATGGCATCAGAGGTGCCCCAAAAGGGCATCCAAATCTTGACTACAGAATATAAATGTTAGCCCTCGTATATAAAGCTACCAAAGGAGAAAGGTTTATTAGAATACATTTCCTTTGAAGGAACTATGAGACAATAAACTTGGAAATTCTAGTTTGGAACCCTAAGATCTAGAGGCCTCTAAACGAAGCAACCGAGGTACATCGGATCGGTATCCTTTATGTAAAAGAAGTTTTAAAAATAGCTTGAAGCTTGGGATTTAAGTAATATATTTAAATCTTGCGACCGAGTTAGCTTTTACGTACTTGGATATATCGTTTTTCCGGCAGCTTGTGTCCGGACGTACACGTGCTTAATCGCGAGCATTAGATTGGTCGGAAAACCCACTGAAACATAATTTAACGAGGGACGACAGGGGATAGCTAACCAAGAATACTGAATTATCGAGCTATCAAACCGCTGCTCCTCCAGGAACTTTCGGTGATTAATCAATCGATTTCGGGATATCTTCAATAAAGCTGTTAACTAACATCCCTACGCATATGCAGCTAAACTCAAATCATTTCTAGCTGCGGTGTGTATAAGGCCCGAGAATGGTCAATCGCTGGATATGTATCCACTTGGGAACAATCATTCGTCAATGTTATACCGACTGTAACCACCTCTAAAGCTCAAATAATTATATAATCTCTGGTCTGTAGAATCGCGGTTGCCAAGAATAAATCATAGAAAAAGTCCTTCAGATCCCTCAGCTATGCATGTTTCAACCCAAAAAGCGATCTGTCAAGATGCATAATCCATATGCATATATGTGCTATAGCTATAGCGAACGGGTACGTACAGTGGCTTGGGGCTGACTATGATATCCTGCAAGTACCTTGACTCGACATCGGACCCGATCGAAACCCACCCCCTTCTTAGCTTATTCGCAATCATCAATGCAACTTCAGACGAGTTTTCCTGCTGGTAGAACCCGCTTTCGAATTTCGCCTATCTCTTTGTAGTTTATTTTGAGCACAAGTCGTTAGGCAGGCGACCCTCCTTCCCGGGTGGCCTGAAGCAGTAGCGATCCGGACGACGACTGCCTAAGACTATCAACCAAACGGTTTGCCCCGCCGCTTAAATTCCGACCACCACGAGCGCTGTGCTGTGCTGTGCACCGCCCTATTAGGTTACAATACGTGATATATTATCAGGGTCTTGCGATTAATATGGTAAATAACTACCGAAAAATCGAAAATCACATTCAAAGGACTACCCAGTCCTGCTGAGTTCATAATCCATTGATATCAAGTTATTTGGAAGTCATTCGGGCCCGTTAATCCCTCGAACCGTAGCACGGGCACGTTGCAGTGGCCATATCCCCATCCATCAAGCTCGTATACCAGGCACATAGTTTAGGCGAATAAACATGGAGGCTAAACAGAGCCCCCATCCCAAAAAAAAAGATAGGGCGGAAGACCAGGTGGTTCCACATGCAATATGTGCGTGGTTCTAACTAACTAAGGAACGTTACTACCTGCAAGTACTCGTTCCTGTAGGGAATAGGTCTTTTTCTTCGCCTTGATGTTTCCCACAATATGAGGTTTTAAAGGGAACCTGGTAGGTATTGTGGCGGCTCTACACGGACAGCTGTGGAGCCTTTTTTTCTGGACGCATACTACCCAAGCTCCTAGCGCTCATGACCATTGATCGTGCGAGTCCCGAGTTAATCCTGGAACAATGGTGGAATGGTGGGTTATTAATTATATAAGAATCATGATGGGTCCCGACATGACATATCGTTACTAGAAGAATATTCCAAGATATCTTGTTCATGCAGTCAACATAAAATATAATTCTTGGATCGGTACGTCGCTGTTCGGAGTACCAGACATATACACTAGCGCCTAATAGACTATCCTCGCACCAAAAACCGCATTGAAAAGAAATATCGACATCTACGTCTGCACAATTATACTGTTCTTTTTCGAAAACATTTTTTTCCATATAAAAGAAAAAACAAAATAAAATAAAGATAGAAAGATAGAAAGAAAGAAAGAGAGTATACCCAAAGTGGTCTGCTTCAAAAATGCCACCAATACAACACACATTCGGTACAACAGGCAACGTGCCTTCGCACCCCGGCGCCGGTATCACCCAAACGCCCCAAAACGGCCCTCTCCAAACCAACAATCCTTACTTCTCCCAACCCACACCATCACCATCAACATTACCAGTACCTCCTCCTCCACCACCACCTCCTTCTTCGGAAACAAACAAAGCAGAAGAACAACAGCAGTATACATCATCATCATCACCATCATCATTCCCAATTGCAGTTTCTTCAAGTCACAATTACGCTCACGAGAGTACATACCCCCAAGTATTATCGACATATGCTCACGAGAGTACATATCCCCAACCAGCGCCACATACTACATATGCACAAAATCCATATAACAATTACAATGACGCCGCTCAGCTGCCTCAGGAGCCAATACCGGCGTATACACGAGACGGACAGAATGATCCACCAGATTTATTGGCCGCGAGGAGGGAATATATAGATGTTGAGACACAAATTCAAAACGAGACAACTGAGTTAAAGTACGAGATTCACCCATAACCCCCCAATATAAGGCATATAATACATATATGCCCAAGAAGTATATTCACATAACTAACATTTCTTTTTTTTTTTAAAAAAAAAACAGCCACCGTCTAACCAACCCCTCTGAAAACTCCACAATAATAATATCACTCCAAAACTCAATTCGAAAACTCTACATCCGTCAGGGAGCACTAATGCAACGAATCCAAGACCTCCAAGACCCCAATTCATACGCCTTTCGACAATCCCAAGCCATGACGACGACAGCAAATTATCCGAATAACCAAACCCCACTGATATATGACGGCAATGAGCAAGAAAGAGAAGCAGACAGAAATCGTGCTCTCGCGTTGGCTAACTATACAGTTAAGCCCAGGCAGAAGCTTACAGGCTGTATTTGTCTTTTTATATTGATTATTATTGTGGCGTTTGTTATTATAGCGTTGGTGGTGAGTAATAAGAAGAAGCAGAGATAAAAGTCTGTGGCTTCCATTTGGGTTTTATGTTTGTGTATACATATTTCATTTATCTCGAGCTCATGTACAGGTGTCTTTTTCTGGGTCTGTGGGATATATCTCTTTTATTAGGGCCGGTTTGTATCCAATTGGAACCTTTAACATCTTATATTTTAATTAATACTATTCCCTCGATGGAGTAAACATCATATCATTACTATTTACCTAGCCAATCACCGCATCTAGACATTTAAACTCATGCAAGTGCTTCAAGCATTTGGGCGACTTCTTTTGACTATTGAGTGCCCCGGCCGTCATTACCGACCAACTCCTCAAACATAATTAATCAGCAGCCAACAGGTACCCAACTTCATAGCTAGATAAAATTTACTCCTAAATACTAATTCACTTGCGCAGCAATTAATTCTGGCTTACGAGATAAGTTCAATCAGTTGTTGAAGGAGGCTCCTTTGAATCCTTTTTTTTTCTCAATATAACATGCATGTACATGCATACATCTCTCCCCACACCTGGTCTCGAGGCTAATGGCCACACAATTGTGTTGGCGCTTAAAATATCCAACCCAATACTTCCTGCAACTTCGCATGCATAGACCAATATATATCCAAGGCAAACAAAAGGTAGGCTCAGAAGGCAGACTCCCCAATTCCCCGCCCTAAACAAGATCGAGATAGATATTTACTAGTTATAAGCCTCGATAGCAAACTCCAATATCGATCTATCCAATTAAGTACGTAAGTATTTCTGGCTAGAAATTCGAGAACTTCATCTTCTACCCCATAGCTTATAACGTTTGGTTTGAGATCTCTCCCTTCCTGGTTTTTTACCTGGGGCTTCACTAATAATACTACTGTTTGGGCTAGATCTAGGATTGACAACTATATGTAAGGCAGTGACTAGAGTATAAGAACCTGCCATTTTGAGCCTCAGGTCAATTGATCAACCGTATGGCTGAAAAAGTACCTCGACCAAGCCAAGGCAGAGGTGAACGTCCCCCAGACTACCTCAACAGGAACGATATGGTGGTACAGAACCGGACGGGCTACATAGCCATGGGTACTTCCAAGCCAGGATCATCGAAAGCCGAGGGTGAAAACTATCGGAAGCATGAAATCTCCAGCTAGCTGTAATTGTGAATATTACAGTGCACGAGGTATGTAATTTTCGAATTCGGAGATGTGAAAAAAGAATTTTCCAGGGAGATATAACATTGCATTAATATTGGGTTTGCTTGATGCCCTCGAATTAATTGTGGCGCAGTTCCTCTCATTACCACTTATCTAAGTATTTCTTAGAAAAACATTCAGTATCACAGCTTCATCTCACGCGCGCCATGCAGGCGCGCGCGTATAAGTATGATGCATGGCCAAAATACCGAAGCTTAGCTATATACATATATCCAAAATCACCCCGAAAGGTTTTAACAGTGGATATCCCTAGTTTAACAATTTGAACCTAATGAAAGTCATATCAGGAGTTCGGAGTAACTAATTGAGCATCACCAAGAATGTTGTTATCGCGTAAGTCCCGAGCCCCGCCGTATACGACAGGCAATGCGGATACTAAGCTAAATATCCTTCTAAACATGAACAGGCCCTATTCTGATAATAAATATTTTGTCCCTTGTCACGGCCAAAACAATACCAATAGAAGAATACAAAATTGGATGGATTTCAGCACTCCCGATTGAATTCGCAGCGGCACGAGCTGTCCTCGACGAGGAATATGAAGCACCAGAGCCTTATACTCGTCTTCGAGACGACAATGCCTACGTTTTCGGTCGAATAGGAAGCCACAATACCATCATTGCTTGCCTCCCAGCTGGCAGATACGGAACCGCCTCGGCCGCAGCCGTTGCAAGTCAAATGTATAACACATTCCCCGGTATAAAACTTAGTCTCATGGTTGGAGTCGGCGGCGGGGCACCGAGTGGAAGAAATGATATTCGGTTAGGCGACGTTATTGTTGGTCTGCCCACGCGAGACTCTAGCGGGGTTGTTCAGTATGATTTAGGGAAGACAGTGTCAGAGGGAAGATTTATCAAAACTGGGGCATTGAACGGGCCGCCTTTATCGGCCCTGAAAGGATGGCGGATGCTGTTCAGAGGATTACGGAGAAAGACGATAGATTTTCCTATCCGGGAAAAGGGCAAGATAGGCTTTTTAGGCCCGAATACGAGCATATCGATGGCAAACTAGATTGTGTAGACCATTGCGATTTCGGGAGTCTGGTTCATCGAGACCTTAGAGCGCACGAATATCCGCTTATCCATTATGGCATAATAGCATCTGCAAATCAGGTTTGCTCACACGCCCAAGAGCTTTGTTGTTTTCACTTAATTATACCATAGAGACCCTGATGTCTAACTTGAGAAAAAAATTAGGTTATGAAGCACGCAACTACCAGAGATAGAATTGCCAACGAAACCGGAGCAATTTGTTTTGAAATGGAAGCAGGAGGCCTGATGAATCTTTCCCCAACTCTAGTAGTTCGTGGGATCTGTGACTATTCGGACAGCCACAAAAATAAAATATGGCAACCATATGCGGCCCTGACGGCAGCGGTCTATGCTAAAGAGCTGCTCAAGGCATTACACAGTCGGGCACTGCTATCCACAGCCGAGTATAGTCAGAGCAAGGAGGGTGATAGGCTCGGAATCAACTACTCCATACCATTTAAAATCACCATACCAAGGCTCAAATCATTCGTCGGAAGAAACGACACAATTCTAGCTATATATAACTACTACTCGAGCTGTAAAATTCTGAACGGACAATCCTCTACGCCTTGCCTGTTTGCTATCACCGGCCTCGGAGGGGCCGGGAAAACACAAATTGCATTAGAATACGCTTACCGATATAAAAAAGACTTCACATCGATCTTTTGGATACATGCTGAGAGTGAGGGTAGCATCCAAAGATCCATCCTCACTGCCATGCAACAAATTGTTGATGAACAAGCAAAATACGCATTTCCTGGAAGAAATCCAAACTGTAGTCTAATAAGCGATGTTCTTAAGATGCCACGGCTTATAGATGAAGACTGTATTATTCAAGCACCCAACAGCAAAGATCAAGTTAAACTAAAGAATGCCTTTATCAGCTGGCTCGAATCGCATCCACACAACAGTCACGAATGGCTTCTTGTTTTAGACAATGCCGATGACTTGGAGGCTGTGAACTTAGAGGATTACTTACCGAAACTAGGATGGGGCTCAATCTTGATCACAAGTCGTCGACAGGAATTCGGGCCTGAAATCGAGCAAGTGAACCTCCAAGGCCTCGAACCAAGATTTGCAAGCCAGTTACTATTACAAGTACTCGGTATCGACAAAGTAAATGAAGGTAGACAACACTCCTGCACTTGCTCAAAGATAGGCCTCAAAGGAACTGGATGTTGACAATTTTTTCTTCGATCGCTATTAGTTCTCGAAGCAGATTCCATAGCTCTCGTTGAGGAGTTAGGGCTAATACCTCTTGCCATCGCCCAGGCTGGATACTTCATAAGGAAAGAGAAGATTCACATCAAAGAATACATACGGTTCCATTCGAATTTATTTATGGAAGTCCACTCTCAAAAGCCGCGCGTAGGTTGGAACTACGGGATTAGTACCGTGGCGACGACTTGGGAAGCGTCTTTCAGAGCCGTCGAAAAACATGACAAAAATGCTGCTCGCATGCTATTGGCATGCTCTTTTCTCGACCCTTCCAGGATCCAAGAAGTGATATTCTTAGATCCTGCCCCGGATATCGAGACCAAACTACAAGGTGCGTCAGTTTCCGCCATACGTACTAAATTATGATATTTAATTTGGGTTGTTATATCTAACTTTCCGGCAGTCAAAAGTAGAATCAGGGTTTTGCAATCGTATTCACTAATTCAGAGGCTAGACTCTGGTTCGTTCGCAATCCATCCCTTGGTCCACGCTTGGGCGAGAGGACGGCTCAGTGAGCCTGAACATCTTCAAGTGATAATTCAAGCTATGAATATTGTTGGGAACTTCGCCAGACGTGAAATGTTGTTACCCGAAAACCATATGGCACATTTCGCCCCCCACCTTGAGTATCTCTCTCGCCATTTAAAACTGAGGTTGACTCAAATTTTTTCCCTACCCGATCCAATAACAGAGCCGCAAAATCTCCTCATTGAAATTTTTTTGAGGACTAGAGAGGCCCTCCAACCGTACGGAAGAGTTAAAGAGGCTAAATTTTGGCGACGACAAGCAGCCAGAGCGGCGTTAATATTGATTTTACGGGACGGGAATATTTCGAGATTTTTCGATTTCGAGAACAGTGCAGACGTTTTCTCGCGACAAGGCCGGGTCCTGGAAGCAAAAGCTCGTTATGGAATCGCCACATATGGGTACATCATGACCGCAGCATTGCATATAAGAAAGGGATTTTCTTTTCTCTATGAAGCGCTTATTTGTTTCAAATGCTCAACCAAGCTATACATACTACAGATTCGTGAGAGGGTTTCGCTTCCGATATGTGTTACTGCCCTCAGAGTTGATGAAGATGAGGTGTTTGATGCTGAACAGCTCGAAGGGGAGATTCGCGAAAGCTCTAATCGGGCCGCAATGTTTCCAAGGGGGGCAGATTCATACCCGGAAGAAACCCTATACCACAAAGCTAGCAGATATATTTTTGGAGATTTCGATCTTAAGGGTCGATTGGAATCCGATATCAGTTCCTCTACCGATGATCTTGAAAGTTACTTGGATTTCGCTGAGGGGGAGGGTTGGGAGACAAAGACATTTAAATTGATATCAAGCATCTATATGCCCCGTTCTTTCCCAGAAAAAAAGGTCGGGTTGTTTGAACCTACAAGCCCTAAGCAGGGCAAGTATTTTGAAGGCCACAGTTTCCAAAAAACAGTAGTTCAAAAGCAGTTGGTTATTCCTGATAAATTCTGTTTAACAAGATCCAACATACTAAAACATGTTTTTGCTTCCCTTTTATCCTTCTTATCCACGCTTGCAAGATCCCTACCCGAGGCAATAATTATTCACATGGATCTATTCCGTGGGGGAGTAGGCGTAAGACGCTTATTAACTAAAATATTCATGTACTCGTTGGGCTTGTTCTTCTTATCTTTAAAGAGAGTAAGTCCTACCGGCTATGATATGCTCCTAAGATGGGTAGCCATCAAGGTTTACGTACCATACTTAAAGTTAAAACTGTATATATTAAAGAGGCGTTCGTCGAAACAAGCGCAGAAGGACTAAATTAGTTCACATTTTTTGTATAGATATCCACGTACTTGCATACCTTAAAATTTGTTCCAGGTTTGAGAAGGCTAGCTGTTCATGAATTCATCGAAGTCTCTCGCATCGTTATAAGATAACTAATAACATATTCTATATCTAGTGGTGTAGTTCTTAACTCGCACCCGCCTTGCCTCCAGACCAGTGCAGTTCTATATATATATATGTCTATATTTTTTAACAAATGAACTTTAAGTCGGTATTTCAAGATGACAAGAATAACACTACGAGGATATTTTCTACTAAAACCCTACCGTGTATATAGGTATATATAGAATTCTAGAAAGTAACCCGCTTGTGCCAAATCGCGAGGTAATAGACTGCAGGTATGCCGGCGGTTTTTGGTTCCATTTTGTTGTCTCGTTGCGCATGTGCATGTACCCGGTATGATAAGTGGGTAACCGTCACCAGCAGGGGGGTACAATAGCTGAGAATCTCGATACCAGCGGCACAGAGTACTCAAATTGAGCATAAGTGGGATGCCGATGCCTACAGGCAGTGGTCGGGATTATAATCTTTCAAGGGCAGGTGAGATTCCTAGAGATGCTAGTATCAGGATCGTAAGAATATTTTAGGAGGGCGTCAAAATATTGGGTGTATGCGGAGGCTTCCTGAGGCAATTGGGAAGGTTTAAATTGTGTAATTCGAAAGACAACATATATATCTTCGGTTTGTTTCCAGACTGTGTCATGTATATAAATCGATAGTTTCCCATAATATTGTTCCCTAAACTACATATTCGTGATATCGTGATGGTCTGGAGACAATATGGGTGCGAGTTCATACTGGTGATATTATCACTTGGTTCGGTAGTAAGTATAGGCCCCACCCACGAGACAAGGCTGCATCAAATCGTGGCTATTGTTCCTGTCCAGTTAGCATTTTTAAGCCAGTTTTCCCTGCCAAAAATCGACATGCACCACCCGAGCCCAAATTGAGGTATTCCCAGTCCAACTATACGAAGCCTCAAGTTTGGAAGCTGGGGAGCTCCAAGCAAAGCAAGGGACTTCTAAAAACACCCGGAACAATCCCCAAAAAGTGTTTATTGGAACTTCTAAAACATCGCCTCATCCATAGCTCAAGGGATCATTCATTTATTCTCGAAGCTCTGCACAGTGAGGTGATAGCTAATTTTGGAAACCCTCGCGCTTGCATGATCCCGCCCGTGCAGTGCTCTACTGGTTTTATAAAAGTATGTTTTTTTGCACTGCCTGGCTTGGGACTGTCTTGAGTGGCCCATGCCCCCCAGTCTAGTCTAGTCCAGGCCGGGAATGGAGGCCAAGGGCACCTTGTTTTGGTGAAACTGTCCCGAATACCGACCGCAGCAAGCACAAATTCGGCTTTTCCTTGGTCACTCGACTCTTCAAAGCTTCATGAATCCACCAGGTCACGATCTCAGATACCTACTAAACCAGCGATTCTCGTAGTATTCAAGTCCATTTTCTTTCACAAAACAAAAATATAATACGTAAACACCCCTCATGAGCCATATCCAGATCCGGTATCAAGAACCAGAGAGGAATTGAATAGCCTTGGCTTTTCGTCCGACCGGCCGGGTGATACCATCTTGCAAGCAATTCCCCAAGCTTTCTGTTCCACATAACAGGCCAGTGAAAAACGTAACGAACAAATAGCAATGATTCCTGCCCTGCATATTCTATTCTGGGGTTAGTCAGGTAGTTAATTTAGTCGCGGCGGCGGGCACCTTTTTTCCCCCCCAAAGCTCCACACTGGTTGCCTTTAAAGGCACCGCTTTCCTCACTACTTCCCCATTCTCTTTGCGGCTCTTTGATTCTATACTTCCTTCTCGATTTCTACCCTTGTGCTGCTGCGGGCACATCATGCTTCATATACCATAGCCGTGCTATTGGTACCGGAATCGGAGTTTCGTTTCCTCGTCCGATATATCGAAATCGCAGCCTATTTTCCGCCACCTCTTCGGATTCGTCTTTCCCGCGAGCTGCTGTTGTCGCCTGCCCGCCCCTCGTTATCAGGATAGAAACTTAACGATATAAGCCCCGCGCACGCGCACGCTCCCCCACAATATATACATACCTCCCCAAGCCATGGCCGCAAACATTGCAGACACCGCCGAATCGGCCCCCTTTATCGTCCCGGACGAAAAACGATATTTCCGCGAACTGATGGAAATCTCGGACATTCGAAGAAAGCTCGAACATCTCAACCTCTTTATTCAGTCCGAAGAATCCACAACCAATAACAACTACAGCAGCGGTATCCCGGACTCCGCATTCGCAAACCCGGCATTTAACAATGCTGCTGCATCGTCAGATTCGATTGCTTCTTCGATAAATAACCTCACGTTACACGAGAAAAAGGAGTTGAAAGCGGACTTGGATTTGAGGTTAAGTCAGTTGTTGACTATTGTAACAAAGGATAAGAAGAATCCGGCGGTCATTGAGGAGGAACAGTTGGCGAGGGAGATCGAAGCTCAAAGAAAAGAAGATGAAGAGTTAGACCGACAATATCATAGAGGGATGAAGTGGACGATTGGGATTGCCATTGGGTTTGGGTTGATGTGCATTATGATCCCGGCCACTGCCTTGCTGTTAGTACAGAAAGGAGTTATTTGAAGATTTATACTGCCCATTCTGTGAAATTTGAACCTTGGATTCAAAGAAACAAGGGTCCGAAGTCAGAAATATCAGTAAGATATCGATATATCCCTAGAGTGGTGAGAACCATGATCCCGAGATCAGAATTGCAGATGACCCTAAAACCTCAAACTGCTTACCCCCGCCGGATTTCCAAAGCGGAATTATTTCAGCACGAGAAAATTACGGTCTGAATTTGGGGAAATAGTGGAAGATCGCAGCCATGTTCCAAACGGACAAATTACTTCCACGGTATCTCGACATATCTTGAGTAATCTTTCAAGGTTCCATCTGAGCATTCGATTTATTTGTATGATCGTATTCGGGCGTTTTCTTATGTTTGGTATCGTTTTATATGTATTATAAAGGACGCACGATTTATGGACGGTTGACCACTTTGGTTTGCTTTTGAACAACGATGTTTTCTTGAAGAGGCTGAAGCAGTAACAAACAAGCTTAAAGTTTGAACCCGTTTTCGAACCTATGAATTCGTGGTTTCAGTTATCAAGCACCCTCATTAGTTCACTGCTTACCTAGGTTAGGTAGCCAGCCCCGAGGGTTGTATCTGAAGGCACTTGGTTACACAAAGAATTTGTAGGCAAGTTTAATCTCATGCACGAATCGACTATCAAATTTTCGCTAGTCTCGAAATTTTGAACGCCTAACTTTCGAATCAATATAATTCGGGCATGATTAGATCGACTGCTATGTCTCCCGCGTACGTACTTTTCAACGTTCAAAGCTCGAATAATAATGGTTTGCCCTGAAAGTCAGCACCAAGTAAACGTACCAGATATATATCGATATATAGGTGGGGTACTCCACAGATCCTTCAAACCCGCATCGAATTTATACCATCCTCCGATTCCTCGGGAATAATTTAATTAAAATAAATTCCCTTTCCATAGTTTATAGCGTGTGGTTTTGACTTGTGCCTAGGGTTTTTTAAAGTCGAGAAGGCTAACGGTTTTGAAGCTTTTGATCCACCGTCGATAGTCTACTATCCTGGTCCCTTCATTAGCAATATCTAGACGTATAATCCATCAAACATACCCTCTCAATTCAACCATTGTAGAATAGTATTCCCAAAACAATATTTCGGAAAACCGCCGCTGTAATACTTTGAATTGGATTGGTGATACTCCTGACACTGTGGGGAGCGCTGGGGGTGTTCTAAGAGGAGGGCTTCTTAACGCCGTCTCATACGTCAAATCCCCCAAGTGTGACGGAAGCCCTTTCCCCTCCGGCCCACATATTTTATTTCTCTTTCTCATTGCTTAGGGCAAGCTCACCACCAAGTTGGCCGACCTCATCCATCAAAATCATTCCTTCATCATCATCAACATCATCATCACCAATCCACCAAATCACATACCAAGCTACCAAGGCTTGGGGTACTTCTTGAGCTTGTACCTCCTTGATCCATTCATTCCAATCATTCTCTTTAGACCTGTCGATTCTATTTTCATATCCTCTAAGCTCCAGTTTCTTGTCTGTGGGGCTCTCTTATCCCTTCATCACTTCTCAAGCGTCCAAAAACGTCAGCTCCAATATCCTAACCCACCATGGAGCAATCACTTCAAACCCAAGAGCCCTGTCCACTCACCCTAGAGACCATGCCTCCAGAGATCAGAAATCAGATCTATGGCTGCCTTCTCGATAGTAGGGCTTGTGATAAGTCGATGGATACCAATGGTAAAAGTAAACCCCACTTCCACACCAGCATTCTCTATGTCAACAAGAAGACATACAAGGAGGCGCATGGTATTCTGTATGGATCCAGCGGCCCCATTGTCACCGTCACCTTCTACATGGATGGTATTGAAGCTGCTCTCAAGCGAGGTTTGGTTTCTTTCCACACGAGCAGGTATACCAGGTCGATAGCTGGGCGACAGCTTCACATCATTGTCAAACCAACGTTTGTGTCATTTACCAAACGAGAACCTTTCGTCTTCGTTCTCGTTGGGATGGAGGATATCAAGAGCTTCTATCGTTTCCTCAAATTCCTCAGTAAGTAGCAATTCCTAAGCATCAAAGGTTACAATCCAGAAACTTACCGGCGTGCCGCTCATAGACTGGGGCGAAAACGATGGCCGTGGTATCAGCTATGAGTTCAATTTTGAACCGTACCACAACGTTTTCGAAGATGCTCCTTCCACTTCAGATGCGTCTTCTCAGGTCCATAAAGATCTGGTCGAGGCATTTTGTGGACTTCGTGCCTCTTTTCAAACTTGCACTTCTAAGGGCCTCGCTAATTCCAATCTTGAGGCATTCTTCGTCGGGAAGCTCAATGACCGGGTTATTTGGCTCCAAGGCGAAATTTTGGAACTATGGATGAACAGTTTTGAGCTCTATCAGAAGGCCTGTCAGCTGTCAGTAGAAGGATCATTCGATGCGGCTCTCAGCCACTATGGATACATCATATCCTCGTACACCAACTGCATCGAAACAAATCCGCTGCTTCAGAGTCCAGATGCTTCTTTGGATGGTTCCATTGTTAGTCGCCTCATAACCCTCATCACTGCAGCACAAGCAAGCCGTTCGATGCTATACGTCCTTGGTTCGTTCAGTGATAAGTACAAGGACAGCATGAAAGCAAAGGTCAACTTAGCAGAGTTAGAAAAGATCCTCGAAGGGAACGAAGCAATGGTTGCCGGGTTCGGGGGCGCTGTGTCCTTGTTAATGGTTCCGAAGATGGTCAATTCAGCTGTCTGGCAGACTATTGCTGTGCTTCGTATGATTTGCGGGGACACGTCGGATAATATCGCCAATGCATGGCATTACGCAGCTGGGTTGGTAGATGACGAGGAGGAGAAAGCTAAGCTCCAAGGGTTGAAAGAACATGCCTTAGCAAGTGGCTCCCCGCATCTCAGGCTCGCAACACGCATCGAAGTACGTTGCCTATCCTGTCCTATCCTCATCCCAATTATGTTAACATACACTGATTTAAGCATTGATAAACAAATCAACAGATCGCCAAGATGTACATGCAGGATCTCCCTTTCCCAGTAAGGCCGTACGAGAAACACAAACCTGTCAAGAGTACCAGTGTTGTCAATGAACGGTACATTCTTCACAAGTTGAAATACACCGGCCCACTTTACCGCCAAGACATTCGAATGGGTGTAGGGAAGCGCAAGCTTCCTGACTCCGACGAGACTGTCAGATACGGTGACCGGGTCGACGGAAACCACTGCTGGCAGGTTCTGAATGATGTCAGGACACAAGTCTTGAGGTTTAGAGGAAGCTACGATTTCTCGGTTTGGGTTGGCCCAGAAAACTTTTACTTCAAAGGAAGCAACTCTAATATGCGTGACATGGGAATTCCAAGCCGAGAATTCGACCCTGGCTATCCGTTTGAGACTATTCGTTTCCCCTTTTGAAACGTATGATGTCTCTTGTTGTCTGTGATTTTATGTTCACCATGAGGGGCATGGATGATCTGTCTTTTTTAAAAACTCTTTACCTTATTTTTTCTACCAGGGCTTTTGACATAGGGTGTCACTCATGGGTCTGTTAACACGTTAGTGCCTGGATTCATGCAGTTGCAGCACGATTTTCCATGACCGGCCTGGGGTTCTGGCGTTGATGCTGGGGGGGTAAATCGAATGTTAACTAAGGGGTTTTACGTTGTACTTTTAAAATTCTAATGCAAGATATTCTATGCGCTATGCGCATCAAAAGCATCGATCCTACGTTTATCGTGCTAGCTACAGGTCTACAATCGTCGATACCGCGTTGCTTATGTGGTGTTTTGACAAAATTTCCCTTTTTGGAACCATCTATTGCCAAAAGTTCCTATATTGATTGACTTGAAGATGCACTAACTTAAAAGGTATTGTTTTTGTCAGATTGGTATGCATCTGACCGGAATACCTCCTGGCCACATATATAGCACAATTCCAACTGAGAACTGTCAAATATTATTAATTCCAAGAAGCCATGTAATTATTCATTATCCACTATAGCACTACACGAATGATTTGCATAAATATGTGTTAACATGTTTGGCGCACTCCATACATCAAGCTATCGAATGCAACATCGATACCCACAAGCCTAAGAATGTAAGATACATATATGATAGTCGGTAAATAATGGGTATTTAGTTTCGAGTATTCAATTGGAAGGAAACGCTCAAAGTCACTGAGTCGGATACAGTTTCTCAATACAGAACTACGAGTCCACGATAATGTCTTTGGTGTTGTGAGCGCGATAGGGATAGTCCATATACAAGGCGAAACCCGAGGAATGGTGAGCCGACCGTCGTCCTCTAGCTTCGAATAAATAAAACTTCTGTTTCTGATCTGGAACTTAGTACGCGGCCCAGCCAGTTTGGTTTCAAACTATCTTGTCTTCTTTGTAGCATGATAGTGATATTTTCCTCAGTAGAGCTCTGAGTTGTATAGTTCCACGCAGAGCTCCACACGATAGACTCATTTTTGCTTGGAGCATAACCATATGGTGTCCTTCAGTCATTCTATATCGTCGAATATATCTTCCCTTCAAGCATGCATGAAATATATGTTGCTGGTACCCATTGCAGGGTTCAAGGCACTAACTATGCTGGCGTTGCAGGGGTTATTAGACAGATCGCCATGTTGGACAGCTAAGTTGAATCCAGCGATATCGATGATTCAGCCTCGAAATTGTAAACGGTTTCCCCAGCCTCGTCAAAGGATCCCAACTAGCTGCAGCGATATGTATGTATCTGCATAACTTTTTCACTTCAACCCCGCTGAAAACAAATACCTCGTATTTTGTGAGCCAATTGGCAAGATTCCTAACATATGCTCAATGTTGGCCAAAAAAACTACCACCCAAGCAGAGGCGTACCGATACTCTTCGGAATTCGGCAAACCTCGAAGTAGTTGCCCGAGTCAGCGGCTGGCTTCGTTTCGGATAGATTCTCTTCGGATCTTTCCGGATAAAGATTCGAGTGCAGACCGGCCAAGCTTGGCATACGAACGATCCAAAGACTGCAGGCAGGCATGGACTACGAATCCTCGTAGGCTTGGCTGGCGTGACGCTTTGAAGAAACTTGCTCGAAATCCGGGGAGTTCAGTTCTTTGAAGGGCTGTAATTATGTATAACCGCCCATGCTACCTAGTTAGCTAGCATCGCCAACTAATAGGCTGCACCAGTTGGGAACCAAACTTGTTACTTCGTGTTAAATTAGTATTATCTCTGAGAAGAAAGATGGTCTATTTCCGGTGGAGGGCGCTTCATCTGATCCCATCCGGACGGTACTGTGTAAACTTTGCTTGGGCGTGTGGTACACTCCGGTGATGTCTGCCCCGCCGTTACCTGTTGTGTGCTAGTTGTCACTCCACCTACTCGTTACCTCCCCAAAGGAGCATCTTTAGCTGCTGGCTGCATATAGCCATGGCCTGGACGAGAGGGAAGCTTGTCGATTTTCGTTTTGCGTCAACGGTTAGCTGGCGTGCGTGTGTCACGGGGGCGCATAGAAGAAGAAGAAGTCGCTGTGGAGTTCCGAATTTATTGCTGGCCGCCCTTCTTTAGGCCTTTCAAAATCGGCCCCTCATCACCATCTCTAAAAAAGTATCACCACCACTTCCAACATTCCTGCTTGGTCATCACCACGACTTTTCAACTTCACCACTACCACCTCCCATTCTTTCTTTCGAGTTAACCGGGCCTCTCGAAGTCTTCATCGTTGTCAAACACAGGGACCTCCGTACTTGCACAAGCACCTGATCACATAACTTAGTTCAGTACATGCTGTGTGCCACAGCTCTACATACCCAGGCGATTCCACTGTGGTGATAGCCTTCCCCTTGTCCTCATCGCGGCAAAACGTCAGTGCTGAAAGTGCTCGTCCGACACTCCGACCTCACCACCACCGACTTCATTGCCGCATCTGCTTCGAACGACTCCGTACACAGCTTCCACGTGCTAGTTCTTCGTGCAGTACACGGCTGTCGTCCATGAAAGGTTTGTTCACTGCCAATCTTTAATTCCGTTGCCTTTGAACAACCGCAATTTCGCTTCATTTCCACGCCCAGCCCGACCCACGATATCTTACGCAGACTTCCCAGGGTCCTTTCCCCATAGAAACCTCCTCCTAACTAAGCCTCATTCTTTCTCTCTTTCTCCCTCTCTCTTTAAAACTCTCGATTATGATGAGCCTTATTCACAGCCTTACCCCACTAAAGCACGAAGCTGGCCTTTCGTACTTCTATTTTTGTCCTTTTATTTGAAGTCGAGGTGTTCAATGCTAATGCGAGATATTTCATATATCTGTCGTCTGCAGGACAATCTTGAGCAGGATATCTTGCAAACAAGGACTTAACCGGAATATCATTTGTCGGTGTCGACAACGCTTTAAATTCTAGAATTGAAGTCTGCAACCAACGATTAGGCAGTGGAGGGCACCTGCCGTCTCGAATCCGACGATGCCATTCCCTCTCCTTAAGCTTCTCTTCCTCCTGGTCTCTCTCGCCGTCCTTTTACTCGTCCTCCTCTACGTCTCCCTATCTGTGAATTTTCCATTATCGGCGAGCCCTTCCTTCTTCCCGACTTCAGCAATAATATCCCTGGCGGAGGATAATTCGACATTTTTCTTATCAAAACCAGCGGCTTTTGGACCACTACTGCCAAAGAAGGGGTTGACTGGAGAGTTGCTAGTCTTGCCGGACTCCGAGCTAGCGTGTGACGATGCTTCTCGGGATGGGTTTACATGGCGAGACGAGAAAGATATTCTGATTGGAAAGGAGATTGATGAAAAAACCGATGATCACATTGGAGTCAAGCGTGTCAAGGTACATGCTGACCTCGAGACGCTACAGGAGAGCGCTGAGATCAGTGGCAAGATAGTGCTGGTTGTTAGAGGAGGCTGTGGATTTTACGATAAAGTACTATGGAGTCAGAGGAGAGGTGCAATAGCTGTCATTGTCGGGGATAATGAAGCTCATCGGCCTCTGCTAACCATGTACGCGAAAGGTAGTTCCGTGTAGATTTCCCCAAATGATTGATTTCAGAGTTCGCAAGCTAACAACATTGATAGGGGATACATCTAATATCTCTATCCCCGCAATATTCACATCATATACCACAGCTCACCTTCTTACATCTCTATTGCCAAAACAACCACCAAAATTATCAAGTAGCAGTTCGTATCGACAAAGGCCTGTATATTCTCCAGTTTCCACACCCAAGCCAGAACGGGGAGGATTGTCATCCTACTTCAATAGATACAAGCCAGAAGATCGATCGTCTCGGGATTACACACCATACACTGTAGAGGAAACTGAATCAATAATTGAAAGCCCAGAACTCGACGATCCCGAGCAGATATACGATGAAATTACTCCGCCCGAGAAGCCAGCAGGTGGTGAGAATACTCCCCTCGGGCCACACGATGAGCAAGGTAATAGTGTCACTGATGGGTCTGTGGCCTTAGAAGGGTTTGGTTGGCTTGGGCAGAACGATGGTGAACCAGGCGGGGAACCCGACAAACCGGACATGTCTCACGGACTATGGATCACATTAACACCGACAAGACTCAGTAGTTCTCCGTTTGTCGATACATTGCTTGTGCTAGTCGTTAGCCCTGTGATCACACTGACAGTTGTTTATACAATGCTGTTGCTGCGGTCTCGGTACAGGCGGCGAAGATGGAGGGCACCGAAGAGCATTGTTGATCAACTTCCCGTGCATACATATCAACCACCATCGGACCCACCATCTCCATCTGCCCCGCAGAATATTCCTTCTTCGCCGGAAATTAATAAGCCACAAAATAGCGAAAAACTTACGCCCGGATCACTGGTGGTTTCGTCATTCCCAGATACAAACCAAGCTTCTACCGCCTCTAGTTCTCACTTCCCACAACTATCTCGAGTTTCTTCAGCCCCGCCGCCAACGATCGCTGGCTCCCCGAGCGCAAAGCAAAAAGCAAAGTCACCATATTCACGACGGAATATGCGAATCCTGCCTGGGTTCAAATACTTCCCACCATCCCCGGAATGTGTCGTGTGCTTGGAAGAATATGTAGAAGGTGTAAGCCAGGTCATGAGGTTGCCTTGTGGTCACGAATTTCATGTAAACTGCATCACACCTTGGTTAACGACCCGAAGACGAACCTGCCCTGTCTGCAAATGCGATGTTGTCAAGGCGCTGGGTGGTGGTAACGGGTATAGTACTACCAATGGTGGCGATGAGGAGAATCAGGCGGAGGAGAGCGATAGGCCAATTGGTGGAGTGGAAGGAAGAGGGGGCAGAGGAGCAGATCTTTGGTGGAGAACACTGCTAAGGGCTTTTGGAGTGGATATCAATAGGCCTGATGGTGACGTTGGCGAAACAACGCCATTAATTCATGATGAGGATGAGAGGAGGAGGGATTGAGCACCATATCTCCCTTTTTAATTCTTTCATTTCCTTTTTGGTATTGGGATCGTTGGGGTTTCTACATGAGGAGTGGGAACGAGGTTTATCGACGCTCTTAGCTGTCCAAAGGCCTAGGTATTCGCCTTTTTGTTGTTTTCTTTTCATTTTTATCATCATAGCCAGGATTGTAAGGGAAACCAGCGGCAAATGATTGCTAGCGAGAATTTGGGATTTGGGATTTGGGAATCGGACGGCTTTCTCTCGTTTTTTATCATCTCCTCTTCATGGCTGTTTGATATTTTTTTCTTCTTCCAAGCGTGTTATTGATTCCTACTTCTATTTTTTATATCACGGGAGCAAGTACGGCTATACACCTTAGCTAGGAAAGCTAGCCAGTGGGAATCTTTTCTGTCCGTGTGTGGTGTTTGGTCTTTGGGGGTGTGCCTTTTTTTTACCTGGCATGTGTAGCCTTGTAATATGTATGAGCGAAAGAATAGGCTTTTTTTTTGGATAGTCATATCGAATCCAGATGGATTGATGAGTGTGTCGATAAGTCATCTTGGCCGATTAGACGTAATTTCGAATCTCACTTAGTAGCGGTTTCATATATCTGCAGGTGACTTCATCTTCCATGGATATGTCCGTATACCAAGGCCCCACAACCAATTTCTCGACGGAACCGACATGATCTAGAGCTTGTTCGACTAGTTTCTTGGGAATAAGGTTATTGAGCCTTCTAATCGGTTTGTCACCTCCATGGATGACCCCTAGGCCGTTGTATACTTTAATCTTTGAGGTTTTTTTAGTCATGAAGGTCCGAAGCCATTGCATCGGACTAAGCTAACTAGATGCAACAAAGCCTCATCAAACCAAAATTTAGAAGGAAATTCGATGTATGTTTCGAGAATAATACTTATGTAATATCCTCGGATATTTTCCTCTCTGGTATTTCATATGATCCGGTGTATTTAGCCGCCAGAACGGAGTGGTAGTGATCCCGGGGAGGAAAGACGTTCATAGCCCTAATCTAGCTGTTGGAATCTGGATGTTGAACGACGGAAGGATGTGTTGCGAAGGGATATACAGGACAGTTGTATATGCATGTGAGCGGTGCAATAGTGACGTTCTGCTGTCGTAACGAAAGGGTGACGTCAAAACTCCGATTTATAAATTGGATGATCGTTAGCTATAGGAGTTCCGTTTTGTGCGATGGGACCGAGATGGGCATGTTCTTCTTGGATTCTGGATTGATTCTAGAATTCTTCCCTTTTTGAACTACTTGGAAATGTTTAATGGTAAAAAGATGTTATACATCTCAAACGACGATATTATCAAGACTTGAACATCGATATCGATATATCGAAGTACTTTGTCTTTTACGAATTTATCGGACACTTACGCCAATAACATCTCTCAAAAATGTCTTCTACACCAGGTCTTGTGGGTTATTCCCAAGACCCGTCTGGCACACCAGACCAATCCGAAGAAGCAGCTGCAAAAGAAGAATTCGAATCCATCAAGCCTCGTGCCGAAGAACTTGCAAACGATGCCCGAAAAAACGCTTCAAAGAGCGTAAGAAATGCATCTAACGCAGAGTATGGACCAAACCAACGAAGCGACGCTTTCAAACGTGGAGAAAAGATTGGAATTGATGTTGGGACTGAGAATTCAGCTGGAGGAACGGTAAGAGAACTCTGCACGCACCCATTGTCGATTAATAGGGGGATAAGGTACTGATATTGAGGATTGGTTATTGTTTTTTTTGTAGACTGCCGTTCCGGAGCCGGCGGATCGCACCGATAGCGAAAAGAGCAAGAGGTCCGAGAAGGTTGGGAGGGAAGTACCAGCGAGTATCAATCCTCACTCTAAGGAACCGAATCCTGGTGATTATTATGGGTCTACTGGTGGATACTAAGGAGGTTGTATTTTAAAATGTGAACTGCATGCATACTGCTCATGGTATGTACTCCTACTGCGATGGATCTGTAGGGCCTCCTGGATCCTTTGGGGGTTCTAGTAGAAGAATATCAAAGCGTACTTGTACAACTCCGGCTGAAGTTCCAAGTATTGCATTACGCTGTTGAATATAGCGTAATCCCGTCCGTGCTTCGTCTTTTTATGTATGTAAGATCCTTTACGGAGAAAAATTAATATACGAAATCTGTCGAAACCTTGAGAATCAAGATTTGAAATATGCTATGGGTGCTCCTCCTTTTGTTCAGCTCCTCCTAAAGCTAGCGTTTTAGTTCAAGTCCCCCTCGTTCCTTGCATCAAGCTCCTATCGTGACATTGAGACGCATACAAGAGTGGGTACTGTCCGTCTGTCCGTCCGACCTCGGGAACCAGCTGTTTTGAAGCTTTCGTCGGCCTGCGCGCTCGGTTCTCTCACCGCTCTGTTCACAAGCTCCTGAGACACGGAAAACAACCCTGAGCCGAAAACCACATGGCAGATTAACTCAAACGTCTTCGACAACATCGGGTCAAAATCTTCAGGAATTATGTTATTTTGGTATGACGGAAATGCAAATCGTATTGTACTTTTCGTATGTAGACGCCGTTTCCGCAATAGCAAAAGTACTTGCTAGTTTGAACCTTCCTTGATTTCTCTTGCATAATCGTTATAGCTACTGATATAGACTTTTTCATTCATTCTCTTTTACTATCCCAGCTGAAATTCTTGAGAGAAGTAACTCGCTTGGCATTGTCGAATGAGGACTAATTACTTTGAGTGAGGTTTCTCCAGGATCATGCCTGCTCTCTCCCATCCCGCGTGCCAGAACATCGGCTTCTTTGGATAAACAGGGATAGACCCGATAACAACTTTAATCTCGCGGCTTCTGATCGACATATTTTAAAAGTCACGAAGGGAGGGGGGGGTACGTATCAATAAGCTGAGGGCTCGAGGGTTTTTCTCTCCTGCTCGCTTTTCAAGATGTACAATGTTACCTCATAGAAAGCTGATGATATTGCAGGCGTGTACCACCTACAAAACAGCTAATTTGAACAAAACGTGTGACATCCCAAATTTTTTTTCTGTTGCGTCAAAGCTGGTGCAGATGTGGCTTTTACAAGGGGGGTTCCTATTGGTGAGTTTTAAAATGAAGAAGCGTGGTTGTCGTACGTAACAGCTGAAGAGGGAAGAGGCAACATGAAACGTATCTTTTTGGGGTCTGATGCCAACGGCTTGAGTTACAATACTTCACCATTCCAATCTTACTAACGTATGCAGGCGGATAGCACACACAATGAGAGCGGGCTGCAGATGGTCTTCCCCTCATGCACCGTCGATCATGGCGTCGTCCTTTGACGCTTGGTGTCCGTGTGCTCGCAGAAACTAGACTATGCTCACCTTAGTGCGTATAGAAACCAAGGCCAATTGAGTCAGCCATCGAAAGCTTAGGACGGCTCCACAATCCTCCCCTTTGAAACCGACCGAAAGAAAAAAATTTGTTAGCAGAACTCGGCGGGTTTTGACGTTGATATTGCGACAAGGTGAGTGATGTGGCTGGGAGGAGAACTCAGGTCCACATCTTTGCATTGTCCTGATAAACCCAAGAACTCTCTTTTCTTGAGTCTGCTTTGAATGCTTTTAGTAAGATGTCAGTCACATGAATCTCTTATGCAAGCGAAATCAAGGGTGGAATTTCTCTAACTTGTCGTCTTTTTTGCCATCAAGGATATTTTGATTAGCCACGGAGCGCCGAAACCACTAGCCCGACCACAGAGTCTGATCAAGCAGCGTTTCGGCGTAACGATTTTCCTGTGTGCATGGAAGTGGCAGGCATGCATCGGGGCCCATGGAAAATTACATACAGCAAATGAAGATTTTTAATTCGAGCTGTCAAAGCGAGGGGAAAGCAAAAGAAAAACGTGGGAAGATGATCCCCTTAGCATGCGGGAACTATAGACGACTTGCAGCCCCCAAGAGCAGAATCAGACCTCTCACAGACCCGCGTGATCCTTCTTGCACAAAATGTTACTCTGCATCCTCTTCAAAGTCTCTGCGCAGGCAGGGTAAAATGGACGGCGCATTCACCAATCAGATTGCGCCCAGGTACTCCACAAAAACGTCTTTCAGGGATCAAAACCAACTTCGGTTGGTCGGCCAAAACCAACTGATTTTCTGGAGACCCCAGGGACAGAGAGCAAGCACGCTAGTTTTTTTCGCCTAGAACAATACAAAGTTCAATGCGGGGAACAGGTACTGCGGCCACACAAGCTGCTATGTTTCGAAAGTACCGTACCAGCCAGGATAGCATTGCAAAAGCCGGGACCAGAAATATTCCAGTTCTTGGATGTCGGACACGGCACATGTTCATGGAAGGATTGCCGCGACCCAGAACTTGGGCAAATTGGCAGAGTCCCCTCTTCCATTAAACTATCCAAGCCGTCAGGGAACTTGCGTCTCAAGGGAGGAGGGTACAAGAACAAGATCTTTGTTCGGGTTTTGATCTTGCAATGCAAGCTTGAGCGCTGACCTCCTCGTCCTGTCCTATTTATCCATAACGGTCCCCAAGTCACTCCCATTCAACTGTTCTCGCCAATCTGCAAGTCTTGCAAGGTCCCTGGCAAGCCCTCATATCGAATCAACCAAATCCCCAAAAGTCACTTGAGAAGTCACTTGCCTTGGACCTATTTCGAATATTTCCCACACTAGCTTCGACGACTGTGGCCGCAAGCTAGCAGCGACGCCTCGACGCCAGAACCACCTGGATTTTTTTATATTAGAAGTCCGGACCCCAGACTTTTTTTCTCCAGTTCCGCCCCACACATACGCCGACGTTAACGTTGATTGCTGCTTGTGACTCCACCCGGCATCTGTCTTGCAAAAACTTGCTGGCATTTTGGAACTCTTTTCCTTCTTAGCCCTTCTCCTCGGCCCTGGGCATCGGCTCCAAGTAAGTACTTCCATGTAGTGTACCTATCCCTTGCAATTTTCCAAAGAAGACCCATAAACAAGACAGCGATGGAGTATATCTGTTCCCGCACTCCACGTTTCTTTTCCCTCCTTCCCTTTACTCCATCATCCTACTCCGGGCCCCATATAAAAAATCTCGTTTAGAACTGAAACTTACCATTGAATTCTTTCTTCCCTCGTATAAAGTGTTCGATAAAGTGGAGAAAGAAAACTCTCTAAAGCGACTATTTGGCAAGTCGCGGAAAGGTTCCAACACACCTTCATCATCGCCCACAGTGGAAAAGCATCAACCGTCGCTGGCGGCATTCCCACAGCCGCCGAGTAACAACTACCTCAACAGTTTCGACAGATCGAGTCGAGGAAGTGTCGCAATGTCAGATCAATCGCAGAGACGGGATACAATCCCAAGTCCTACAAATATTGGGAGAGTCATATCTACAAACATGAGTTCGACAGAAAGTCAAAGAGTGAGTATTCTAAATATCCACCAATTTGAATAATATCATGAGATTCAAACTAACAAATAATCTTTTAGGATGTCTTTGTGATGCCTCCTCCAAATCCTCAACCAATCAAGAGGCCTATCGGCGAGAAAATGTGAGTTATTACATGATAAATCCCCAATATCATAGTAATACATTTACTAATCACATATCTTTTCCAGTGTACGATGGCTCAAGTACGGCCCAGTCGACTGATTGTCTGGACAATCATCCACATCATAATACGAAATATCCCACTTTTCATTCCCTTTTTCTTATTTCCATAGGCGTTCCGCGTACGGGTTCGGACTTTTCCTTCCAGTTTTTACAGCGTGTTCATATATCAGCAAGGCCACACTGAAACATTGCGATCCAGTCGAAGCAATCGCACACATCATTCCTATCGGTTTTTTCCAACCATTTTGTCGAAATTAAGGAGGTTATTTTTGTTATAATATCTTTCCTGTAGGACCAGGACACAAACACACACAACTCTATTCTCTTATCCTTCCGTAGGATCTACATCACTCGCAGTATCAGGAGCTAGGATATATCCGATATCTAGATCTTTATTTCTTTCTTATCTATCTATCTATATCTATCTATCCTTAGCGCGCTTTAGCGAAGTCCAACTGGTCTCATATATTCTCTTTAGCCTTATTTAATTCATGAAAACGGTGACTATCCTTCTTTTTCGAGTTCACCAACGACAACCTTGTATTCATTTTGTGTATCTAATACCAACAGACACTTTTGGGCTGCTGCTGCTGTCCCACCATCACAATTATTTCCTTCACTGAACTCTCAAACGTATCTGTATATCTGGCAAAATTCAAACAGGTCAGAACACCCCCTGAGTTAGGAAACCTAACCATTTGTTCCATACATTTCATACCAACAGACATTATAATATAGCTGCACAGACCGCCTGTTCCTCTGCACACAAACCTTGTGGGGGGAAAAGAACCCACCCCCAAAAAAATTCCACAAAGGAAATATTTTTCCCTTTTCCAAAGAGTGTGGGAGATGTAAAACGAAATGTCTGTGGCTATATCACAACTTCTTATACATACAAGTGCCACAGCTATACAGCTGCGCTTAAACTCCTCCCGCAAAGAGAGAGAAAAGGGAAGAAAAAAAAAGGAAAGAGCAGTGCAAGCCCGAGTACATAGAGCATCCGCATGAGCGGAAGGGTCCGTACTGAAGATAGAAACTGTCACGGACAAGTCCCGATAATATATGTACATGTTTATGCATGTTTGCAGCTTGCTTTACAGATTGTTGCGGTTCAGCTACCCGGCCGTGCTTGCAAGCTTGCTGTGCCCGCCCACCACTTTGATCTTGCATTATTCTCGTACTTACGTGGAAGAAGATTAGAAGGAAGAGGAAAAAAAAAAAAAAATCCGATAAAGCAGCATGACATCGATCTCTATCGATCATAGCGCCCGGACACGCGCGGTAACTGAATATCACTTTCCCACTTGGCGGGGGGAACAGTTTATCTGCAGCTGTAAA